ACATGAACCTTTGTACTGCACATCATCTCCACTGTTTACATTTCTGTCAAATAGTTTCAATTTCATTCCATTAATTGCATCAAAGATAAAATACAAATTGTATTAAAATTCATAAATAATGAATAAGTGTGACCTAACCCATTCAAAAGGAAGCCCAAACCTGCAGACAGCAGCAAATTGTCTCATAATGATTCTGCAAATTACAGTTTTAATATCCTTCCTTCAGTTTAAAAGACAGAGCACATAATAACATAATACATTGTAAGCCAAATTTCTTCAAAACACTTCAGTCATGATGGGTTATACTGCATATAATCTGAGAAAATGAAAAAGTACATGTAAGACATGCTATATGACTTATGAAATGTTTTACTCCAGGGGCAAATGTCCAGGATCACCAGTAAATGCTGTATACATATTATATTTGAGCCGCGTCACAACAAAACCAACATAGTGCGTTTGCGACCAGCATGGATCCAGACCAGCCTGCGCATCTGCGCAGTCTAATCAGGATCCATGCTGTTCCCTTACCAACCATTTTAAAAGTAGAGAAACTGATAGCGAACAGCATGGATCCTGATCAGACTGCACGGATACGCAGGCTGGTCTGGATCTATGCTGGTTGCACACTATGTTGGTTTTGTCGTGACGCGGCTCATTTTAATTTTGTTCCGATATTTGAAGTTTCTGATAAAGATTTCATTTTTAAAATCTACTGTTGCTTCTATTTTTTTATAATGATTTATAAATATCAAATTTGTAGTTGATGATGGCCACCTATGATTTGTTGTAAGACTAATTAAAAGAACAGCTCAAGAGTACATGACATAAACCCTTTCAAATTACAATGGACAATGTCACTTACATAGGGCTGCACTGGCTTTGGACCATTCAGAAATTATTTGATTGTTGACCATATCATGGTAAAAATTTTGATAATGCGTAACTAAATGTTTGCTGCCAAGAAAGGACACATTCATCAATAATAGACCTGATAAAGACATCATCATCATATACCACAGCCAAAGTTCAAACAGGTTCATCAATGGATATAAGGTGTACATCACATTCACCATTACAGGACCCTGCATACTTATATATTTTTTAGCAAACAAATCTGATTTATGGTGGTGTAGCCCAGTGGTTAACACATCAGATTAGTTATCCAAAGATTGATGGCCACATCACACTTCAATCCATGCTAGGGGCAAGAAACTTTACACTCATTGTTTAGTACTTATTGGTTCCAGGCACAGGTAAACGTTGCGTGGCCATGACTTACACTAAACCTCCGTTCCTCCTCTACAACCCAAAACCCTAAAAAAAATTATAAAAAAAAATTTTTATGACTAAAATATTATAAAGGTATTTTACTCTACTTTCATTTTGCATAGAAATATCACTAGCATCACAATTATCAGCGCATATATTCATCAATTTTTCACCAATCTTAACAATCTTGGTCTCAAATCTTAGATAAATAAATACTCTTTAAGAAAACAACAATGGCACCTTCGCTGATTATACGTAGCAAGAAATATCCAAGCCCAAACTGTCAACAAATGAAACTAGGAAGAGATCTGATTGCACCGTTTCGGTAAAACTCTCACGAGTAAAACACACTTAATTCACCGTGAAAGAATATTTCTTTGTATTGCGTATTTAAATATGATAAAATTAAGTTATTATTTATAATAATTGTTCAATCAAAGCATCATATGAAACTATAACGCACCTTTTTTCCTATATGTCAAATTCTCAATCCAAAATGAAAGTAAATTAGCACAGCAGAGTTGTTTCCCTTTAAGTATTTTCATTGGTCCGATGTTTTCCTGTGACCAATGAAAATACTCCATTTGAAAACAATCTGCAGGCCCATTTTACTTTCATTTTGGAATTAGAATTTGACATATAGGAAATTAAAAAAAAAAGAATGAGGTATTCCTTTTTTAAATTTTGACAGGAAGGTCCAATGAACAATTTTACATTTAAAACTGTGCACATGGTCCGAAATCATACCTGTACAAATTCAAAGAACAAGAAAATAGGTCACTTCATCAAAATATAGGTCATCTGATATTAAAGTCTTTAACTCCCTGTGATTCAAATTTCATAGATGTCCATCAAAGGACAAGTCACTTCATCAAAATCTAGTTCATCTGAAAGTTCAATTTTACATCTAAACTGTGCACATGGTCTAAATTTCATAGCTGTGCATAAAAGAACAAAAAAGTTAGATTTAGATTATTGTAGCGCCAATTTTGTACTTCTAATCATTCGAGCATTTTGATTTTGAGGGGGTACTTTGAAATATTAGCAAGACGGCAGTTTTTCTGCTATCTTCTGGAGGTCAGCTGCTTTAAAGCTCAAGGCCAATGTCAGTTCAACCTTTTAAAAGGTCTTGTCCAAAAGGTTTTTTTGTCTCAGTATGAAGATAAAACATTGTTTTATTACCAAATTACAGGCAATTATAGCAATAATCTATAAAAAAAAATCAATTATTTGGCTGTCAAAGTCATACACCAGTCGCGGTCAATTTGAGTTTGTTATACATAAAGGTCCTCGCCTATCCAAATATATGAAGTTTATTCATTACGAATAAAAAAGTTATAGGAATGTACACTGTGCATCTCTTAGTTTAAGGTACTTAACGATTTGAAACCAGACATAAAACAACAAATGAAACTTATGGTCATAAGCTATAAACATATAGGTATTGTCTGCTGTATTGCACAAGCAAATTCATTGAATTTATATCCCCCGCCGAGTACTGGTTATTATTAACACAACAACTGAAGACATGAGGCTTTATTTATATATTAATCATGGCATAAACAGTAATATTCTTTGAACTTGATAAATATTCAGGGCAATAACAGAGCCATAACTGTGTTAAATAGTAAAATCTGGAAATGCCAATGAGATGTATGTATACTACATAACTAATCAAGGGCCATAAATCTGAGTTTAGGTATCTGACTGGAACAAGGCGACTTTATGCACATCTCCTCTTAGTATCCCATAAAGTTTCATTGAATTCCAGCCAGTTGTAGCATTCTGTATGGAAACTGCATTATGAACTAATCAAGGGCCATAACTCTGAGTTAAAGAGTCTGACCGGAACAAGCCGACGATATGCGCATCTCCTCTTGATATTGAAGGTTCCCATTAAGTTTCATTGAATTCCAGCCAGTAGTTGCAGAGAAGTAGTGTGGAAATGATTTTTACTCTATATGCATACTACATAACTAATCAAGGGCAAAACTCTGAGTTAAAGGGTCTGACTGGAACAAGCCGACGATATGCGCATCTTCTCTTGATATTGATGATTCCCATAAAGTTTCGTTGAATTCCAGCCAGTAGTTGCAGAGAACTACTCCGGAAACGATTTTTACTCCATATGCATATTGCATAACTATTCAAGAGCAATAACTCTGAGTTAAAGTGTCTGACCCAAACAAGCCGACGATATGCGCATCTCCTCTTGGTATTGAAGGTTCCCATAAAGTTTTGTTGAATTCCAGCCAGTAGTTGCAGAGAAGTAGCGCGGAAATGATTTTTACTCCATATGCATACTACATAACTAATCAAGGGCCATAACTCTGAGTTAAAGTGTCTGACCCGAACAAGCCAACGATATGCGCATCTCCTCTTAGTATTGATGATTCCCATAAAGTTTCGTTGAATTCCAGCCAGTAGTTGCAGAGAACTACTCCGGAAACGATTTTTACTCTATATGCATACTACATAACTAATCAAGGGCCATTACTCTGAGTTAAAGTGTCTGACCGGAACAAGCCTACGATATGCGCATCTCCTCTTGATATTGATGATTCCCATAAAGTTTCGTTGAATTCCAGCCAGTAGTTGCAGAGAACTACTCCGGAAACGAAATTCGGATGGACGGATGGACAGATGGACAACACCAAAACTATATCCCCCTCCCGATTCCATCGGCGGGGGATAACAAGGAAACAACAATATATTTAGTCAAAGTCAATTTTAATGGACCAAACGTAGACAGTATGTCGGCCAATTTGAAAACAGTATGACATCATTTAAATAGCGGTAATGGTATTATATTATAGTTTTTTCATGTTTCAGTTAAAATTTCTACGTGTTACTTTGCTTGATTTTAAATATTAAATTTATCCTTACTTGTAACTCAAAGTTTATTTTATAACAATTAAACAAGAACAATTGTTTCAGACATATGCAAAAATTAAACAGACTATTGTTGCTTTTTGCAGAAATTTGTAAACTGTTGTTCTGTTTTACGTAAAAGTCTAGAGATTTAAAATATTTTTCCACAAAAACTTTGTTGTTTAGGTATTTAAATAAAATATGTCAATTCTGACCAATTTTAACACTGGTAACATGAAAATATGCCATTACCGTGAAATAAGTCATGACGCGGAATTAGAGATGTTGAGTACAATAGTTTTGTAGTTTGATATTTCTTAACATGCCAAAAATATACATTGCATGTAAAGGGAAAATTATACCCAGCAGGCACTTGACGTTGTTTCAACGTTGAAAAAACGTTGAAATATGGTCGTGACGTTGTTCAACCAATATTCAACTATGGACAACCATACGGATATATTGCCAATGTATATAGAACGTTGATTCAACGTTGTTTATGGTCGAAGTTTTACATTTAGTTTAATCATTATATAAACTTTTATACCACTAATTTTGTGTTATTATTCCTTTATTGAATTAGTCTGTAAGTGATTTTTGTCACGAAATTTTGCGTTAGTATATTCAAAATTAGCGCTTTAACAAATAAAGTTGGAAATAATTTTTCACTTTATATTAACGCTTTAAATGTTTAATTAATATGTTTTGTTGTTTGTTGTTTTATTTTTTAGTTCTTTATGAATAATATTAGATGATCTAATTAATAAATTGATATTAATCAAAACCCCGTTGGTCAGGGGAAGTAATTGTTGCAGTCTATGATTTTGTTTGTTGTCTATGATTATCGTTCGTGCAAATGGTGGTGCTGTTTGGAAAATTTGAAAACAATACGATTGGCAATTTATTTGGATTTCGAAGGTATTACCGTCATGCTTTACTTTAGTCAGGGCTCACGCTGTCGGTCGCCATAGTCGCCATTTGCGATTATTTTATAAGATTGGCGATTATTTTTGCATTTTGGCTACAAAATCTGGCGATTATTTTTTACTTCCAACAGTGTTTATATAAGGTGTAAAAATCGATAATGAATGCAGTAGACCCAATTAACGCCAGCGGGGTGCATTTGATTTAGTGTCAACTTTTTACCGGTCACGTGCTGCTAACTATATTGCCCGAGGTGATAAAATACATGCGAGATGTATAATTGTATAAGTACTTTAAAGATATTGTCCAGCATTTATAATAGCCATCAAGTATCCGTCAATTAGTCACAAAAATCGTTTTAAAATTGATAAACTGGATATTGACTTACCCAAAATTTAGATGCCAAAATTTACCGTGAATTGCAGTAATTGCAAATTTTGATTTTTTTGTTTTAAGCTACTTGACTAAATCGCCAGTGGAAAACAATGGTAAAATATTTAAAAAGTATTAACTTCCAAACAACTGTTTGCACAACAACCAAAATTGTGAATATTTCTTCAGAAAACAGGAAAAATCCGATTGTCACATATTTTCGCGACACCGATAATTTTGATATTTATTTAAAGGTGAAATAAGCTATGTTCTGTTTAAAACTCTTTACTACTATGGCAGAAAATTTGTATTACATTGGTGATGATGATATTTTTCAGTAAATTATTCAGAAAAAAGGCTGCATTCTATGAATGAGTTTGCAAACTTGTGTTATTTCTATAGGCTAATATGACCTAGATCTACTCAAGTTCTGTGTGAAATGTGGAAATTGACAGTGATTATAGCTAGAACAAACAAAAAAAGTTGTCTGATAACAGCATTATGTAAAGTTATAATGAATCTTTAATATTATTGTTATACAGTAATTATACTAATTATAACGTTTTTATTCTGTTCTAAAATAACAATTAAAGTTGTGGTTCTATTTAAAGAAAGGTAGTTATCAATATACACAAATGTATCAGTTTATTTGAGAATCCTTATAAATCTGAAAGTTTTATATAAATGTAATGTTTATTTAATCAACTGCTTAATATGTTGTTAATCGCTAATTCGTGAATAGTCCGCTGAACGTTTGGCTATTATTTTTTTAAGTTGAAATTATTGGCTATTATTTTATTTGAGCCAGTGTGAGCCCTGCTTTAGTTTACTGATTATTTTCTAAAATATTACTATTTATTCTTTAAATTCTACTTTAATTTACTTTATGAAATAAATAAGAGATGAAAACACATGCTTGAGTTGATTTAACACGTTTTCGCGACCTAATTGAATGATTTGGGTTCGGTAGGCATTGTAAGCATGAAGTTATTGATGTCCTTGGCAATTTATGATTTTACAAATCTTGTCTTTCTTTAACTTATTTTGCATATTATTAAACATTTGTCTGTACAATATCCTAATTAGAATTTAATCAATTATAAAATTTAAACCTATTAACTATTTAGTAGTTCGGCCCACATAATTTACGTCCCAAGACAATATATATAACTATGTCTATGTTTATATTTTAGTGATAGTATTATACAGTGTTAATTAGTTTGAAAAAAATACATTATTATTAAGTTAAATAACAAAGTTGACTGTTAAACTTTAAAATTGAATAGTCGTAAATTTATAGGGAATAATAAATCTATTTCTATTTTATTACATATTATTTTATATTCTAGATTCTGGTCCTGGCTGAAATTTAGAGTATTGCAGCTGTAGTCTGTATACCATACACTCAACATGAAAAGGACTGTCAGGTTTGTTCAATTGAAATTAATTCTTATTAATTTATATATTTGAATTTATTTACAATACAAAGTATAAATTTTTCAACTACTGGATATTTATCTTGTCTTAAAATATATTATTTTCTGAATATTCCTGTAACATTATTAATATAAAATTTACATGTTTGTTGATTTCAGGATGCTGCATAAAATGGTCTTAGCTAGAGCCTAGAATGTTAATTTCTTGGGAATATGCTGCAAGGAACTGACGGGGAGCAGTTTTTCTTACCAATCATAGGTGAGACTTTTAAATAGCTTCTTTTTAAAAAGATTTTGTTGTCTTATATACAGTATTTGCTGTCAATATGAAACTTAGCTATGTTTCAATTTCTATGCTGTTTTATGATGTAAATCTTAGAGAAAAGCATTTTAAGATAAAAACAAATCACTAAGTTGAGTAATTATATGTATAATTTGAGATTGACCAAGTCAACAACTTCTTATTTTTATTTGCAGAAGCAGTAAGAGACAGCCAAAGAAGTACTCAAACACCTGACATACCAAGAAAGATCTAGAAGAAAAGATTGGAACAGATTGTAGCTTAATTGTTCAAACTATCAAAGTGAATTTTAGCTGCACTTGAACTGTATTTTTTAAATAAAATATCTGAAGTATTTAATATTGTCTTGATATTTTGTTAAACTTGGTAACTTTGCTTTATATCCAAAAATTAAAGTATGGTGGGTTTTCAACGTTGAAATGACATTAAAACGTCAACGTTGTATCAACATTGAAACTTCAACGTTGTATCAACATTGAAATTTCAACGTTGTTTCAACTTTCAAATCCCAATATAAATCCAACCTTATTTCAACGTTGAAATCTGACCATAATTCAACGTTGAAACAACGTTGATGTGCCTGCTGGGTAATTACTTCAAATATAATTGTTGAAAACATACACTGATATTGTACATTAAGATAAAGGGAAATTATAATAAACATTTCATTTTCAAATTAAACAAAAGGTCAATTATAGGTCAGTGTCACATCTAAATTATTCAATCTGTTATTTGGTAGGATGTCTTATTTTGTCAAATCTACTTGGCAGAACAATTTGTGAGAATCAATCTTAAACAGTTAAAAGAAACTGTACAGTTGCTTGTCAGTACTACAAACATCATTGAAGTACCTTTAGTGGGTTTAGAACTTTTTTGCAACAGACACACTGTGCAAGAAGCAAATAATGTCTTTCTGTCTTTTCTTCTTTTTCTTGGGTGTACGACATGTTGTTGTTGTTCGAATTTTGTGACATATCGCGGGAAAACCGAAGAACAGTGAAATAAATAGTTCCCAACATTGACTTCTCTATATTTTGATTTTTAATAACATTTAATCAATTAATGTTAAAAACATAAGCGTAAAAATACAAGACAAATCAAATTATTTATCTAAGAACAAAAGTTTGTGGAAATTTCAATTTTATCTCTTTTACACAAATTACTCCGCTTGTATTAGGTTTAATAGTACTAATTTATTTCTGTCATTTTGAAGTAAATTTTGTCCGCCTACTGCACATAAAGACAGACAAAAACATTGCCAAAATGAAATACATATCCTTAATTACATACAGCTGTTGCCAATTTAGTACCATCATTGTATTTCTTAAGACATTCATTTGATCCATTTGCTTCAGTTATTAGTTTTCAATATTTAGAAAGTCCAAAAATGTGTCATATAACGTTATAAAATTCATTGACATGCAATCATAAATTACTTTTATATATCTCCAAATTTGCTAAAAAAAACATTTTTAAATATTAAAGTATAAACCCAATTACACATCATTTTTATAAACTTCATCAATGCCCAAAATCATCACCAATTAGTCTACACTATATATCTATATCGTCCGCTTTTTTCCTCTTTGTCTATATTGTCCGCGTTTTCCCTATATGTTTATATTATCCGCTTAAGGCGTCCGCGTTTTAATAGACAGGCCCTAGGATGAACGCCAGGCCCATTTTAGAGAAGAATTACTAACCATGTTATGAAATGACATATAATTAAACCGCACGCAACAAATAGAAAAGGACTGGGTAGTACATGTATACAATGAGATTAATGAGTAGAGTTTGTTATAAAAGGAAACACATTTCACAGTAACAACAAATGCAATATAAATGTAAAATACTTGTACAATAACAAACTAGATCTATATATTTGACATTGTAACATGTAGATAATCATCTGGGCGAAAGCCCGTTGCTTTTCCTTAGATACAAATGTAGACTAGATAGGCGTTGAGGTGCAAAGATTTTGGATTTTGGAGAAATACAATTTTATGATCAGAGTATCACAAGTTCCCACTGCACTTCCATATGGAAAATCCAAAATTACACAAGAGGGGCTCTGAATCGATTATCTGACTTGGTGGAAGTATATGTAATTGGGGCAGGTGAAGGTCAAAGTTTATACTACAGCATGACATACCTTTTAATCTTGGGAGGGGGGTTTAAAGTAGAACTGGCAATGCATTACAAGTAATGGTTGTTTTCTAGGTAATCATTTTGGATCTTATTTTGTAGAGATTCTTTGAGAACAGCGATAGACAATCTTGTGACCAGTACATTTATACTGTACCTACAGTGGCATCAATCTTACATACCTTATGATTTTTGAATCAAGGCGTTACCACTTTTCAGTAAAAAAATATTCATTTCCTGACCAGCATGTTTTTCATCATTTTGTTCTAGATAACTTATATCAGCATTGTTATCTAAAACCTTTTGATGTTTTTTGGACATTTTGAATATCTTTTTATCATGTTATCTGACATGATATCTGTTGAGTCTGTAGGCAACTCATCAAGAGCAGAATTTGACTTTAACAATTGTACTCTTTGGTTTGGTACATAAGTATTTACCAAAACAACGTCTCTTGTACTTTTGTTTAAGGGAATTTTCAAAACTAAATATACTGCTTCCTGTGCACTCACTTCAACACTGATCGAAAACACATTTTTAATGTCTCCTACTTGCCTTTTTATATCTAGTTTGTCATTTCTTGCTTCTTTTGAAGCAGCATGCATAAGATTATTCATACCATATTGTGATTTACTTATATATGAAACAATTCACAAGGCACAAGCATACGAATCTAAGACAAATTGAATGTCAGTGTTTGCTTTGCATGCTTTCAACTCTGATTTACACGTATCTCATTTGGATTGGAGTTTAATGAACTGCTAATGCATTAAATGTAATCATTCTCATTTACCTGTGCATTGTCTGTCAAAAAATTCTCAAAAGACATATTGTATCCATGTTAATTCATTTTTATTTTTTTTCGTACTGTTTGAGATATTTGTTCTTGTTATTTGGTGTTGGTCAAACACCATATTTTTTTTTGCAGAGGTGGTCATGGAAAGCCAAAACGGCATGTCCGATCTTGCCCTTTTTACATTCTTGAATGTTTGTGGATTTGGATGTCTACCAATGTCCTCTTTTTATTTTTGCACAGTCAATAATTTCACCAACACAGTAATAGCTTAACATAGCTTATTATTTTCCTAAAATTATTTACACAGTGTTTGGCAGATTTATCACTGGAACAACGAAAATCATTCAATGCATCTAAATAATAATCAGTGTGACACTCATAAAATTCATTTATGACTTCGTTCCTGTTATATATAGTCAAAACTAAAAAAAATCTTTGTTTTTTCAAATAAAAACCATAGGGTCAAAATGGACCCCGTCTATGGGGGTCATTTATTTTCCATATATTTACATGTACATAGTAAAAGCTTTAAAAAATCTTCTTACAATATTACAAAAAGCTTAGATATTTGGCATTGAAAATGTTCCAGTGATTGTCCACCATGTTGAAATAAAACCCCTAGGGTCATTGAGAAATGGCCGTTTGCAACACCGGGTCTTTTTCAATTAAAGGTGATTTTATAGAACATTAATTTACACATTGAAAACTCATTTCTATAAATTATTAATAAAATGTGTTTAACAAATGTGAAATTCAAGGGTTATCCGAAAAGTTTCTTGAAAAATGTCGTATGGTTTTGATTTATTAATATTTTTCGATGGTACTTGCAAAACCATTTATCATTGTTATTAAGTGCATGAAGTATTTGTTTAACTTTGTGAAATGCTATTATCGACAAGGAGTGATACTCACATTCAAAAAGATACAGTGGAAAATTTTCATTCATAAACTAATTTGATTACTGTCATAACTTTGAATATTATGATAGCTTTATCAACAAAATAGTTTACGCCTGTTTATGTTCAATGTACTTTTATGTTATATACAAGCAAATAAATATGATTGAATGTTAAAAGTTAAATTAAATAAGCTATTAACATTTATGCAATGCTATAAATTTTATTTCAGGCTCGTTTGAAATATATGTCAATGGAAAACCGTTATATTCCAAGTTAGAAAAGAATTGTTCCCACCCGATTGCATTAGTGGTAAATATATCATTTTCAAAAAAATGCTAAACAACGGTACAGTTAGGGGCAATATACATATAACGAAAACATTGTAGATATGAAACAAATTTCCTAACAATACATAACTGTTTCATTTTAAGGTTTAAATGATCATAAAAGCTATTTAAAGGAATAGCCTTATTAACTGACAAATTTCAACGCTTACATTCAATATTATCCTTTTAGAATAAGTATAAATGTAATTAAAACGATTACTCTTGTCAACTGATAAATTTTAACGCTTATATTCAATATAAAATATTTTCCTTGTTATTTCAGATATTTAATTCAATACACAATACGATTCACAACCCCGACTCCAAGAAGACAAAAGACAGTTCTACACAATTTTGTATTCTTGTTTAGACAAACTATACCTTCCAAAGAAATACTTAGAAAGAACAAACATCAACATGTCACACTTTTGTCATACTTCATTGCATTAGTAGGAAGTTAAACATCAGTGCATGAGTAGATTTTAATTTAATTTTTATACTTAATTTTTGGAATATTGTATTTATATTTATTTAACTTTCTTTGGACTCTATCTCGCCTTTCATGTCCAATGTATAAATGCATAGCGAATTTCTCTCCTGATGCAGTCGCGTAACGGGCAGATTTATCTTGTTTTAGCTTAGCATACTAATATTGAATTTGTGACAGATGTGCTTCTATAGATCTCTAGATAACATGGATTAAGGTAATATTTATTGCATAGATTATTAATACATCTTTCATTTGTAAATATGTTTGCCGTCGGCTTGGAATGACTTTTGGATACTTAAAGCTTGTAAAAAGCAGGTTCCATAAGGATGTACCGCCGACGACAAACATTCATAACTTATTTTGTATATATGCTAGCATAGATTACTTTGAAATAAAATATCTATAATTCTTTTCATAGTCAAACACTTTTGCTTTTGACAGTTTGCAAGTCACAAACCGCTTTATGGGTTAGATACTTCTTGATGTGTAAAAGGTAATCAAGAATTTAATAGTGGTGTATGTATCCTATGCTGTTTTATTGTTACCTTTTACTGTTATATATGTTTACATATTTATGTAAAATGGATAAAGAGTTCTAAATCATTCCGATATACTAATCATCTTTTGCACCATTAGTAAATTTTTATGTTATCACAAGTATATAAAACAGATTTCTTTCCAATTTTTGAAAATTCTGATTCAGCAATGTTTTGAGAGACTTATCCGTTACAACTCGTTTAGGTAGCATGGAAAGCATGTATCCCAATATTTTTATGTTTTTGATGAGGTGTACAATCACACATGTCTTTTGTTATACGGTGAAAATACCGGGTTATTGTCATTCAGTGGCTTACGTTTCTTACATCTGGAGCTGGAGCAAGCGGCGATCAGTTCATTTAAATGGACAATAATGCTCGCCCCCATAGGTCCAGGGTGGTCAAGGACTAACTAGAAAGGGAGTCTATTGAGCGCATGGACTGGCCAGTTCGCTTACTAAATTCTTATATCCAATAGAACACATGTGGAATGAGATACAGGTTATAATTTCAAATCGTCCGCCGCAACACTTAACCAGTCAGGAGCTTTGAGCCATGTTGGTCCAATAATGTGCAGCCATACCTAATAGGAATCAAACGATCACTTGATTATTGTCAAAAATATCATCAGTAAACCGTATTCTTAATTTCTGAAAACTATGATATAAAGTTCAGCACTGTTCCGACCTGCCTATCGAGCACGTCCAGTTTAAAAGATAGGGACAATAAGCACACAAACATCATCTTTCGTCCGATCAACTTTAACTATTATTTTAACGTTAATCATGACTGAATGGACCAGTACACAACAACAATGTTAAACATTTTTTTTTACATTTCTTTTCCAATATATCGTTAACATGCAACAGCTAGGAATTAATAAGTCATGATATACTAAGTTGCTACATGACTATGAATAATTAAATATCAGGATAAAACATTGTAGTTCATTATCAAAAAGCTAAATCAACCGGTGCTTTATCAGGCGATAAAATATGCTTAAGGTGATTTTCCTATACATTTCATATGTACCATGTTTTATTTTATTATTTAAATATGGTATAGTAATACAGAAGTATTATAGGGGACTCAGAACATGCTTCAGATGGAGCGGTTACAGAAATTGATTCCGGACGGAATTTAACAGGGTGGAATTTAATTCTAATAGTTGCTATTATGGATATTGTTTGGCCCAATTTGAAGCAACTATATGTGTATAAAGTCGTCAGCGTTGATTTCACGCTTGCATGGCGTTATCATTTTAATAAAGAATAACCTAGTGCCTCTTTTAATTTACATTTTAACTGATATTTCAATCAAAAACCATAAGTTATAGGTGAACGAACACAACTTTCGCTTTCCCCTGAAGCCGCCCTTGGATTGTCAACATCTTTTATCTAAGGTTTAAATAGATGTCACCTATAATGTCATGACATAATGTTTAGAGTGATAAAAGGATATTTTACATCAGATAACGGTGCATATATACTTCATATTTGGTGCAAATCTGTAAATGGAACGTTTTTCTGACCTTAACCGGAAAATCAGTTACACAGGACATGTGTATAAACTGTTGCTATCTTTTATTCATATGGGGACTATATTAGTTGAAGTGAAACGGAAGTAAGCTGCATGTTTTGATGACAAATATTGAGACCACATTGTTATTGTAGCAAGCATTGCGTGAAATTTTTAATATGACAGCGACCTGTCGAAGAATGGATTGCAATGAGTTGAATTAGCAAAATTTGCTTCAATATTACTTGACGAAATAACATAACCTTCCATGTTGTTTAAAGCGTATTTCTTTGATCAAAAAACAAACAAATAATTACTTTACAGTATAGTTTGTTTAAAGCTATACTTCTTGTTTTAAAATTTTACAATTAACACGCAGGGAAATATAATATTCTGAAGAGCTGGAAGTAAGTTTTAATTTGTTATGATTGATACTAAAAATATATTTGTCTAAGCCTTAAAGGTTAGGATGATTTCTAAAATATCTGATGTTGGCACCAGATTTAAATGAACTTTAACGAGAGAGGTTGTTAAAATTTTAACTTAATGTATTCCCGTTGTTTGCAAGTCACTCATGCGACGGTTTTAATATGAAGATTATATTGAATAAAAACTATTTCAGATATTGCGTTTAAATTCTAAAACGAAGCTGTGTATAAAAATCAAACGGTTTGATTATGATATCCGTCCATATCAAATGTCATGTACAATGATATATCTTTTATTCTTTTCTACAGGCTTGAAAAGGTAGCCAATAAAAATTCTATATGCCTTCATATAATTCGGAAAATATATCTCTAAAACAAACCATTAATCAAATATTATGTTTATTATTTTTATTTAATTTTTTTTGTATACATGTACAATTCATGATGATGGAATAAGGAAGATTTATATCATACAATGTACTGTATATCCATGGCAGTAGTATAAGGACTCGACGACACAGTATATTCTTTGTCTTAAATATATTAATAATAACTATATTATATTTTAACTAATATTTATCTAGATTTAAACTGTATGAGTATAATAGTGCAGTATGCTGCCGATAACAAAAGAATAAACTGATGTTGCATCATTATGATGTATTATATATAAGACTTGACGTGTATTGAATACACTTAAACGTTTATCATTTTATAAATGTAGTAATAAATTTTTATTTTCCTTAAGCTTGACAATGGCAACCGCTAAAGTTATTAGTGAATTATTCGGAAATTTTTGAAGCAGTTTCAAATGCAGTGTCCATACGACTAAATTTATTTATATTTGAACACCTTTATGAAAAACGGATTTATGTTTCTGCTTTGCATATAAGTGGTTTAAACAATACGTATTAATTTGCTATTAACATAAAAGGAGTAATAATAATCCAATGATTCTGTATCTACAATGAACTTTTGCTTCAGAACAGACTGTTTTTAAACATAGCATAAATTTTGCTTTTGAAACGGAAAAAAATAGCTTATCTTGAAAGTTTTATTTATAGATTTAACGTTAAACACATGTATGCCTATAGTACGTATGTACAACTCGTATACAAATAACCTGTGGTATATGCCACTGTATTTACATTTTGCCATATTGATAATCAAAACTTAATTCATTAGATCAAGTCAACAAACAAACTACATGTGGTGTTTAAAAATAATTTACGACTTGTTTGTCACTTCGTATTATACATGTAATTACAAACTAAAAATTATACATATGGATACAAGTTGTATAGATAAGTGCTAATTTGTTTGATACTTGCTCTTTCAGAAATTAAATGGAAAATTGATGGAACAATGGATTTAAATCAGATGGATAAGGAATCTACTCGGAAAGAATACAAAAATACCTTCGTGCTGTCAGTTGCCTTTACAGCAGTATTTACTTCTTACTTAGCAATACAAAATCTTCAGAGCAGCTTGAACGAGAAGCATGGTCTTGGAATTATCTCCTTGTCATGCATGTACTCTAGTTTAATTATCTCAGGTATCATTGCACCTGCAATCATCAATGTTTTTGGCGAGAAAAGGGTGTTAGTAATATCTTTCTTATGTCACGTGATTTATATAGGAACTAATTTTTATCCAATCTTTGCGACATTAGTTCCATCATCTGTGTTATTAGGTTTAACAGCAGGACCAATGTGGACATCACAAAGTGTTTATCTCGCTACCATGGCTTATTCCTACGCAGGAAGAACATCTAAGGATAAGCATGCTGTACTGAGTAAATTCAATGGAATTTTCTTTCCGATGTATGAAACCACGCAAATAACGGGAAACCTTATATCTTCGTTGGTCCTGCAGCAGGGAAGTTACAATAGCAGTATATCAAGCAGTGCAATAAGCAATAATATGACTATTACTGATAAACTGTGTGGCAGTGCAGATTGTCCTATGTTAGTTAAAGCCACACATATCGACGAACCTGGTAGAGACGTTGTGTTTATTCTACTAGGAATATTTCTAGGTCTTGACATATTCGGTGTGCTTTTGACGTTGTTTTTCTTGCCCCCTTTGAAAAGGTTGAAATATAAAGGTAGTGTTTGTAGAACTTTGGCACTATGTGGAAAGGGCTTAACCGATGTTAACATTTTACTTTTGCTACCATTAATAGTGTTTATGGCAATGGAGCAAGCTCTTCTTTGGACTGTTTATACAAAGGTAAAAGAAATCAAATTAGATTAATATTTTCTCTATTTATGAATAACCGTTTTCTAAAAGACTACATGTAATTAGAAGCTTATAAATCAGGCGTGTATGAAACTAAATCTTTGACAGGAAAAAAATGAAAATTGAAATCATTAAATTCTTTACTTTTTATTTCAGTCTTTTATAAGTTGTCCATTAGGAATACAGAAGCTTGGGTTCGTAATGGCAACCTACGGAACATCTACAACACTGTTCGCGTTCGTTGTCTCGAGAATCTCAAAGTTTACAGGAAGATATATTTTATTTACAATCGCCGGTGCTTTCAGCCTCGGAATTCTTATCACTTTATTTTTATGGGAGCCCAGTTCAGAAGACGTCATGTTTATCTATCTGATACCTGTAATCTGGGGTGTGTCAGAAGGCATTTGGCAAATCCAGTCAAATGGTATGAAAATATTTATTATTATTATTATTATTATTATTATTATTATTATTATTATTATTATTATTATTATCATTATTATTATTTAAATGAAGAAATCATACTTCATTTAACCATTATTATGACTGTTAGTATTCAAATACATGTAGTGTTGAATTGATGAATTCGTTTATTGAACACATTTTTTATCGGTAAAATATTGAAATGTGGATAAGTTGTTTATTCAAATTTTATATTTGTTACGCATCTTTTATTAAGTATTTTTCTGTTATTCGTTCAAATATATATCTATACTGACTACCTTATGGCGGTTTAAACAAGTTTTAACAAGTCATATTTTGGAGGTTAAGAAAACATGTACATTAATATTTACTGTTTATTATGTGATTTGTCAATTAAATAATTTACTTTCATAAGCGAATGTACAAATGTGCCTCTTTAGTTTTTCATACACTAGTGATATAATTATTTTTGTTTGTTTCAGCTCTAATTGCATTTTTATTCCCGGACAAGAAAGAAGTCGTATTTGCCAACTATCATACGTGGAAAGCCATTGGTTTCACCATGCCTTTTGTATATGGAAACATACTCTGTGTGTCAACAAAATTATTAATAGCCATTACTTTACTTATAGTAGCAATGATTTCATATCTTGTAGTGGAAATAAGAGTAAAACCAGCAAAGCCTTGTAATGAAATCATTACAGACGAAGAAAATAAACTAAATCCAGACAATAATACTGCTAATTGTTAAACATTGGTACAAATGACAGCAATTTCCTTACATGCTGTGTGCAATGCATTTGATTCAATAAAGTAAAAAGCTTTGCAAACTCAAGTATATCAATTTTCATTAGGATTAGGCATGTAAAGATTATCGATTGCAAATAGTTCAACTATATACACTTAAATTGCCGAATATTAGAGCCACTATATATCGACTTCAAAGATAATTTATGGTTTGTTTACATGCTTGTGCAATCGAGTGATAAAAAATAGTTTCCTGAGTTCATATTTTATTATTTCCTATGTATGACAATCATTTCAATACGTGCATGGTATGTATTCATACCACAATATGATTTGAAATGAAACCAAATAATGATCTTTACAAGAACATGTGAATTATCGTAAGAGTCGTAAATTCGCAATAGTGATGCCAACTATCGACATTGTCATCATGATTGTGCTTTTAGATAACTCTTCCTATCGTATTATACTCATCTTTTCACGCAATTTAGTTTGTAGCATCATTTCTTTCAATTAAAAAAGCAGAATTGTCAAAAGCTGTTAAAAGTAATCGGGTAGAAAATGTAAAGTAAAGCTTTTAAGTTCCCCAACGATATATTTTCTATACATAATTGAGTACTTTGTTTAGCAGGTCTTAAACTATAACAATTTTTTTATAATCTATATCAACACTTAATTTATGTAACGAACTTATTTACAAATGTGTGTATTTTTTATTAAGATATGTCAATCAATAATTTTAAAATGCCAATATCAGGCTTATTTATATGTGTTATGATATATCATATTTAAGTACTGATTTTTAACTGTAACTCAGTAGTTTTTTAGTAACTTAATATAGTAGAAGACAATCTTGTGCTTTATCCATGAAAATACAGTCACACTGGTTTGTATACGTTAATAATGTAAAAGACAATCATACTTTGTGAATTTAGTTGTGATTTAATAATCTTATCAAATACATACAAAAAAGACGCGTCCGTTCAGGCGTTTTCGATTACAATTATTTATTATTTTCAGGTCTTGTTTTCTTTCTACCGAACTCATTTGAAAATAATTCATCAAAATAACTAATTTAATTCTTCCATACACCACAACGGTCTTAATTTTAATCTATGGTTATATGCATGCATATTTTGCTTTAAATAAGTCAAGCAGCACATAAAAAACATTGCTGATACACAAATAACGTTCTCCATATATGATAAGTCATATATTAAAAGCATAACTCATCTGTCACGGTTTAGATACATATAATTGAATCAAATTGACATTAAAAAACAAGCTTTGTAACAGCTTAGCTACTGCCTTTCGAGAAAGAAGAGCATGCTGTTGAAATTTAATGACATAAAAGTGAATTAAATGTCAACGTGACTTGAAAAGGTGCCAGTAACATTCCCTTTTCTTTTTCATTATATGTTGGTAAATAATTAAAATAATCGTTGAAAACTCGAGAAAAGATTTTTCTCTCACTTTTTTCTTCTTTAAAACAACAACAACAACAACAACAACAACAAAAACCCATCTTAATATAAAAAAAATGCCGAATCTGAAACACAGGCCCTGCTGTTTTTTTATTGCTCACAATGTCAATGTACTACTGTATGAATTCCTCGTCTATTTTTTTTTTTTTCTTGTTTTTTTTTCTCATCCGTCTCCTTTAACTTCTTTTCGAAAGTGGAGGTGAAGCGTTGGATGTAAATAAATGACAGAATGCCAATTAATAGGCATCGTTAGAGTGGTAAAATTTAGAACAGTAAAATAGCCATCTTTTTTTTCGGCAAATTAGTACAGTAACACTGATGGGAGTCAAAATACTAGCTACTTTGTTTACATTTAGCTACATTTATGACAAAGAATTTCACATTCATATTTCACATAACATGCTCTTAACCATTATTTAAACGTACATATGAAATTAATATTTGCCCTTTATAAAGAGGAGAAAAAAATAAGGATCTTTGAATGTGCCTTTATATAACGGCCAACACAACCAATATGCACGATCTTTTAAATTTAAGAATCCAAATTTCTTAGACAAGTGCACGATCAGTCCTGGTTAAGCCTATAGGTAAGTGTATATGCTACCACCCACGCCCCCTAGCACAAGCATAAGCAAATTCAATGGGGTAAAATTTAACATGGGAAACATACGTGAATGTGATAATACATGTTCGGCGATGATCATGGTGTTGTTCATGCCATTCCATGAATTGCGGCTTATGATACGGTCTTCAAGTAAGAGAATCCGTGTGACGTAAATGAGAAAACAAATGACGGGACTTAATTAGAATTTTGAGAGAGTGTCTCATTTTATGACGCCTTAATTTAATCGCATAACAGATAGCTGTTAAAAGAACCAAAATCTTGTAAAGAAATGTGCAGAGGAAATCAGCAGGTGAAATCAGCAGGTATCTTTTTTTTCTACATTTAGTTTGTTCTAGACTTTCCTTAATTAGAACAATGAAAACTACAAATGTACTATCTTGATAGGAATTTAATAAAATATTCAAGAAAGATATTTTGTTTATAAAAACTTGCTGTAGCAGTATTTATGACTAGATGTATAGATGCTAGTGTCAGACTTGTGTGGAATGATATGATTGTGTCTACATTATTGAGCTTTCAATAACAATGATGATGCAAACTTTGGTATGCCACATTTCAGACACCTCTATAATTTAAATGAGTGATGGAAATAGAAACATGAATTTATGCCATGCCACTTTGCATGATATCAAGAAATATAATAATAATAATAATAATAATAATAATAATAATAATAATGATAATAACAATAATAATTATAAATATAATAATAATATGGCTTGAATGATTTGGACGAAAACCTGATTGATTTTGTTTGTAATATATGTGTCTACTAAAAAAACGATTACATTTGGTAAGCGATATGACGTTCAAATACTTTTAAAATGGTAGGTAAAATGGAGATAAGATTGTAATTACCCTGATCTTGCTTATTTCTCTTTTTATAAACAGGAATAATATAAGCATCTTTTAATTTAATTTATCTGTATATATTGTTAATTATTAAAGATTTTATTGCAGCCACAGTCATTTAAAATATTATGGGCTTATTCCATCTAACCCTGTGGATTTTAAAAAAATACATGATATTTTGACTCCCATAGGAGTGATAAAGTCTATATCATTATGAAACGACAATATTTCATCTAGATAATGTTTAATTTGGAAAAAGTGTCAGTTTCAAATTTTGTCTTTCCTATTATATTTAAAATGTTGATAAAATGTTCTTTTAAAGCGTTTAAAATATTAAGTTCCCCATCAATAATGTTTTCGTTACTGAAAACAAGAGTGATAGGTAAAACATTACTATGGCAATCATCTCTCATCAAAACTATTTGGAAATTTTACATTACGTAATAAAATTGCCAAATTTGCCTACATGTAAACAAGAATGAAATTGATAATATTCCCACAATAATGAGAATAAGTTCAGGATATTTGTATACAATTCTATTATTTAAGATAACTGAAAGAATACTAAAAATGTCTTATTAAAATTATGAACAAAAGTTTGATAAACTAAGAATAAGACATAAAACATCAAGAGCACTACTTTCTACTGTTGTGATGATGATAAGGACTGAAAGACTTCCTCAAAAAAGCAGGATTGGCAAATCAAAGTTGACAGATTTAGATATACTATTTAGTTTAATAGAATCCAACTTCTTACAGGAATTTCTTCCATTCTGATAAGCCAACTCAGCATCCGTAATATTTAGATACAAGTTGGATAAAATTTCATTTTACTCCCCACGGGTCATTTTGAAAAAAAAGGCATTTCAGCAAAATAAGGATAAATCTAAGGGAAAAACAAATGTGTATATATAAGAATGTACGCTATAATCACTTTTTTACAAACATATTAATTAGGGTATAAATGCTTATTTTTTATTGGAACAGCATATCATTATTCTTCATCTGAAAACCACGCTCCTTCAAGTCTATGGAGATTATGTGTGGGTATAATACTATTTACAAAAGTAAATAATCAAAGTTTTGTACATTATTGCATTAATTCGGATTGAGGCCAGTATATAGAGGCACAGAGACAATTGATTTGAATTTTTTCTTCTGTGTATATGCACTTAGTCTTGTTCTGTTATTCAATGGTATCAGTAAATTTTCAAGATATATAAAACTATGGGGGTTAATTATCTAAATGAAACGTGATCTTGTTCTTTCGATATCTTCTTTATTGAAAAATATTGATTTTCTGGAAAAGCGTCAATTATTTTAGTAGCTTCACACCTAACTTAAAGTGTAACATTATATTTCAACGTCGTGACAAGCACATTGTGGACAACAAGCGATCGTAAAATTTGCGAATTAACAAAAATCTGTTGGAAAAATGCCTGCTTTTAAGCTGACAAAAGAACTCTTTATTAAAGACAAATTAAGCAATAATATTGTGCATTCCATTCATAGTATGTTTGCTTTTTAGTTTATTTAACATTAATTTTCGCGACACCAGAAATTATATTTTATAGGTTGAACACTGCTAAATTCTGTTTTTACTGCATATTATTCTGTGTTCTGCATAAAATGAAATGTATAATCAGAGACATAGATAACAAAGATAAGCAGCTCCTATATACCCTATTGAAATATCACTCATGCCTATAAAAAAGTGGGAAATTAGGCATTTTGTAGCAAATAAAACTTAATGGATGTACATCTGATCCTTTAGTATTATATACCATTTGAAAGGTAAATCTTTCATCTATGGCTGCATGTTAAAATATTGGTAACTTTCCATGCCTTTCACTTAGAAAAACATGGCAGAACATACCCACTGAGCCAGTTTTTTGTCATATGAATAGTTTTGTAACAAAAAATATTAAGTAGTTCTCTTTAAAAAATGATACAACATTTATTTAAATGGGAACTGTAAATATTTTTACCTGCAGCCATAGACAAATGCATAAGCTTTCAGAAAATGTATTATTTTACTGATTTTGATATCTGATTAATAAGTTTTACTTGCTACAAGTTTTAAGTTTAGTAGGCACGCGTGATATTTTAACTGGCTAGGAAGTATCCTATCTCTGTTATCTATGTCTCTGGTATAATGTAATGAATGTTTGTAAGAAAGATATTTACAGTTTCGATTTTTTGTACTGGGATCCTACATGTTTACCGGACGATCAGTTTACTGGACAAAAGCTATTCCTGCTGAGTATTGATTTGGTGGTGCTGGTGTTACAAAAATTTTGTTTGGTGTGCTGCCAAAGATGAAAAACTTATTGGCGTCCGCGCCGAAGCGCGGCGCCCTTATGGAATGAAATCAGATTTTGTGAATGGGCGACAGCAACTTCTCGAGCCTTTTATTATGACCACATAATTAAAGCCGATCATTCCGATCGGTATGAGGGTGCTTGATTAAAAATAATGTCTCGATATGTACAATGAATAGCGAACTGGAGAATTTCGCAATGCATGAAATAACCTTTTCCGTCTCTTCGTTTTTTTATTTATCATTTTGTAGTACACAGTGGGTTATTATGGTATGTTAAAATACAATAATGAGTTGATGACCTAAACATTCCGAAAATCTATTTATAGAGGGATGTACTGCTATCGGTAATTCCCGGTCTCTCCCGGTCTATTTTGACCGGAATTTACTAGTAACCGGCGAATAGTATCACACGTTTATTGTCCGGTCTCACCCGGTTTTGGAGTAGATGTTTGATATCGTTACAGAACAGAACAAATATTTTACAGATAAATAAGTTTTTTTTCCAAAATGAATGTTTGTCAAGCACAGATGAACTCATTATTATACATAACATACAATTCGAAAAAAACCAACAACAAAAACAATAGCAAATTCATTTTATCTTTATGAGATAAAAACAATAAATATGTGAAGGTACATTTTATGGTATTAATATGACACTATCAACTTTGAAACATTTTATTTAATTTGTTATTCGTGTTTAGTAAAGATGCCGAGGAATTATTCAAAGTTACAAATTAGATTTTATGAAGTATTCAATTGATTGATAATTTAAAAAATGATAGAGAAATACAAATGTACATTGTTTAAGAATAAACAATATTATATATTGAAAGATTAAGAATAATTTACTGACTTTTTCCAGTTAAGTTTTGATTTATAATCGTCGGTCAATATGACAATTGAATTCTTAAAATTTATTTTACAATTTTGATAAAAAAAGAGTAGTAAACGTAAAAATTCAGTATTAAAATAGCACATAAAACACAAGTATTAAAATAGCACATAAAACACAAAAAAGAGAGGAAAGCAATATTCATAAAATCTGTATATTTTATATTAAAATAGATATTACAATTATTGTATAATAAACAATTATGCTGAACATGATCAACATGGTAATATAACCAGTGTCATATTTTTACTAAGTGTGAACAGATACCTTAATATCTTCAATGATAGCGATAACATAATAAGAGACAATTCCACAAGGTGTTGATCATGCGTTACACATATGGATTATAAATGATGGTATACATGTATATCCGTTGCTATATATTAACAATCACGATCATGAAGAAATAACAAGTAATATTCTAATCTCTAGCATGCTAATCAAAGTTCATAATGAACAATGTCTTTCGTCTGTTCATTCTGGTGAAAACAAATTAACCATTGAAAAGTTTATAAGAATATCTTGTCATCATATGTCTACTAGTTCATCTTCACTTTCTGCATTTCTTGCTTGGACGCCCTTTGATGCTTTGCATCAATGCTTTTCTTGTATCCATTATGATAAGCTTCATTTATTCTGTCACAGTGAAAAAAAATACGGCACTTTACATTTGCACGTTTTATAGTGTCTAAAGGGGAACATAAATAATGCCACATCATGTAGAATTTAGAATACACATGTACATACAATAACATAATTAAAAAGTTTAGTTATTGACACATTCATCTTAAGAAGAATCAAGTTTATCCATCATTATCCCAAAGTGCTATCTGTAAACTCGTGACAGATAGACTTAAAACACAACTGTCAGTAACAGTAAGACTTATGTTTTAAATGTTGTGGTGAGTTTGGTTGTTCATTTTTTTTTTTGGTAATAACAATTGACATTAAAATTATATTCAAAATACTGATCTATTAAACAACGTATTGAAGTCTTAATTATTTAGACTTCAACACAATTTTAAAGTCCTTTTTATTAACCCTTTTTTGCATAAAAAACAAGGCTTTTTTCTCTCTCTCTTTCAGGTATGCCTAAAGATGATGACCTTAAATCTGATCTGCTTCAAATATTAAATGTTGAAAATGCTAAAGATCAAATTGAAGTTTTGAAAAAGGTATGTCTTTTTTTCTGAGTCACATGAAATGTTTGATGTATCAGTCAACCATATTTGGCAATGTTACATTAGTCAAATTTTTTTTTTGATTGAATTTAAATTATATTTATATCTTTATGGCCCCACTAATTGCGTCAGATAGAATATTAATTTATCCTTGTCCAAACATCCACAGGTCTATCATGCTGCCCATCTGTAGAAAAACAGTTGAATGTAGGGGTGTCCATCACTCCATGTTCTATTGACAAATTTCTAGTTTATTCACAATATCTAACTTAACTGAACAGCATATAAACTGAAAATCAAAGATTTGAATTCATGATCATTCATTGATGATAATTCTAACTCACTAACTCACTCATTTATATGATATATGATATATGAAATATATATAATATATAATCTTAGATTTAAAATTGGACTGGAATGTAAGTTTTGAAAGTACAAGGTTTTGTTTAGTTTATTTGTTATTATAAAAACCTGATATGGGGCAAATATTGAGTTTTTATGTACTAGTGCAGATTTTCTAACAACCAAGTTAACTTCAGTTAAGATGTTTGTATGTTATTTCAGGTATCAAAAGAAATCAGCAATAGAATAAAAAACAATGCAGATAATGAAGATGTAGTTTTAGCATTAAACTATTTGGTGCATATTTTCTTTATTAGTACCAGTAAAAACCCATGCAGGAGAGTTTTAATCAGGTATACCTTTCTCCCAGGTTTCATTTCCTTATACATGTAGCTTAACTTATATTATAAATTGTGATATTGACGCCTATTCTGTAATTTTTTTTGTTACTAATGGAATAATATAATTTAAAATCTTCATATTCATAATGATTTTTTTGTCATTGCCTTTCTTTTCTAGTTTAATATTCTTGGTGTTTTTTTAGCACCACCAGTGCTGTGTTACTTAATGGTTTATGTTGAATGACTACATTGTATTTTAAAACTTATCTTCAGTTATGTATCTCTGGGACAGAAAGTTATCTTCAGTCTCAGTGTATCTTAAAAATGCATAAATAAAAGATTTATATGTAATCTTGCCAGTTAAATGTTAAATTGAAGCCCATTACTCTTCTTGTAATAGGAGCTTAAATCTGTACCCAAAGCTACTTATATTGAGAAATGTACATATAATATTTTCTACTGTAGCATCTTCCAAGGATTGCCTGAAAATGTAAGAAGCAAGGTGATTGGTCCAGCATTCAAACATGCTCTGCATGAGTTATGCAACCATCCAATAAAGATATCTGATAGTGAATCAGATGGACCAATCAGATTTGTTGACACAGTTGATCTAAGGCACAATGTTGACACAATAGCTGCTGTTATTGAGAATTTCCCTCTAGGTAAGAGAACTAAGAACAAAATTATTACATATTTGTCTATAAAAAATTACAATAACTTGCAAGAATTAATTTTCAACCATTTAAGTTGTTTTTAACGTCAGGTCAGTACAAGCTCACTTTTTTACCTTTACTATATTTTGTTTTAACTTTAAATAAACAAGTTAACACTTGTAACTTTCTGAATTTTATAAATGGACTTGTCCAGCTTTAATTTTTGGTACTTTCCGTCATCAATATTGGTATATCAAGTTGAAAATCTAAAGTTATTTGGCCCTGGACAGGCTGCATGGACATTAGGGCTGCCAGGCCTGACTCTACACTGGTGGCAAAGGCTAATCGCTTCGGGTTTTAGTTTAGTAAAGGTTAAACATTATATCTTATGAACAATTTTATTATTTATTGTCATGAAAAGTTATGTATTGTGAGTATTTGAACAGTGGAATAACAAGTTGATATAAAACTATTTACAGGAGAAGACTGTGTTAGTAAAGTGTGCTTGGAAAGTTTGACATACCTTGGAAAACTACAAGACAACTTCTTTTATTCTTATGGGTATGTATACATGTTAAAGTTGCATATATTTAGAGCATCTAAATAAATAAATGAATATGGTGACAAAGTTGAATTTATATACTTGTTTAAGTATTCATATTTGAGTATGTTTATACATGTGTTCAAATAGTTTTATCTGTACAAGATTTAAATTAACATACATGAGGTAGAAAAATACATTTACAATATTTAGTTTGAATTTTGTTAGATTAATGACCTTGACAGAAAAATAAATGATCATTAATAGATTTTCAACTTATCTACTTAACCATTACCTTTTATCAGATCTTGTTCTTTACTTTAATTCAGTAGCTATTTGCTAGACTTTCATGTCTAACACATATTTTTATTGGAACATAGCAAGATAAGCCATGATTACGAGTGCCTGAACTCCTTATGCCTGAGAAAATGCTGTACACTAAAGAATGACCTTGCTAGTCTACTTGTCTTTAGTTAAAAAAAAACACTTCAAAATACATTCAACTACTAAAATACTCAAATTGGAATTTTAGGAAATCTGAATTTAGGACCTAATTCTAGACCTGTATTTCTTATGAATTTTACATATTCTTTATAGTGATTGGTTATCCCCAGTGCAACAAAATGAGGTAATGCATCACTGTCTGGAAACTGTTAAACTAGCCAACAGAATCTGCCAGAAATCTTCAGTAGCCTTGGAAACCAAATTAAAAGATGAAGTTTTATTAGAAACATACAGACAAGTGGTTACTCAGTTTATTAGTATTGACATTAAGATATTACAAACAGGTAAGATATGATATTACTATAGTAAGTATGAAGAATTTCTATTTAACTCTGATATACAAAAATGTACTATCCAAAATTATCAAGTTACTGACATTCAAACCTTTAGCCTGATGGTGGTAACAAACTTTACCCATATGACCAGTGCAGACCAAGATCAACTGGTACATCATGCAGTCTGGTCTGACCATGGTCTACATTGTTCACTATTCAGTCAATACATACTTAGAAATTTTCCCTAAATATGATGATAAATGGTCTTGTCCAAATTAAAAAATGGACAAGGCTATTCAAGGTATTAATTGCATTACATGTAAAATTGGTGACATAATTTTAATATCAGCATCTTAACTAACCTGAACAAAACTGGATTTATTGAAATTAAGATTTTAGTACACATGCAGATTGCAGTGAAACCTGATTTTAATGGAACTGAAAAATAGCACATATCAAAAGAGTTCAAATGTACATGATTGACTATTACTCATTATAATGAATTATTGTAATTTTATTTTGTTGACCTTAAAATGTCATTTATAAATTCCATATGGAAACAGTGTTATAGTAGGTAGTTTTACCACCTTTCTTAGTACATATTTTATGAGTATATTATAATGTTTGAATGTTTGGGATAGTAATCGTAATAATGGGTCAATATCCTATATAAAAAATTGTCATGTTTTTTACAGATGATTTTCTACTAGATTGTAAGACAACAAGTGCTATGAACATTTGGCTGATGTTGAAATTTTGCCTGGATAGAGATCAGCTAATTTCTCAGGTAAGGCTCCATTGATAATTGCATGAAGTTGTTCTAAGCAAAACAGGTGTGTTATTGCGCTACATTATAGTTCATTAAAATATCTGTAAATTTGTTTTAGGGAATTTGGGACTGTGGATTCCATGTTTTGTGATTCTATAATTTTGAAGTTAAAATTTTAACCATGAGGTTATCTAATGCAGTTGCTTTCTTTTCAAATCATTTTATATTCCTTATATCTTTTGAACTTAAAATTTCTTCAACATGTCTATATTTAGGCTTCAAAGACGATGTTCAAACACATTGATTGGTTACTTTTGTCCTTCAAACAAATTGATAGATCACCTTATTGGTTGCAAGAATTAAACTTTGACCATTTGACTAGGAGCAATTTATCAAGCTCAGCCTACCTGTGTAGTGTCTATGGATTTTTAGCAATGGTTGCTATGGAAACACTGTTTCTTCCTGTTGATGGAAAATGCTTGATATTGGATGTTTTGTTACAAGAGTTTTTAGAACTAAGCAAAAGGTAAGCATATGTATTGATGCATTTATTCATTTTTGTAATTTTTTCAACTTGACAGTCTAGTCTTATAGCAAATATATACAATATCACATGACAGTAAATATTTCACTAGTTTTTACTGATTAAATAAAGTATTTTTATTTATATAATTTGTAATACAATGCTTTTTTGCAGAGACTAGTTTACTTGTATAGAACAAATTATAGTCTGCCTACAAAGTTCAATAGGGAGAGTATCAGATTTGTAACTTAGGGGTTGCTAATTTGATCCTTGAGGCTTAATTTCTCTGTGAAAATTGATTTTGAATATTGAATCTAATAATTCTTATGGTCATTTGTCTATCATTTCTTTAGAAATCATGTGTGATTAGTAGTCAGTACTGCAGAGAAATCCAGATATCCTAGTTAGATGGAATCACCACCAAACATGACCTAAAACACGTGTTGAAATTAAAATCCAGAAAAAAGGCAAAACAAACAAAAGTAGAACAATTTATGTTCCAATTATTATACAAGCAATGGTTTGTATGTAGACCTTTGTTGTTATTTTTTAGCTCAAGTGATGTTGGTAGCAAACTTCTAGCAGCAAAATCTGTCTGTTTTTTAACTCAGAAAGTCAGGTATGTGCAAATGAGATATATTCAATATTCAATATTCATTTCTTTCAGTAGTAATACCTTTCATGTTATCAAACCTTGAAAGCAAATCTTTGATTTATGGTTGGAAAATTTGACATAACGTGAGTTTCTAATCATAATCTTTTGATCCACTTGAGACGTTAAGGAGAACAAAGTAAATTCATTGTTTGAAATAAGAGCTTCTGCAGTTGAAGTTTATTTAAGGTACCTTATTAGTGACCTTTATAAATCATTGTTTCATATTTAGTATTGTTTGGAATCCTGCCAGGGACTTTGGATTCTTTTATGTCAGGAAACTATCCTGCTAGCTTACAGAATGCCAGTGGTTCTTCTCAGGTGCCAGGTTGTTACAGAAATAATGCATGGAAGGGCACCTGAGTTCTTCTTCGACTAGTTAAGCTTGAAAGTCGCCATATGACGTATACTGTGTTGGTGCTAAGTTAGTTTATACAAATTTAGTTTAGTTTGATTGTGTTGGAAGCTGTAAGCTTATTGAAACACTCTTGAATCCGTTCCTGGACTCAAGCAGTACCAAGCAATGAATGTAAAGTTTCTTGCTCAAGGAAACAACTGCTTGGCCCTGACAGGGTTTGAACACACACAATCAGCAGTACTAGTCCGACACGTTAACCACTTGGTCATGCAGCCATTGGTGCTAGGTTAAAAGCAACCTAAAAGAGATAGGTGTGATTTATATTTGAAAAGGTCATTATTTATCATGTGATTAATTTTGTTCTTGTACAAATAGTATCATATTATATGTAGTGTAAACATATAATAAAGATGTCATTGTACATGTATATGTTTCAGAGATTATTGTAGTCAAGGAAATATTATACCAGTAGAGATAGAGAAACGGTTGCTAGGAGACAGTGAGAATATGAAAGCTGTATTACAGTTTGTATGGACAGCATGGGAAGATTCTGTAGATGTAGGTAACTTTATATAGGTGTTCTTGTCAATGTTTTTAACATACTATTTTAACATGTTAGATTTTTATGTCCTGAGAAATGAACAAATACAGTGAGTAATACAAATACATGTGATTTATTACAATAATCCTATTAAATACTTCTTGCATAAAAATACACATGCAGGGCAACATAGTGTAAAATGAAAACATGCATCATGATTGTCTGCACAGTTATTTCACATTTTATGTCTATATATGGAAAGCAAGTGACAAAATAGAATTTTCCCAGATACAAATATAATAACATATGAAAATACTTTACTTACATAAAATAAAAAACAATTATGTTTAAAAGCAGTCAAAAACTGTAGATGTATCTTCTGTTGTTTTTTTTTCTTGTTCTTTTGTATTTAATTTTTCACCCCCTTTACTTTCCCTTTTTCCTTTTTGTTTAAATATTAGGTTACACTAATACGAGTATCGTATTGCCGATGGTACCCGAAATGTATGTGTGCTGTTTTGTGTGTGCTGTTTTGTGTGTGCGTTATGTTCGAAATATGTATAGTTATAAAACCTGTTGGTATCTATGAATTGGAAATGTGGGTGTATGGGTGCGGATGTGTGTGCGGGCGTGTGTTTGGGTGTGAAAAAAACAACTCTTTGTGACCATGCTTTTATAACTGGACAGAAGTTTATTATATGTTATGTACACTGTACTATTGTATGATCACTGAGAAAAAAATAAATTATAAAAAAAAAAGTGACAAAATACAGTTTATTTAAACCAATTATGAGTCTGCTTCCATTAAAACTATGTCAAGTTATTACCTTAGTGGGCTCAAAAGTCCAATTCTTGGTTTGAGATCTCAGACAGATGCCTTAATCACTGGACCACCACTTACCTTAGTTAAAAAATGATGAATATGGAGCCTACATTTGTTTCAATTATTAAAATGTTGGTAGAGTTCAATAAGAGCAATGTTTAAAAAATCTCAAGTGTGTTGCCGCATCAGAATGAATTGTCCATGTGATTACTGTTTACATATAAGGTTTATTATTTCAATTAGAATAGAACTTGTGTGTTAATGTAGCAGGGCTGGCAAAATCAATTGTCCGAGTTGCCCGAGTCGTACAATTGTAGGTCCGGCCAAGTAAAATTCTGCAGTTTACTTGTCCGTGGACAAGTAAATTTCGGCGGCTAAAAGAGGAATTCTGAGAAAAAAAAATCTAGATCTTTTCTAATATATCTAAATCAAAAGGAAAATCACACATTTAATACGAAAACTAGCATGTGAAGTATGGTGTCATTCGTGAGGGCATTCCGTGCATATTAGGGTGTTACTATTTAAAGTGTTTACATAAATAGCAACCAACCAGGCTTGGGGTTTTCCTTACGTCATGCAGTTACTGCATGCGCGCGGCAATTAACTAATTATTGAACGTATCAAGGTCACTATGTAGGGTACATGTTTGTTTTGGTTTATGACTGCCGACTTAGCCTCTGCAATAAAATATTTTCGGTAGGAACGGGGATTCTGCCATAAAATTGACTTGGAAGCTGTGGTCTTTTCAAGCGCATTTATTGTTTAGATAGCAGACACAGCATCAAACTCGCAACAATTGTCTTTGAAATACCGCTGTGTTATATGAAAGTTAAATACATTGTATATAACTCTTCCAGGTCATTTGGGAATATTTACGCAAAATAAGTTGAATCACATCGGCAATTTGACTGCTTGAATTTATGTGGACAAAGTCATTTTATAATTTACTTTATGTAAAGATTTCTAGTAAAAATGCCTTTGTTTTTGAATGTATAATACTGGTGTTAATGTATACATGTCAGTTTCATCGTGGCCGATGATAATGATGTCAAAATTTTCACAAACCAAGCGTATATACGTATATGATATTACATTCTGTGACAATCATAAATATATCGTTAAAAAAGCCAGATGTCATCAATTTGACAAATCTAACTCAAGAGTACATATGTTTTTTAACAGGATTCAAATGAATATTATATAGATGAATAGAATAAGGAGTGAATAAATAAGAAATGGTACCAGAGTGCAAAAAATGAAGACATATTTTTAGAGCAATTTGGGTTCAAGTGACACAGGGAAAACTGAAAAAGTGCTGGCAAAAGACCAATGCTCCTTCCAGTAAAATATACACAATTTGTCCATCACTGCCGTTCTACTTTAATCTACTGCTGTTAACATTTTATAAATATAAATTATATTATAAACATTATAGGCCTATATTATATTATTTAACATATGGCACAGAATGTTTAATAAAATTGAAAAAAAAGTTCATAATCATATTGCTCTTCTTTATTGACATTTGCAGTAAATATTAAATATAAATACGGACAAGTGTACATTGAGTACGGACAAGTAAATTTCTTAGGTTACTTGTCCGTGGACAAGTACAATTTTCTGAGATTTTGCCGGCCCTGTGTAGGCGTTCAAAAAACTGAGCAACATCATATTCATCACATTGTTTATAGCTATTTAGTTTTTCTTCAATTTTTGTTTGTTTCAGGCTATTAGATTTACAGTGAAAGATGTCTTTGAGAATGTAGTGGCCATACATGTTCATCTTAAAAGTAACACAGGTAATACTTTAGTATTTTTTCATTTTGATTGAATTGTGTTTATAGAATTGATTTGAGGGATTTTCTTCCAGATAAACTTATACCTAACTTATACGTTTTTTTAAATTGCGTTATAATGACTTAGTTTTTGATAACTGAAAATTGGTATTTATTATTTACCTGTAATTTATTTGCTATGATTTAAGTCACACCAATACTGTAAAGGTCAGATAGTGACTATCCAGCTTTACCGGTGGATTGAGACTTCCGGTGCCCGTACTTGCATTTTTTCAGGCATGAACAATCACCTATCTAAGTAGAAAGCCAATGTTTCGTAAATGGACTGAAAAGCTTCCTCACATAAAAAAAAACCAAAGTGCTTGTTTGGATTGGAACCCAAAACAGAGAAGACCAAGTGGTTCAAAGTCAACAACCTTAGTTAAACATTGTTTTTTTTATTTTTTACTAGTGTCAGCTAAAGATGACCCACTTCTTCACCATGTAGCATTATCAATCTTAAATGATGTAAGCTGGTCATGTAAAGGAAAGTACCCCACCCTATCAGTTCTTGTCAGCCATCTTGGAAGTACCAGTATGTTGATGTTGCATCCTGGGATTGCTGGAGAAATACTTGAACAGATGCAGGAGCAAACACTGGCTTGTTATGTAAGTTATTTTAGCTTGAATTATTTCTGTTTTATAAATTTATACATCCATGGCAAAAAATCTGTAAAAAGGTTATCTTAAGGTCAAATATATGTCTATTTGTCTATTGGGCAGGATAAACAAAAATGTTGTAACATAAAAGTTAAATATGTACTCATATATTTATAATACTTGTATTGTAGGTAACAAAGATGAATGTTATATATCCTTAAGAACTTTCTGTTTAAAAACATAATAAGCTGCATAATTTAGAAAAATATCTGAATAGAGAATTTGAAAATATTGTGCAAACATTTAAAAGATTAGCAATGTCTACATGATAATGTATATATGGCATTTAATTTTTGGCAGCTTAATGTGAATTTAAATGTCTTGTTTTTTAATAAGGCTAGTGGACTTTATGAAAAAATGTTCATCAGTCATAGAGCAGAACTAACCAATGACCAATCAGAAAGCAGTACCTGGTTCCAACAGTGGCTGGAACCCATTCTTACAGTATTGTGTGGAAACAATGTGCTTCAAAAGAAGCATATCATAGAGGTAAAATAAGTTTCATCTTAATTGTGAATTACCTTGGATAACAGTAGATTAAATAATTTCTGGTATGATATGAGTAAGATCTTAATAAGTTATTGTTTTGTTTTATATTACCACCTTTCAATTATAATCACATGTTTTGACTTTAAATTTTTGTCAAATTCACAAATCCATATGTTTGAATAAAAAAGCTAACAACTTCTCCAGAATGCTGCTTTTGAAAAAAATTGTGTTGATCGAGCACCTTAGTGTTTACCTCAAATTTGGAAGCATTGTATTGATGTTTTCTTCAATCACTATTTGACAAAAAAGTGTTGTTGTTTGTTTTTATCAATTCACTGGATGGTGATACAGGTATATAAATGAACAATATTTGTATTTCAGTATATTTTACCAAAGTTATTGAAGACTGGTACCACGACTCTACATTATATAATACAGAGATTGTCTATAATGTCAGGTGATAATACAACACACCAGTCTACAGGGAATTTACCTTGTACACATACTGAGAATAAAGGTTTGTATGATTTAACCACTGATTTCTTAAATTTTGATTATTCACACTCTTTGCTTAAGACAAGATTTCTATATTTAATTGAATTGATTATAATACTGCAGTGCACATTGTCAGCATCAATTTTCATTGGACAAGCCTGGCATTATATTACCTATATGTTACACATGGTGTAAAGGTATAGATTATATTCTATTTGATCGTTGACTTCAAACCACTTGCCCCTCACCGCTGTGGGTTCGAATCCCGACAGGGACTTTGGATTCTTTCATGTGAGGAAGCTATCCAGCTAGCTTACGGAACGTCGGTGGTTCTACCCAGGTGCCCGTTCGTGCCTGCAATAATGCACGGAAGGGCACCTGAGGTCTTCCTCCACCAGTAAAGCTGGAACGTTGCGATATGACCTATACTGTGTCGATGTGACGTAAAACCCAAAACAAACAAACAAATATTCTATTTGAGTCAAAGAAAGAACTTTTCATTAATGCTATGTAGACTTCTGACAGGTTAGATAGACATAATATTATATAAGTGGTTGTTTGTTATATAACACATGCTAATTTGGTAACAAAAGCTTACAACTGTTTATACCTATAACTTTTAAAAAACCTTAATAACTAATAATACTGTAACAAAGTGGTAATGAATACAAACAAATAATGTGTATGAATATTGTAGGGGGAGAAATTGGAGCCCTTGTTATATGTTTATGTAGAGCCCGTGCCCTCGGGCTTCTGAAGACTGGGTCATGTGGGAGTGATGGAGGAAGCACGGGAGAATTGTGGTGTGGAGTGGTGGATGTTAATCTTCTCAAACAAGCTCTCATCTGTAATGATGATCAGGTCAGTGATTTATTATCTCCCTTTGTAGAAAATACCCCATTTAAATATCTGATAGATGATGTTACAGTTGAAATAATTCTAGTTATGAAAAATTGTTTTACCATGAAATTTTGTGACATGTCATATTTATGAGGTTTTGAATTCATGTGTCTAATAATTTTTAACACCAAGAGGGTGTCAACGTGAATGGTTTATTACAATAACATGATTGTGGGACCTTGTTAAATGCAAGGAATTGTCACATTTACATGCATTTACTGTTTTGATTCTAATATTTGTCATCCTTTTCATTCGGACAGTAGAACTTCTATGAGTCGAACATCGATTAGTCGATTTTCTCGATGTGTCGAAATAAAATGAAAGTCCCGATTTTTTCCCTTATATATTCCTTATAAAAACCTATTTATGAGTCGAGATTTTATGTGTCAAATTTTTCGATGTGTCGAAGTTTTTTCGTGGTCCGTATAGAATAAATCTATTACAGTTTACTACAAATAAGTCGAAGTCCTTCGCTTATTTTGACACCTTTGATCTCGAGACATTTTTCACACCTTTTCTGGCCGCGAAGAAGATTTCCGATCAACTTTAGTGACAGGTGTAAAGTACACAGCCGAGTGTTCAAACAGCCTTTGTATGCGTTAAAATATGTGAAAAAATGCTTTAATCATTACTATTTTAATTGCGTAGCGGTATTTGAAAGTACATGTAAACAGTAAGAACTATCATTTAAGTACTTCCGTGACCTGTGTCGCATGATAATCACACACGAAATATTTACTATAAGCTGGTTTATTTATTGCCCTTTCGTATTGTTACGCCTTTTGTAACTTCATTTTATACGTCAACAGGAAGTCCAAATCATTAGCTGTGAAAAGTTATTTAACATGTCATATTTATCATTATCAGATTAATGAATGAAAGAAAAACATGAAATAGATTACGTTATAGATCTTATAATTAGGACTAGTCACGGGTTAAAATTTTGTCATGAAATTCAGACCGATTCTTGAGTCGAAGTCCTGATGTATCGAAGTTTTTACGCAAGTCCCTCCAACTTCGACTTACCGAAGTTCTACTGTACAAATTTACAGAAATATTTAGTACAACTGTACCAAAGGGCACAACCCTATGTCAAAGTCGATAAATATTAAAAAGTAGCAATCAATTCTATAGTAATTATGCTGTATCATATTGTATCTAGGTAACTAACATTATAATTATAGATCAGACTAGATGCGTTTGCACTACTATGTGAGAATCAGAAGACATCAGAAACTATCAGTATGACAGAATTACAACTGATCACATATTTTATACCTCAAAACTTAAACAATCAGAACCCTGCCTTCAGACAACATTTCCTATCACTACTTAAAAAGGTAATTTTAAAAACTCTACATCTGGCTTTACTCTTTATTGATGTTGTATAAAATCTTGTCACTACATATAGGATGTTCAAGTTTTTTCTAGAAATATATTTCATGATAGATGAAAGAAAATATGGAAAATATCTTTAACTGCAGTGAAAAATTAATTTTTATAGTGAAGTGAATATTTCATTTCTAAGTATATAGAAAATTACTATTATTTTATTGCCATGAGTTTAATACTAAAAAGATGATAATTAAATAGACCAGGTAAACATTTTTTTATTTTGATTTTATTAAATCTTTGAATGTACATTGAACGATTTTACACATATTTTATGCATTGACTATATTTTCTATGTTGAATGTTTGTTATATTTTTGGTCAGTTTGTTTCAAGAATGAAGGAAAGTAGTGTAGCTCTGAAGAGAAAAGTAAGCAAGGATAAAACAGCTGCTGGGAACTTGAGGCAGTACAAGGTGATACATCAGATCATTTAATATTATAGTCCTATAATTGACATCATAATTTGTGCAAAACAGATGACACAAATAACAAAAGTTATGTTTATGTATTTTTTTATTTTAGCTTGACTATTAGAAAACTCTGCATTATCCATCTTATTGTTTTACTCTCAAGCACTTAAAGTCAAGCATGCTGCCCTACTGACAGCTCATGTTAAACTATTTCAAAACATGCAGTTGATTTATGATTCAACTCCTAATTTTTGCTAAAATCATGTTTTCCTTTTTTATAGATGTTTCTAGAGCAACTAACAAGGCTAATGTTCAGCCAGTTATATCCTGGTTCAGTATTTGCGAGAAGAACCACATCCCTTGGTGCTCTTGTTCTGTTGAAAGAGACTTTTGGAGGTCACAATAATGGTATGTGGATGTGTTAAATGATGTATTTCTATTTTAAAGATACCAATGTCATTGTGATATGTGAGACAAAAAGATACCATTTGATGTCAATAACTATTTTTGCATTTTCATTTAAAAAAGAAAACGCACATACACACATTTTAAAACCATCCATATTAAAAGTTTGTTTCACCAATGGTCAGATTTTATTTCTAAACTTTTGTTTAGAAAAGTTAACATCTGAAAATGTTAGTGTCAATATCTTACACCCAATCAACATTCATTTTTCTGATTACCCAGAATATAATATAATAAAAGCTATTCCTACAAAATTATTTTATATGATATATAACACTGTTTTGATTTAAATGATGTATAGATTTAAGACTTTTTTATCCTAGGTTGTGAAAAGGAATACAGTTTCTATGATTGTGTAACACAGCAAGATTTGAATTGTCTGATATTTTGTCTGACTGATACATTTTTAGGACAATAAGAGGAAGCGCCCCATACTGATTTCCGTGCTGATAATACTTCTCCTCAAAATTGTAAGTTTTACTTTTTATATAGTACAATCTTGATAACAGCCCCTTTGGGGACAAAAATTTTTTTTTTGCTTTAAAGGGATTAATTTTATGATGAAATCTTACTTTTAGAATTATTGATACTGCAGTTTTTAAGATGTAATTGCACTTTAGTGGACCGCTTCACAGAGGTTACACTGCTAATAACATAGAATTTCTTTTTGTTTCATTTTTAGTAAAAATAGAAGCTCTTACAATGTTATAGTTTTGTTTAATTGTTTAAACACCTCAAACAATTAATGTTCAAGTTCTTTTTGAGAAGAATATACACACAAAAAATAGTTTGGAATGTATGTAAATTTTTAGGAATATTGCATCTGCTTCAGGCAAGAGAGTTAGAGACAGGGATCTTTTTATGTGTTTCTAAAATCACTTCCAGTTCTTCCAGTTCTAAATAACCACAACATGAAAAGGGAAACAATAATTTTGAGATATTAATTATGTGCTAGTCAAAAGTACAGTGTAAATGGTTATTTTATTTTTCTTTCATCCAGCTAGAAAAGCAAGCTTGACACATATTGTTGATAATTTTCAAGTTACCTGTTTTATTTCCTTGGATAAAAAAAGTTTTGTGCAGATAGTCTAAATCTTATTTTGATAGCTAAAAAAAGGGTATACCAACCATGTCAATCAAATGTTAATTTCTACGTTTTCAGGAAGAAAACGTTGTTAAAGAGCTGCTGGACATCAGTCTATCCTTGTCTGAGAGTACACGACCTCAAGACAGTACTACAGCTGCATATCTCCTCTCTGTGTTAACACATCAGCATAATATGCATACAGTTCTTACCCAGCATATTCAAACAAGTCAGTCTGAGGATCTAAAATGTGACTTAGAAACAGAAGCCTTAAAAAGTGACAATGGAAAGGAATGTATTGATGAAACTAATGTAATTAAAAGTGAGAATGATAGGGAGGTTCTAAGAGAGGGTAAAAATAAGAAGTCATTGGTTAATGTAAGAGGTGGAGACAGTGAGCTTGTGAGGAGATATATATTGCTGGAGATACTGATGAAAAATTTACAGATCCAGACAGAGACAGCCAAGTCAAGCTTGATTGTAGCAGCTGCTAACAAACCCCTATACCCCACCATACAGTGTATGAGATATTGCTTTGCTGATATACAATATAGGTATTATAAGAAATAATTATCATGTTATATGATACATTATGATTACATATATATGATAGAAAACTTAATGATCTTAAACCTTGTTAAAAGTATAATGTATCTTTGATTCTTATCATTGGACTTAGTTAATGCTAAAGTTAAGTATAGACAAGGTGGTTGATAATGTTAAAAATACTTTGGAAAAAAAAAAAGAATACGGAACAAATACTGAATAGTATTAAGTGATTATCTATATAATGGGATGTGCACTGAATCTTTGTCTCTTACTCCTTATTAATAACAATACTAAAAAGTTTTGTTTAGGATTGCACAATCCGTTATAAAAATATATTTTATATTGTGTGTATAAAATAACAGAAAGAATATAGTTGTTGCATCAGGTGTATATTGAATAAGTTATATATAAGAGTTTTACAGGAATATACCATCCGAGTGTGTTGTTGACTGGAGGAATCTCGTGGCCAGATTTATTGCTCTATGTTTTGAGATATCTGGGGTTGTCTCCCCTGTTGTATGTAATTCCTCCCCTGAAGGCAATGTACCAGTTGATGCTGTGACAGGTAGGTTTTAATTTTCTCGAGAAGCATGGTTTTGTTGGATCTGAGTCTACCTGCAAACCTATCCTCATGTCAACTAATCTCTAGCCAAAACTAAACTATTATGCTATAATTATTTTTAATGCAGTGGCATCCAACCATTTTAAGTGGAAACTGATTCCATATGCACACATATTTATTTCTTGTATTATAAATGCATCTTAGTTTTAGATTACAATCAGCATTTCAAAGCTGAATCAAGATAATCATTTTAGTTTTAGTGTTTATTTTTTTAAAATTATTTTAAGCTTGTACCCTTTTTTGATTGCTCTTGAATCAATTAAAGCATAAAATCATATCCTGCAGTCTCATTGAGAATTACCATTCTGTTCTTAGGTGTTTTATTGTAGTGGCAAATTATCCAAAAGAGGTGTACCAAGGTTAATCATTCACTCTTGACATGGTGAAATTTAGTAATCGAAAATAAAAATGTACTTTGATTGGCAGTACTTTCATGTATCTGGAAAAAATTAAAAAATGAAGTTTGTATTTACTATTATCTTTTGCAGGGATTTAGAAATTTTGAATCATACTAGCTATAGATATAGACTTTTAACTTACTTGAGTATAACAAAATGTAGAATATGATTTTTAATCACCATGATATATTATATATAGGTATTGAGAATCTAGAAGATGGTGATAGTGAGAATGTTAGTAAAAGTAAGGAAACAGTAATGTTGATGCCAGAATACCTGATAGTATGTTGTTGGAGAAGTGTGAAGGAGATCTCTCTCCTCCTCGGACAGTTGACATCTGATTTACCTATAGTTAGTGTAGATACACACCAAGGCTTGTTAACATATGAACAGGTAAGGCTTGAAATGTGGATAAAAAAAAGATATATATAATTATGTTCAAACTTGGTTAAAGCATTGATGGTTTGCTTAATTCTTATGAAAGGTGTATATCAAGTTTACTGTTTAGCTCTCCAAAGCAAATGACTATGGTTAGTTATCCAGTGTTGCCATGAAAGATGTCTACTTACATCTGTACATTTATGTAATTGCTCAGGGTGTTGTTAATCTTGACCTTGATATTTGAAAAAAAAATGTACATATTCCCAATATAAAAACTACTAAATTTAAAGGGCCTCTGTAGCTGAGTAGTAAATTTTGTAGACTTCCAGTCACATACCCCTCACAACTGTGGGTTTGAAACAAGTAGGGGACAATTCATTTTGTTAATGTGAAGAAGATACATAAAGGAAGGTCAGAGGTTCTTCATTTGTGCCACCATGTGTTTGATATAAAGGCATGAATAAGCATTTATAGTTTTCACCCACAAGTATAGCTTGAAAGTTGCCATATGACTTTAACAGTGCCAATGTGATTAACTACCCAACAAATAGAGATGAAATTTAAAATAAAACATAAAACTTGAGTCTGCATAGGAAAATAATCTCTGTCTACAATCTTTTTGTCTTTAGTTTTTATTAGCTCGACTATACGAAGTATATGGAGAGCTGTCCTACTCGCCCCGGCGTCCGCGTCCAGATTTTAGATTAAAGTTTTGGTGCAGTAAAATATTTTTCACTATAACTTTGTCATTTCTTAAGGTATCAACTTCAAACTTCAAATATATGTTCCTTATCATCAACCACATCTTATGTGACAAGGTTCATAACTCTAGCACCAATATTTTCAGATTTATCTCCCTTTGAACTTAGAATTTTCCTTAAAAAATACTATTTTTTTACTGTTACTTCTTTATTTTCTTAAAGGGGATCAACCTCATACTTCAAATATTTGTACCTTATCATCATCCCCATTTTATGTTACAAGGTTCATAACTCTAGCACCAATATTTTCAGATTTATCTCCCTTTGAACTTAGAATTTTCCATAAAAAATATTATTTTTTACTGTTACTTATTTATTTCTAAAGGGATCAACTTCATACTTCAAATATATTTACATTATCATCATCCACATCTTATGTGACAAGGTTCATAACTCTAGCACCAATATTGCAAGAATTATCTCCCCATAAACTTAGATTTTTTTACTAGAAAAATGTTATTTTTTATTATAACTTTTTTATTTTTAAAGGTATCTACCTCAAACTTCAAATACTTATTCCTTATCATCAATTACATTTTTATGTGACAATGTGCATAACTCTTGAAGCAATATTTACAGATTTATCTCTCTTTTAACTTAGGATTTTCTTTAAGAAATATAATAACTTCTTTACTTTTTAAGGTATCTACTTCAAACTTCAAATATATATTTCTTATCATTACACAAATGTTGTGTGACAAGGTCCATAACTCTAGCATGACTATTTCTAGAATTAATCCCCTTGATCTTGGAATTTATGTTAACAAATGTTTTTTTTTTACTATAACTTAATACATAATTATACATAATTGATTTTTCTTTCATAGTTTTGTCCTCCTTACTGCGTCCAGTATTTTATTAGTCGAGCTTCGCTGTCTCCTGTGACAGCTCTTGTTTGTGTATGTTTTAGGTTGTACAAGTAGGAGAGTTTTTCACAACACTCTTATTAGAATCAAAACATAGAGGTGCATTTGAATTAGCTTATACTGGCTTTGTCAAGGTCACTGACATGCTGTGGAGGTAAATTCACTTTATGTTCTTTACAAGTACATGTATACATGTATTGTAATGATTGTTTTCAAATGCAGGGTTATTGTTTATTTAAGGTGAATGTCTTTCAGTATTTTCTTATTTATAATTTAATCATAATTCTTATTATAGAATTTGGCAGTTGTTAAAAGTACATGTATTTTATAATTGTGTAGTAGAAAAATCTCAATTACATACCAGATTCTTACTTGTGAGATTAAAGTTTCTATTAATTTTTTGGACTAGAAATATTTAACTATAGATATTTAACATTATTCAAATTTGTTCTATTTAAAACATTTTAACTAGAACATTTAAATAAAATTACTTCCAATAATTATATCTGATTACTACTAGTATTTGCCACTACACATCATGCTATATTGGCTATATGTAAAATTGAACAGTACAGGACACAGTCCTTTAGACATAAGTTAAAAACATTTATTTGTACATTATGACAGGAGTAGTGATGCTGACCTCCACCATCTGCCTAAGAAATGGTTGAGTGAAGTTATGGTAGATATAAAATCTAACGACCCTGAGTCTCGTCTCTGTGCTACCAGAAGAAGTGCTGGTGTACCATTCTATGTGCAGGTGGGTGTTTTAACTATTATCTATTAATACTCCAATTATTAGGGTTTTAAAACAATAGAACAGTCAAAAAGCTTTCTATAACATTTTATCACCTAATTTTAAAGGAATAGGAATGGATATATTGATGTCTGTCTTATATTAATATTTATCCTTTAAAAAGAGGTACCATGACAGTTTTTTATGCTCCCCGAAAAATTTCGGGGGAGCATATAGTCGGCGCCTTGTCCGTCTGTCCGTCCGTCCGTCTGTCCGTCCCTTGTCTTGTCCGGAGCATAACTTGAAAACCCTTGGAGATAATTTGTTTAAACTTCATACAGTGGTAGAGGGCATTGAGGGGGAGTGCAGTGTCAAAGAACCATAACTCTATTTTGCCCGATTTTTTAATTATCTCCCCTGATAGAAAAATCTTGTCCGGGACATAACTCTAAAACTATAAGAGATATCAACATGAAACTTTGTAGGTGAGTAGATCTCAATGGGTAGATGTGCAGTGCATAAGAACAATAACTCTTTTTGTCCTAATTTTGGAGTTATTGCCCTTTGTTAATTTTAACACTTTGAACTTTGTCCGGAACATAACTCTAAAACTATAAGAGATATCAAGATGAAACGTTGTAGGTAGATAGATCTCATTGAGTAGAAGTGCAGTGCAAAAGAACCATAACTCTGTTAAGCCTCATTTTTGAATTATTTCCCCTTATAGAAAAATCTTGTCCGGGACATAACTCTAAAACTGTAAGAGATATCAACATGAAACTTTGTCAGTGAATAGATCTCAATGTGTAGATGTGCAGTGCATAAGAAACAATAACTCTTTTTGTCCTAATTTTGAAGTTATTGCCCTTTGTTAATTTTAACACTTTGAACTTTGTCCGGAACATAACTCTAAAACTATAAGAGATATCAAAATGAAACATTGTAGGTAGATAGAACAGTAACTCTTCCTTGCCTAATTTTGGAATTATTGCACTTTGAACTTTTTCCACGGACATAACTCTGAAACTACAAGAGGTGTACTTTCCTGTGTCCAAAACCTATTTGGGGAGCATCACCCGGCTCAAACCGGGCTCTTGTTTAAATCTATATATTATGGAGAAATTCATGTTTTAAGACAATATTTTTTACTTGAGAAATAAGTCCATGGGTGCCGCCATTTTAGCGATCTTTTACTCTCGCGAGACCGAGATTATGTATTATGTATGACTCCTACTCTTTTTCTGATATTAAGTTTTCATTCTTACATTGCCTTTTCCTTTAACTGGTTAATACAGGTTTTCAGTTTAAGATACTTACAATCATTTTATAATCTGGTTGAATTTTGTTAATAAATATGATTTTTATCTTTTAAAATCCTACTTTCCAATTGCTTCTTTGTGTTTATTATCATGATTGAAAAACATTATTGTTAGCATTATATGTTTGTATTTTCACCCTGTTTTATGATGTTTAGTGTATAAATTTTTGTTGACAAGAAACTTCTTATATTTTTTATCATGATTTGTTTATTCTATAAAATTCTGTTCTATATAAAGGCTCTAGTTACAACAGAACCCTCATCTACAGGGAGACAATGTTTTAGACAGACCATGCAGGAACTACTGACCCTAGCCTTCGATGAAACCATTATTACACAGGAAAAATGTACTGCCAAGGTATGTACCCAATTTACTGTATTACAGGAGAAAAGTACTGCCAAGGTATGTACCCAATTTACTGTATTACAGGAGAAAAGTACTGCCAAGGTATGTACCCAATTTACTGTATTACAGGAGAAAAGTACTGCCAAGGTATGTTAAGCAAACACTGTATGATAGGAGAAATATACTGCCAAGGTTTGTTTTCTAAACATTGTTACACAGGCGAAATGTTCTGTCAAGTTATGTTAAACGAACACTGTTTTACTGGAGAAACATTCTGTGAAAGTATATTGATTAAACACAGTACTTAATGTGATTAGAAATTTAATCTTGAAAAAAGAACCACCTTGTGGTTTGAGTAACAACACAACCTTCCTTTAGAAAGATGTCTCAAAAAGCACATATATAATCATTGAAGCATATGTAAATTAATATTTTGGTTTTTCAGGTACATGCACTGAATATTTTGAGGGCAATGTATAAAGATTCAAGATTGAGAGATGATGTAGCACCATACCTTGCAGATGGTCTGAAAGTGGCAATATTAGGGTTCAAGTCTCCACTTTGGGCGGTATGTGTACAATATAAACCAGTAACATATCTATAGAAAAATTGTGTTATTTATTAAACAATAATAATCCCCCTTTTGATGCTAATTGGATAAAACAAAAGTTTTTTTTCAGTCTTTCAAGTATTTATCAGTATTATTTTGAAGTTTTTTTTTCTGCCAAAGATCTTAATAGTACTGTTGACATTACTGTAGGTATGTTATCTATATACCTGTAGGTAATATAATTCAGCGATGTTATTAAAAATTAACATAGGTATGTAATTATACCCCCACAAACTAAGTTTAGGGGGGGTATATAGGAGTCAGCTTGTCGGTCGGTTGGTTGGTCGGTCGGTCCGTCGGTCCACATCATGGTTTCCGGACGATAACTAGAGTTTGGAATGAGGTATTGTAATCAAACTTGGTATATAGCAACCTTATGTGGAAACTCTGGTTGGTATTGCATTTGGACCCCATGGGGTCAAGGTCAAGGTCACCGTTACTAAAAATAGAAAAGTGGTTTCCGGACAATAACTAGAGTTAGGAATGAGAAATTGTTATCAAACTTGGCGAATAGCAAGCTTATATGAACCCCTGGGTTGGTATTGCATTTGGGCCCCCTGGGGTCAAGGTCAAGGTCACTGTTACTAAAAAATGAAAAATGGTTTTCAAACAATAACTTGACTTAGAAATGAGATACTGTAATCAAACTTGGTGTATAGCAAGCTTATAGGAAGACCTGGGTTGATAATGCGTTTGGGCCCCCTGGGATCAAGGTCAAGGTCACCGTTACGAAAAATAGAAAAACGGTTTCCAGACAATAACTTGACTACGGAATGAGATACTGTAATCAAACATAGTGTATAGCAAGCTAATATGAAGACCTTGGTTGGTATTGCATTTGGATCCCCTGGAGTCAAGGTCAAGGTCACCGTTACTAAAAATAGAAAAATGGTTTCTGGACAATAACTAGAGTTAGGAATGAGATATTGTAACCTTATTTGGTTTAAAGGAAGCTTATATGAAGACCTGGGTAGGTATTGCATTTGGACCCCCTAGGGTCAAGGTCACCGTTACAGTGTTACTAAAAATAGAAAAATGGTTTCCGGACAATAACTAGAGTTAGGAATGAGATATTGTTATCAAACTTGGCGTATAGCAAGCTTATATGAAGACCTTGGTTGGTAAAGCATTTGGGCCCCCTGGGGTCAAGGTCACCGTTACTAAAAATAGAAAAATGTTTCGGACACTAACTAGAGTTAGGAATGAGATATTGTAATCAAACTTGGGGTATTTCAAGACCCCAGTTGTGATTACAATTAATTGAAATATTTCTTTGTACACAGTTGATAGTTTGTGTTCAAATTTTTCTTCAGACTACTATTTTTCCAAAAAGTCAAAGTTGCTGGTGGGGGTATTAATCACCTTCAGTGATAGGTCTAGTTAAGTAATGTTATCAATATAACTATAGGTACGTAATTCAGCAACATTATCAATATAACTGTAGGTACGTAATTCAGCTACATTATCAATATAACTATAGGTACGTAATTCAGCTACATTATCAATATAACTATAGGTACGTAATCCAGCTACATTATCAATATAACTATAGGTACGTAATTCAGCTACATTATCAATATAACTTTAGGTACGTAATCCAGCAACATTATCAATATAACTTTAGGTACATAATTCAGCTACATTATCAATATAACTGTAGGTACGTAATTCAGCTACATTATCAATATAACTATTGGTACGTAATTCAGCAACATTATCAATATAACTGTAGGTACATAATTCAGCAACATTATCAATATAACTATAGGTACGTAATTCAGCTACATTATCAATATAACTATTGGTACGTAATTCCAGCAACATTATCAATATAACTATTGGTACGTAATTCAGCTACATTATCAATATAACTATAGGTACGTAATTCAGCAACATTATCAATATAACTATAGGTACGTATTTCAGCAACATTATCAATATAACTGTAGGTACGTATTTCAGCAACATTATCAATATAACTGTAGGTACGTAATTCAGCTACATTATCAATATAACTATAGGTACGTAATTCAGCAACATTATCAATATAACTTATTGGTACGTAATTCAGCTACATTATCAATATAACTATAGGTACGTAATTCAGCAACATTATCAATATAACTGTAGGTACGTAATTCAGCAACATTATCAATATAACTGTAGGTACGTAATTCAGCTACATTATCAATATAACTGTAGGTACGTAATTCAGCAACATTATCAATATAACTATAGGTACGTAATTCAGCAACATTATCAATATAACTGTAGGTACGTAATTCAGCAACATTATCAATATAACTGTAGGTACGTAATTCAGCATTATCAATATAACTATAGGTACGTAATTCAGCAACATTATCAATATAACTATAGGTACGTAATTCAGCTACATTAATCAATATAACTTTAGGTACGTATTCAGCAACATTATCAATATAACTATAGGTACGTAATTCAGCTACATTATCAATATAACTTTAGGTACGTAATTCAGCTACATTATCAATATAACTATAGGTACGTAATTCAGCAACATTATCAATATAACTATTGGTACGTAATTCAGCACATTATCAATATAACTGTAGGTACGTAATTCAGCAACATTATCAATATAACTTTAGGTACGTAATTCAGCAACATTATCAATATAACTGTAGGTACGTAATTCAGCTACATTATCAATATAACTTTAGGTACGTAATTCAGCAACATTATCAATATAACTTTAGGTACGTAATTCAGCAACATTATCAATATAACTGTAGGTACGTAATTCAGCTACATTATCAATATAACTGTAGGTACGTAATTCAGCAACATTATCAATATAACTGTAGGTACGTAATTCAGCTACATTATCAATATAACTGTAGGTACGTAATTCAGCAACATTATCAATATAACTGTAGGTACGTAATTCAGCAACATTATCAATATAACTGTAGGTACGTAATTCAGCAACATTATCAATATAACTGTAGGTACGTAATTCAGCAACATTATCAATATAACTGTAGGTACGTAATTCAGCAACATTATCAATATAACTGTAGGTACGTAATTCAGCAACCATTATCAATATAACTGTAGGTACGTAATTCAGCAACATTATCAAATAACTGTAGGTACGTAATTCAGCAACATTATCAATATAACTGTTTAGGTACGTAATTCAGCAACATTATCAATATAACTATAGGTACGTAATTCAGCAACATTATCAATATAACTGTAGGTACGTAATTCAGCTACATTATCAATATAACTGCAGGTACGTAATTCAGCCAACATTATCAATATAACTGCAGGTACGTAATTCAGCAACATTATCAATATAACTGGCAGGTACGTAATTCAGCAACATTATCAATATAACTGCAGGTACGTAATTCAGCAACATTATCAATATAACTGCAGGTACGTAATTCAGCAACATTATCAATATAACTATTGGTACGTAATTCAGCAACATTATCAATATAACTGTGTAGGTACGTAATTCAGCAACATTATCAATATAACTGTAGGTACGTAATTCAGCTACATTATCAATATAACTGTAGGTAAGTAATTCAGCTACATTATCAATATAACTGTAGGGTACGTAATTCAGCAACATTATCAATATAACTGTAGGTACGTAATTCAGCAACATTATCAATATAACTGTAGGTACGTAATTCAGCAACATTATCAATATAACTGTAGGTACGTAATTCAGCAACATTATCAATATAACTGTAGGTACGTAATTCAGCTACATTATCAATATAAAACTGTAGGTACGTAATTCAGCAACATTATCAATATAACTGTAGGTACGTAATTCAGCAACATTATCAATATAACTATTGGTACGTAATTCAGCTACATTATCAATATAACTGTAGGTACGTAATTCAGCAACATTATCAATATAACTGTAGGTACGTAATTCAGCTACATTATCAATATAACTGTAGGTACGTAATTCAGCTACATTATCAATATAACTATAGGTACGTAATTCAGCAACATTACTGATGACTGCTATGATGACGAGAATATTTGGTGTGAAGAGAAGCAAAGATGAGACCACATTCTCCAGAAAGAACTGGTATTAAAATTTCGTTCCAACACTCAATCATCTCTCATATATCTTTCATTCTGAAAAATAAGTGGGATGAACAGTCAAGATATTTCCACAACATATATCCCACAAGAATCTGTAGTTAATGAAGAAATAATGTTATATAAAAGTAAAAATATTGTTATACTGTGTCACATACACTAGATTATCTATGGAATATAAAGTTTATTTAGTCCCCTACCGGTTTACCGGAGGGGACTTTGGGGACTTTAGGTTTACCCTCCGTCCGTCTGTCCGTCTGTCCGTCCGTCCGTCAGTCCGTCCGTCTGTCCGTCCGTCAGTCCGTCCGTCCACAAAACTGGATCCCGCGATAACGCAAAAAGTACTGAAAATATTTTAATGAAACTTGATATATGGATAGATGGCAGTATGGAGATTATGCACGTCTTTTTCTTTTCTTCCTATGTTGAAAATTCTGGTTGCTATGGCAACAAATAGACTGAAAATATGGCAAATTTTACACATAACCTGGATCCCGCGATAACGCAAAAAGTACTGAAAATATTTTAATGAAACTTGATATATGGATAGATGGCAGTATGGAGATTATGCACGTCTTTTTCTTTTCTTCCTATGTTGAAAATTCTGGTTGCTATGGCAACAAATAGACTGAAAATATGGCAAATTTTACAACAAAACCTGGATCCAGTGATAACACAAAAAGTACTGAAAATATGTTTTATGAAACTTGACATATGGGTAGATGGCAGTAATGAAATTATGCACATTCTTTTTTATCTTCCTATGTTGAAAATTCTGGTTGCTATGGCAACAAATAGACTGAATTTTCAAGATTTCTGATTTCTAGTTTTTAAGTTTTTTCACTATAAGTTCTTTATTTCTTAAGGTATTTTCTTCAAACTTTAAATATAAGTTGCTTGTCATCAACCACATCATATGTGACAAGGTTTACAACTCTAGCACAAAATTTATCAGAATTACCTCCCTTGAACTTAAAATTTTCATGAAAAAAAAAAAACATTGTTTTTTTTATAACTTCTTTTTCTGAATGTATCTACTTCAAACTTCATAAAAATGTTTCTTATTGTCACTCAACATTTGTGAGTGTTCAATACTCTAGCAAAGACTATTTCCAGAATTATGCCCCTTTTGAACTTAGACTTTTTTTTTAGAAATTGGTAATTTTTACTCCAACTTCTTCAATCATGATAGGATTTTAAAAATGTTATATTTTGATAACAGGGATGTTTAAAAAATAACTTTAGAGTGTCCTTCAGTCCATCTGTCTGTCCTTCAGTCCTGTGATCACTTTTAAAGAACTTTTTCAACAAATTTACTTAAAATAGGAACCTAAGCGAATGGCCAATGGCCCTTCAGAATGTTGCTTGGGCTCTTACCGGTAGGGGACTTATGGATTGCTTGCAATACTATGATAATTGCTTGTTTTCTTTTTAGTTAACAACAAGTTTCAGTTCAGTCTTAAAAACTGAAATGTAATTGATGCTTTGGTTGAAATGAAGGCATTTTATGGACAATTTATCTGATAATGGGAAATCCCTAAAAGATAATATTGTTGTTTTTTAACATTGATGTTTTGTCAACTACTACAGCATAGGAAAAAGTAAAACATAGTGATTTCCCTTTTTACAGTCAGACAGGAAGGACATTTTTCTACAACTATCCATCTCTGTACCAGTTCCTGTTAGAGCAGATTGCCATGGCAACAGAGCATGTGACCAGTCAGCTGCATCCAGGACTGTTCCCCATTCTCATGGTTTTAGGCAGACTTTTCCCATCAGCTATGGAAGGAACTGATACCAGTCTAAACCTTGCAGCATTTATTCCATATGTTGTCAAGTAAGAACTTTATACCATTATTATGTTTTCAAGTAATATAATTCAAGAAAGTCAAGAAAAAGACCTTATACCATAGTAAGGTTTTTAATGGTAAACCAAAGTGTCTGTCCATTGCTGCTATGGGATGAATTCTACAAGGCACTATATTTTTTTTTCACAAAAGAATCATCATGATAATCATAAACATCTATACAGCTAGCTTACAAAAGTTAGTTACATGCATGATTAAAATGATACAAGAAATGGCACATGGGATGATTCCCGGCATCAGTAAAATAATGACCTATTCAGTTTTGATGTTGCACCATTTATCAAACAGAGTCTGAGACTATTGTTATCATTGATCTTGAGGGAACTCCTTTTATATACAAATGCATGCATCAAAGATATAAATTAATTGTTTAAAAGATTTTTGACCGGTTATATTGCCCTATAATTATGGTTATATTGCAATCAATTGTTTATAACGTCCAGAATCTTTATAACAGATTTAAATTCTTTATTTGAAAAGAAAGAAATTAAGTCAAAAATTAAAGACACAGTTTTTAACCAGGTTTTCCGAAGGAAAAAACTGGTTATTAGATTGAGGTATGTCGGCGGGCGGGCGGATGGACGGGCGGGCGGGCGTAAACAATTTCTTCTGTGCGCAACTCCTCCTACATTTCTCAACGGATTTTGACCAAACTTTCACAGAAGCTTTGTCATCAAGTGCCCTGGCGCATATTGTCGGGGTTTTGCGATTAGATAATATTTGACCTAATTATGGCCCTTTGTTTTTTTTTCTTATATAGAATATATAGTGACCAATTTCTTCTGTGCGCAACTCCTCCTACATTTCTCAACGGATTTTGACCAAACTTTCTCAGAAGCTTTGTCATCAAGTGCCCTGACACATATTGTCAGGGTTTTGCAATTGAAATATATTTGACCTAATTATAGCCCTTTGTTTTTTTTCATTATATAGAATATATAGTGAACAATTTCTTCTGTGCGCAACTCCTCCTACATTTCTCAACGGATTTTGACCAAACTTTCACAGAAGCTTTGTCATCAAGTGCCCTGGCGCATATTGTCGGGGTTTTGCGATTAGATAATATTTGACCTAATTATGGCCCTTTGTTTTTTTTTCCTTATATAGAATATATAGTGAACAATTTCTACAGTGCGCAACTTCTCCTACATTTCTCAACGGATTTTGACCAAACTTTCACAGAAGCTTTGTCTTCAAGTGCCCTGGCGCATATTGTCAGTGTTTTGTGATTGGATAATATTTGACTTTATTATGGCCCTTTGTTTTTTTTCCTTATACAGAATTGAACAAATTCTTCTGTGCTGAACTCTTCCTACATTTCTCAACGGATTTTGTTCAAACTTTCACAGAAGCTTTGTCATCAAGTGCCCTAGCACATATTGTCGGGGTTTTGTGATTGGATAATTTTTTACCTAATTATGGCCCTTTGTTTTTTTTCCTTATACAGAATATATATAGTGAACACTTCTTCTGTGCGCAATTCCTCCTACATTATTCATGTTTTACATTGCACATAGTTACATTGTTTGTTGCTTGTATTTGTATTTCAAATACAACATATTTATCTACAATGGTGATAATTGAAAACCTGGTTTCATGGCATTGCCATGTTTCTTGTTATAGATGTTATAATTATCCATGAAAGTGACTTTAAAAAGGTACAGTATTGTAAGTCAGTTTTAATGGAAGCACATGTTCTTTTGATTTCCATAATTTTACAAGAGAGTATTTTTGAGATACATGTATAGGTTATTGATTTTCTTAATTTTAGTATCATTTATGTATTTATAAGCACTGATTGTTTTGCAGATGTAGTGCAAATCCAGTTTTGAAAACTAGAGAAATGGCAGCAAAAGCTCTTCAACCATTGGTTGAAAAGGATCAGGTGACCTCAGTGTTCCATGACCTTTTGACCTTATTACCACACCAGCAAACAGATGTCATGAGACAGAATCAAATTCATGGAGTTCTTTTGCAGGTAAGATCTGGGTTAAATGTACCAAATAAACTTATCTACAATATTACTTAAATCTGTGGCTGAACTAAATACATGGAAATTAGTGATTATTACAGCAAGGATTGTTTTAATGTTTTCATTATATACTGATTTATCATTAAATGGAAGGGGAAGTGACCATAGTATTATTAGCTCACCTGTCACAAAGTGACAGGGTGAGCTTTTGTGATCGCTTTTCGTCCGTCCGGCGTCCGTCCGTCAGTCCGCCGTCCGAATGTAAACTTATACTTTAAATGACATCTCCTCATAAACCACTAATTCAATTTCATCCAAACTTCACAGGAATGTTCCTTTGGTGGTCACCTTTAAAAATTGTTCAAAGAATTTAATTCCATGCAGAACTCTGGTTGCCATGGCAACCGAAAGAAAAAACTTTAAATATCTTCTTTTAAACAAGAGGGCCATGATGGCCCTGAGGTCGCTCACCTGTATATAGCCCCCCCCCCCCCCCCCCGGCCCAATTTTTACCCAAGGGCTTTTATTTGTTTATTTGAACAGACTTGGTAGACACCCATAAGAAGATGTTTCATGCAAAACATCTAAGTTCTAGCTCATTGGGTTTTTTAAAAGAAGATTTTTTAAGTTTTTACTATACACATAGAGTAAAAAACAATGACACCCCTCGGGCAGGGCCAGTTTTGACCCCTGGGCTTTTATTTGAACAAACTTTGTAGATATTTACTTAAAGATGTTTCATGCTTAATATCTAAACTCTAGTTATTTGGGTTTTTCAAAGAAGATTTTTAAGTTTTTGCTATGTATATAAGGAAAATCAATGACCCCCGGGCGGGGCCAGTTTTGACCCCAGGGCTTTTATTTGAACATACTTGGTAGACACCCATTAGAACATGTCTCATGCTAAATATCTTAGCTCTAGCTCTTTGGGTTCTTTAAAAGAAGATTTTATAAGTTTTTACTATATGCATATAAGGAAAATCAATGACCCCTGGGGAGGGCCAATTTGGACCCCAGGGGTTTTATTTGAACAAAACTTGGTAGACATTCACTAGAAAGATGTTTCATGCCAAATATATAAGCTTTAGCTCTTACAGTTCTTTAAAAGAAGATTTTTTAAGTTTTTACTATATGCATATAGGGAAAATCAATGACCCCTGGGGCGGGGCCAATTTTGACCCCAGGGCTTTTATTTGAACAAACTTGGTAGACATTTTACTAGAAGATGTTTTATGCCAAATATCTAAGCTCTAGCTCTTACAGTTCTTTAAAAGAAGATTTTTTAAGTTTAAACTATATGCATATAGGGAAAATCAATTACCCCCAGGGCGGGGCCAATTTTGACCCCAGGGCTTTTATTTGAACAAACTTGGTAGACATTCACTAGAAGATGTTTCATGCCAAATATCTAAGCTCTAGCTCTTTGGGTTCTTTAAAAGAAGATTTTTTAAGTTTTTACTTTATGCATATAGGGAAAATCAATGACCCCCTGGGGCGGGGCCAATTTTGACCCCAGGGCTTTTATTTGAACAAACTTGGTAGACATTCACTAGAAGATGTTTCATGCCAAATATCTAAGCTCTAGCTCTTACAGTTCTTTAAAGGAAGATTTTTTAAGTGTTTACTATATGCATATAGGGAAAATCAATGACCCCCGGGGCGGGGCCAATTTTGACCCCAGGGCTTTTATTTGAACAAACTTGGTAGACACTCACTAGAAGATGTTCCATGCCAAAAATCTTAGCTCTAGCTCTTACAGTTCTTTAAAAGAAGATCTTTTAAGTTTTTACTATATGCATATAGGGAAAATCAATGACCCCCTGGGGCGGGGCCAATTTTGACCCCAGGGTTTTTATTTGAACAAACTTGGTAGACACTCACTAGAAGATGTTTCATGCCAAATATATAAGCTCTAGCTCTTAGGGTTGTTTAAAAGAAGATATTTAAAGATTTTTCTTTCGGTTGCCATGGCAACCAGAGTTCTGCATGGAATTAAATTCTTTGAACAATTTTTAAAGGTGACCACCAAAGGAACATTCCTGTGAAGTTTGGATGAAATTGGCTCAGTGGTTTATGAGGAGATGTCATTTAAAGCAAAAGTTTACGGACGGACGACGGACAACGGACGGACGACGGACGGACGGACGCCGGACGAAAAGCGATCACAAAAGCTCACCCTGTCACTTTGTGACAGGTGAGCTAAAAACCCTAAGAGCTAGAGCTTAGATATTTGGCATGAAACATCTTCTAGTAAGTGTCTACCAAGTTTGTTCAAATAAAAGTCTTGGGGCCAAAATTGGCCCCGCACCGTCTTTGATTTTCCCTATATGCATATAGTAAAAACTTAAAAAATCTTCTTTTAAAGAACCCAAAGTGCTAGAGCTAAGATATTTAGCATCAAACATCTTCTAATGAGTGTCTACCAAGTTTGTTCAAATAAAAGCCCTGGGGTCAAAATTGGCTCCGCCCTAGGGGGTCATTGATTTTCCCTATATGCATATAGTAAAAACTTAAAAAATCTCCTTTGAAAAAACCCAAATAGCTAGAGTTTAGATATTAAGCATGAAACATCTTCTAGTGAGTGTCTACAAAGTTTGTTCAAATAAAAGCCCTGGGGTCAAAATTAGCCCCGCCCCGGGGGTCATTGATTTTCCTTATATGTGTGTAGCAAAAACTTAAAATTCTTCTTTGAAAAAACCCAAATAGCTAGAGTTTAGATATTAAGCATGTAACATCTTCTAGTAAGTGTCTACAAAGTTTGTTCAAATAAAAGCCATGGGGTCAAAACTGGCCCCACCCCAGGGGTCAAAACTGGCCCCGCCCAAGGGGTGTCATTGTTTTTACTAGGGCTGGGTATTGATCAGAAATTTTCGATACGATACGTATTGCGATACAGACCAACGATACACAATACGTATTGACGATACAGTACAATGATGCTTCATTGTTAGGATGTACTTATTAAAAGTACTATTTACATTTCATAGATTCCCTGGTGAAATATTATTGAATCTTTCTTATATCTGTTTTAGATTTTGACTTTGTTAATGATGATATATAATACAGAGCAGGTGCATAGGTACCTTAATTAGTACATTTGAGATAATATTTTGAAAATGACATGATGGCCCCTTTTTTTTAGATAAAACAATTATTTTGAAAAAAAAAATTAAAAAGCTTTGTAGAGAAATAATTCAATGCAAAAATATAATTATGTAAATACTAGGAAAAGTTAACACAGAAAATAATTAAAACATCACTATTTATTATGACAGGAGTCTAGTACTGTCTACAAGTCAACTGTTCTAAATTATAAGATCTTTATAATAAAATCAAATTTTTGTAGAATTTGAAATATATACGCTGAGAAAGTATTGGAACATTGAAAAATTTTCTAACAAATCATGTTTTTTCTATCTTAAACGGTAAAATTACAATAAAAATATAAATATAATGTAATGATGTTGCGGTGTCGTAATCCGTAACGTACCGGGAAACGGTGTTTAGCTACGTCTTCGCGCAGTCACATTTATTTAGTTAGCAAACTACATCTTGGAAAATCAATAAATTTGTAGGATTTATGTGTTTACAAGATGTGTTTGATTAAATTACAAGTAAATGTTTGGTCTAATACATACTACTGCCGACCTGAAAGTATATTTTACCAGTGTTAGAAATAGGAGATTGAATGGCCGGATAAATTTTGTCACGGATTTAGCCGTCATTTTGTGTATTGACACATTCGTTGTTCCACCTAAACTAATCAATGCAGCCTTTCAAATATTGCTGAGGGCCTTCTTAACATTTACTTTAGAGAAAATTCCACACTTTTGACGTTTGTGCGGACATTTTAAAGACGATAATTTTATGTAAAGCCATCATGTTTATAAGTTACATATTTTATTAGGTTGTCTCCCTTTGTATCGGTATAGCTAAAACCCGATAACCGTACCGTATTGAAAAACGGAAAATCGATAAATACCGATTTACCGGTATATTGATCCAGCCCTAGTTTTTACCTATATGTGCATAGTAAAAATTTAAAAAAATCTTCTTTTAAAAAACCCAATGAGCTAGAGCTTAGATGTATAGCATGAAACATCTTCTTATGGGTGTCTACCAAGTTTGTTCAAATAAAAGCCCTTGGGTTAAAATTGGCCCTGCTGGGGTGGGGGGGTAGATCGTTGTTTTTCATTATATGTGTGTAGTAAAAACTTAACATCATGGAACATCTTCTAATGGGTGTCTTCCAAGTTTGTTCAAATAAAAGCCCTGGGGTTTAAACTTGCCCCGCTCCAGGTGCCTATATACAGGTGAGCGACCTCAGGGCCATCATGGCCCTCTTGTGTTTGTGTATTTGTTTTTAATTGGCAATTAGTTGTAGTAAAAATGTATTTATTTAAACAGCCATTGTAAACAGACTTCTATCCAATGCTCATATTGTCACCTTAATGCAGTAACAGGTTATCTCCTATTAAATTATATAAGAAGTTAACCTGTTACTGCACTAAGGTGACCATTTTTAGTAATTTATTTTATCTTAGCATGTAAGCTTTTTAGCTCACCTGAGCTTGCTCAGGGTGAGCTATTAGGATCAGTGAATGTCCGTCGTCCGTCCACAATTGCTTGTGAACACACTAATGGTCACACTTATGACTCAATCATCAAACTTTGTCAGGATGCTTGTTTAGTCAATTGCTCGGATGAGTTCGAAACTGGGTCATTTCGGATGGAAAACTAGGTCAAAGGAGCTAAAAATAGAAAAACCTTGTGAACACTAGTGGTCACATTTTTGACCCAATCATCATCAACCTTTGTCAGAATGCTTGTTTAGATTATTGCTTGGATGACTTCGAACATGGGTCATCTCCGATTAAAATCTAGGTCACAGGAGCTATAAATAGAAAAACCTTGTGAACACTCTAGTGGTCACATTTTTGAACCAATCATCATCAAACTTGGTCAGAATGCTTGTCTAGTCAATTGCTTGGATGAGTTCGAACATGGGTCATCTCTGATGAAAAACTAGGTCACAGGAGCTAAAAATAGAAAAACCTTGTGAACACTCTAGTGGTCATATTTTTGACCCAATCATCATCAAACTTTGTCAGGATGCTTGTTTAGATAATTGCGCAGATGAGTTCGAATATGGGTCATCTCTGATGAAAAACTAGGTCACAGGAGCTATAAATAGAAAAACCTTGTGAACACTCTAGTGGTCACATTTTTTACCCAATCATCATCAAACTTAGTGTGGATGCTTGTCTAGTCAATTGCTCAGATGAGTTTGAATATGGGTCATCTCTGATGAAAAACTAGGTCACAGGAGCTAAAAATAGAAAAACCTTTTGAACACTCTAGTGGTCACATTTTTTACCTAATCATGATCAAACTTTGTCAGGATGCTTGTTTAGATAATTGCTTTGATGAGTTTGCACATGGTTTATCTCCGATGAAAAACTAGGTCACAGGAGCTATAAATAGAAAAACCTTGTGAACACTCTAGTGGTCACATTTTTGACCCAATTATTAAGAAACCTTGTCAGGATGCTTGTTTAGTCAATTGCTCAGATGAGTTTGAACATGGGTCATCTCGGGTGGAAAACTAGGTCACAGGAGCTAAAAATAGAAAAACCTTGCCAACAGTCTAGTGGTCACATTTTTGACCCAATCATCATCAAACTTTGTCAGAATGCTTGTCTAGTCGATGCTTGGATAAGTTTGAACATGATTTATCTCGGATGGAAAACTAGGTCACAGGAGCTAAAAATAGAAAAACCTTGTGAATACTCTAGTGTCACATTTTTGACTCAATTATCATCAAACTTGGTCAGGATGCTTGTCTAGGTAATTGCTCGAATGTCAAGCTCGAATATGGGTCACCTGGGGTCAAAAACTAGGTCATACTGCTCAAATATGGATAATCCTTGTTAACACTAGTGGTCACATTTTTGACACACCTGTCATGAAACTTGGTCAGAACGCTTGTCTAGGTAATTATTTGGATGAGTTTGATGGGTCAGGTGAGCAATCTAGAGCCATCTTGGCCCTCTTGTTTTGGTACTTACGGTTTTTCATAGCTGTTGTATGCTCTTTCAAGTGAAGGAAATAGAAGTATGTATGAATGCGTTCTGTGGTAATTAAAAGCAAACAGTATAGATTTTATGTTTTATATTTACAGATATCGCAGCTATGTAGAACAATACCATTACTTCCTGATTCTATACAGTATAGACTATCATCTGTCATACATGACATGTGGACTGACAGAATGTGTATTCTTATGTCAAGGTAACAATTATAATCTTGACTTCATTTTCTTATTACAGTTTGACTTCATACAATTCCTTAAGTACATGTATTTGATGAAATTTTCTGCTTCAACAGCTATTATAACATTTGATTTCTCTTTAATTCAGAGCTTGGTAAAAGTGTAAAGCTAAAGAAGATTTTATTAGAAATAAGTAAATATGTGTTACTCATTGAATTAGAAAATTCTTAAATTAGGTAAGACATTGAAATCCAAATTTCAATTGACACAAGATTTGTCTATAGTAATTATTATATTTATCACTTAAAATAATTCTATTTTAATATCGGTATACTTGTAAAGGTAAACCAAAGATTACTTCTTCAAATTTGATAATCAACTTGAGTACAAGCCTGAAATGGTTTCAGCAGATAATGCTTAATTTTAAGCAAACATGCTGAATAAATATCAGGATATCAGTTTTAACAAGTAATTAAACCATAATTGCTAGTACATTAACAAGTTGGGCATTAATTGTATAATTGACTAATGTTTCATTAATTTTTTTAACTAATCATAAACACTGTTCTTTTGGACTTTCAGACATAACAGATGTTTAGCTACCAGAACAGTTGCATTGAACATAACTTTCAATTTTGTTCAACATTTTGGTGACAAAGACATTTTTGTCAGCAGTTTGTCAGACATTGTCAGTACAGAAGTACTAAGTTTGGATACAGCTTATGATCCCTGTACACCTGCCTTGTCAGAGTTTCAAGCTACCATTTGTAAATTGTATTGTGAAATTTACCTGAGTGTTCATAATGAGAGACATGGGCCAGATTCTGTAAGTGAGACGGTAGATAATGGAATAGAAGCCAGTGGGAAATTTACAGAGAGTGAAGATAGCTATAGGTCCAGTAAAGAAGAAACTGATGGAGGAAAACTTCAGTCAAGTGTGGGACAAGGTGATGGTAAAGTTTTGCAGATCGATGAAGTGAAAAATGTAATACTAAAGTGTTTGAAGTCAAATTCGTATGAAGTAAGGAAAGAAGTTTTGTCACAGCTTGGAAATATGATGTCAGAAATAAGAGAAGACTGTGGATCAGAGAATTTTGCTGAGTCATCTAATATCACTGAGAATAGTAAAGTGTTGCCGGTGAAGATAATCCCTCAGTTATTGGGTATGCTGGTCACAGAAATTCATGAAGAATGTAAAATAGAAATTCTAGGGTAAGTTTTATTATGATATGTTCAATATTTTGCTTTATGTTCAACTATGATGGTTGTATATATCTAAGTAAAAAAGTCTGTCATGTCATGAAGTAGAATTTTTATGTGGATTTAGATAAATTTCAACAGGTTTCACCATTACATATTTTTAGTCAGCATAGAATGTTATTGTTTGATAAGAAATGAATCCAAATGATGCAGTTAGTATTAGTCTCTTCAAAATATAATGGAGGAAATTATATTGTCAAATGTTTCTGTTACAGCAATACTGTTCAGTGTTGAATATTTTTTGATATATAGGTTTGTAATCTTATTCATCTCTTATGTATTTAAATATTGATGACCACTTTATACACATTTCTCTGGTCTTAGAATTCTAAAACTTAAAAACATCCTCATTATATATTTGGGAGTGTTTTAACATTAACAGGAAATAGATACATGTATATACTTAGATAGATACAAACCTGTAGTAAGATGTTTATAGTTTTATGTGTCTTTCTACAAAGGTAAATTTATCAGTTACATAATATGTCTATTTCCAATTGTGTCAAAACCTTTGCAAGAATACATTGAGGACAAGAAGTTTATCAATCTAAGACCAGAAAAAATGCTAAGCGTAAACTGATCACATATTGGTATTATACTTAAATTTATCTTTAATACCAATCTAAAGTATTTTCTAGAATTGTAAACACATTGAATATTGACAAATAATTATATTTTATGTATTGTACAACAATATTTCAGTTTGTTGGAGAAGAGTTTAGGACATTGTGATATATCTGATAGTATAATATTGACATTGATGCAGTCTGTACAGGTGATAACGAACCAATTACAGCTTCAAACATGCAGGTATAGATAATTATGCCCCCATTTTGAAAAAAAGGGGGTATATTGCTTTGCACTTGTCGGTCCGTCGGTCCGTCGGTCCGTAGACCAAATGGTTTCCGAGTGATAACTAAAGAACCCTTAGGCCTAGGAACTTCAAACTTGGTATGGTGATTGGTCATGACCAGTAGATGACCCCTATTGATTTTGGGGTCAAGGGGTCAAAGGTCAAGGTCACATTGACCTTTAAAGCAAAAACGGTTTCCGATCAATAACTTAAGAACCTTAAGGCCTAGGAACTTCAAACTTGGTATGGTGATTGGTCATGACCAGTAGATGACCCCTATTGATTTTGGGGTCAAGGGTCAAAGGTCAAGGTCACATTGACCTTGAAAGCAAAAAAACGGTTTCCGATCAATAACTAAAGAACCTTAAGGCCTAGGAACTTCAAACTTGGTATGGTGATTGGTCATGACCAGTAGATGACCCCTATTGATTTTGGAGTCAACGGGTCAAAGGTCAAGGTCACATTGACCTTGAAAGCAAAAAAACGGTTTCCGATCAATAACTAAAGAACCTTAAGGCCTAGGAACTTCAAACTTGGTATGGTGATTGGTCATGACCAGTAGATGACCCCTATTGATTTTGGGGTCAAGGGGTCAAAGGTCAAGGTCACATTGACCTTAAAAGACAAAAAAAACGGTTTCCGATCAATAACTAAAGAACCTTAAGGCCTAGGAACTTCAAACTTGGTATGGTGATTGGTCATGATCAGTAGATGACCCCTATTGATTTTGGGGTCAAGGGGTCAAAGGTCAAGGTCACATTGACCTTGTAGGTAAAAACGGTTTCCGATCAATACCTAAAGAACCTTAAGGCTTAGGAACATTTAAACTTGGTATGGTGATTGGTCATGATCAGTAGATGACCCCTATTGATTTTGGGGTCAAGGGGGTCAAAGGTCAAGGTCACATTGACCTTTTAATTAAAAACGGTTTCTGATCAATAACAAAAGAACCCTTAGGCCTAGGAACTTCAAACTTGGTATGGTGATTGGTTATGACCAATCAGATGACCCCTATTGATTTTGGCGTTAAGGGGTCAAAGGTCAAGGTCACATTGACCTTGTAGGTAAAAACGGTTTCCGATCAATAATGAAAGAACCCTTAGGCCTAGGGGACTTCAAACTTGAGATGGTGATTGGTCATGATCAGTAGATGACCCCTATTGATTTTGGGGTCTAGGGGTCAAAGGGTCAAGGTCACATTGACCTTGTAGGTAAAAATGCTTTCGGATCAATAACTTAAGAACCCTTATGCCTAGGAACTTCAAACTTGGTATGGTGATTTAGTCATGACCAGCAGATGACCTATTGATTTTGGGGTCAAGGGGGGTCAAAGGTCAAGGTCACATTGACCTTGTAGGTAAAAACGGTTTCCGATCAATTAACTAAAAACGCTTAGGCCTAGGAACTTCAAACTTTGTGTGATGATTGGTCATGACCAGCAGATGACCCCTATTGAGTTTTAGGTGAAGGGGTCAAAGGTCAAGGTCACATTGACCTTTTAAGTAAAAACGGTTTCTGATCAATAACTCAAGAACGCTTAGGCCTAGGAACTTCAAACTTGGTATGGTGATTTGTCATGACCAGCAGATTACTCCTATTGATTTTGGGATCAAGGGGTCAAAGGTCAAGGTCACAATGACCTTGTAAGTAATAAATGGTTTCTGATCAATAACTAAAGAACGCTTCGGCCTAGAAACTTCAAACTTGGCATGGTGATTGGTCATGACCAGCAGATGACCCCTATTGATTTTGGGGGTCAAAGGTCAAGGTCACATTGACCTTGTATGTTAAAACGGTTTCCGATCAATAATTAGAGAACCCTTAGGCCTAAGAACTTCAAACTTGGCATGGTGATTGGTCATGACCAGCAGATGACCCCTATTGATTTTGGGGTCAAGGGGTCAAAGGTCAAGGTCACATTGACCTTGTAGGTAAAAAAACGGTTTCTGATCAATTTACTAAAAACGCCTAGGCCTAGGAACTTCAAAACTTTGTATGATGATTGGTCGTGACCAGCAGATGACCCCTATTGAGTTTTGGGTCAAGGGGTCAAAGGTCAAGGTCATGACCAGTAGATACTTTATAACCCTTATTAATTGTTTGATCACTGGGTCAGACGTCATGCATAATAACCTTATCACATGACTAATTGGCTGCTGATAGGGGGCATACATGTTTTACAAACATATCTTGTTTACATTTATTATTAAATGCATTTAAGTATGATCAAGCTTCAATCTTCTATTATGATTTTACAATAGTCATAATCAACAATACTTTAACAATTTTACATCTGCTACTAGTTTCTTGATAAATATATCTTAAAGTTTGCCTAAAGTAGTAAGAACTGACAGCTTTTCTTCTGTTGGACAGTGCAAATGTTCAAGTTTGCATGGATTACATTGTGGTGTTTACCACGATTGAAGAAGTTAACTTTACTACATTTCTTTATTTCAGTGACAAATTAACAGCAGCTGCCATAACATTTACTGGGATGGCAATAAGTCAGCTCTCTAGAATGTTTACTAATGGACCTAATAATCAAACTACAGCAAGTAAAGTGATTTTAGAGCAAGACCATGAAGACAAACACCATGTTTCTATGGCAACACATGTTGTGTTGTTTGTTGATATTATAAGAGGTTATACAGAACAGATGGAAACTAGTTGTGACATTCTTCTAGCATGTGCCAAGGCTTTGCTGCAGAATGTGGATATTTTACTTGGAACTGATACTCAAACCTGTCTAAAAAATACAGGTAACATTTTCAGTTTTCTCTTTTCAACTTAAAGCTGCTTGTATTCTGATTCAATCCTTCTATAATTTGTTGGTTGTATTTTAACTTACAAACATAAAATCTTTGTTGAAACACATGATTAATTAATACCGCCTCCGTGGTTGAGGGGTTAGAGTTGATGACTTCTAATCCAGTTACCTCTCTGGCGTGGGTTCGATCCCCGGGAGATGCTTTGGTAGTTAAGCACGGAGGAAGGTAGTCTAGTACTGGTGTAACTCTCCAGGAACGATGGTTAGGAAACTACCCGCCTATATGACTGAAATACTTTTGAAAAAGGCCTAAGATGAAACTGTTAAACAAACAAACAAATAATAATAATTTAATAAAAATAGAATAAAATAGAATAGAATAAAGTTTATTCACCAATTATGGGTTATTTACATGCCTTGATAATCAAAGAATAAAACAATACTCATAGTGAGGTCAACAGTGATCAAATGAGATCAAAATTAAGTTAGTATAACAAAATAACCAAGGCTTAATTGGTATTAGATAAACACAAATAACATAGAGCAGTGAGGCAAATAAATAATATTGAGTCTCTGATATAAATCACCAGAACTTACCTTTTTCCTCACCTTGACAAGAGTCATTGTTGGTTTGAGAGTTCAGTATAAGTTGTTATTTGTAGATGATGTTTTCAAGTCTGTCCTTGACCTTTTACAAACAGATGACATTGAGGTCAGGGAGACAGCTGCAGCTATTGTGTATTCTATGTCTTCACAACAGATCAATGGTAAAATAGTAACTGAACTAATTAATTTACTTGTTTTAAGATAAAAACATTTTTTTTTTTTAAACTTTACAACTGTCATGTATCGAATTACATTGTTAATACTAGAAATTTTGCAAAATTCAGACTTCTGAAAGTTAAGGGGCAATTTAGAATTAAGTTGAACTGTTTAACTGTAGTCTATAGCCTGTCTATTACACATACAGTAATTTCTGAGGAAATGATTATTCAGTCAAGTTGAAATATTATTTAAATATTTTAAGTTTTTATTGAAACGTGTTAACTTTTTTCCAGCATATGGACATCCTTATATAGCCATTAAGGATCTTTTAGAAAATTGTGTTTCACAAGGTAAACTGTCAGATGGTAGACAAGATTTCATAAAACTTTTATTTGATATGATGCTAGAGGACAAAGACGACAGCCAGGTTTGTGTTCCCATATATCCCTTTGTTAAACTCTACTTTCCAAACTGAAGACATGGCATTTATAAAATATCTTTCGAAAATGTACTAAGATTTTAACACTGTAATCAATAGAAATTCAATTTTAATGTTTATTATCTTATCATGTTTGTTTATTGTTGATTAAAATGTTTATTGTTGATTATAAGATAACCAACAAGCTTTGTTATTACTACCAATGGGACTAACTAGTTGTAGTGTTACCAGATGGAAAAAATGATTGTTTAACATGCCGAGATTTGAACCTTACATTGCAGAGTGAAGAGGTCCACATAAATCCCCTTCTATACAAATGCTTCTGTTGTAATCAGTCTATTAATAAACGTTTATGATAGAATATGTAAGACCCTGTTTGAGGATTTCTAAAAGTATTTATAAGAGTTTAAATTTTATGAGACAGTTTACCTTTAGGCATTGTTATACAGGAAGAATACCAATTTTTTGATGACTGAATTAATATTTCAGGAGTACGAGGAGAGATTGTTTGATAGAGGAGAAATGAATACATACTGGGATGAACTTGATTTTATACAGGTTATACAAATTGTATATGTAACTTCCGTATTTGATATTTTCTTAGCCAACAAAAATATCATTTCATTCTGCCTAGATTGCAAGAAATATCAGTTTTCATCCTTAACAAAGAAAAAATGTTTTAATCCTAAGACCCTTGATCTTAATATATTGAAGCCTGTATATTGTATTTTGGACCATGTTATTCAAGCTTATGCTTAAATATAGTCTTATTCAAGTACCAAGAATTCTAAATTTCAGTTTTATTGATATTGTTTACATACATATTCAGTCCTTAGAGTTTTAACTTTTGTTATATGGGTATTGAGCAATAATGTATGTTATAAAGAAAACAGAATTGAAATTAATTATGAATAATTTCAAAATAATTACAGATGCTGGAAAGTGCCATTATGAAATATGTTCAGTGTGATAGTGTCTGTCAGTCATCTATGGTAAGATTTAGTAATTGTAGTTCCTCTATACAGAGTATAGTTTATTTTATATCAGGAAATTTATAGACAAATGTGTTTGAATATAAATACATATACCATGCAAAATAAGTTACTTGTAACTGCATGTAAGTTTAACATTGGCTTTAATCTATTGCCTGAATACACACATAACAAATTTCTTATGAAGACAAAAATAAAATAATATTACAAGAGGTGTAATTATAACTATACACATTATGTCTGACTAATTTGATAATTGCAAATTAAATAAAATACAAAACAAATGTATAGCTTTAGTCTATGAAATTTGGTTATTGGTGCATTGATATGAGAATCTTGAATCTTACTTATTTTCATTTATTTTCAGATAAAACCAGCAGTAGTGTTGGAAAGTGGCCCTGGACACAATGAACATATACACCAATCAGAACACTGGAGTATTATAAGGTCAGCAGTAAAGGACTACTTTCATAGTGGTCATGTGATTACATCTGATCATAGACAACTGGAAACAGATGCTACTGAACTTACCTTCCAAAATATATTCTTCAACACATCATCATACCAGAAACATGTGTTATCACTTTATAGGACATTAATAATGATCAAATATGGTAAACTATTGAGTTCTAACTGTGATGAAAATGTGACTAGAGTAGTTGAGAACACTGTTGTAATGTTAAAAGACACAACAGATAAATATATATGGCTTCCAGTGCTGTATGATAGTTTGATCAAACTTTAACCAATCATTACTGTATACAGTACCTCAGATTTCTAAACCTCTGAGACAAGACAGGAAAATTTAACTTTTTTTAACAAACAATAATTATTTGAGCCGTGTCATGACAAAACCAACATAATGGGTTTGCGACCAGCATGGATCCAGACCAGCCTGTGCATCTGCGCAGTCTGATCAGGATCCATGCTGTTCGCTTACCAACTCTATTACAAGTAGAGAAACTGATAGCAAACAGCATGGATCCTGATCAGACTGCGCGGATCAGGCTGATCTGGATCCATGCTGGTCGCAAACCCATTATGTTGGTTTTTTGTGACGCGGCTCATTTAATAATTGGCAACAAACAAAACAGCTAATGGTACTCCTCTTTTTTGTTGTGCATCATTTATATGTGAAATGGTGAATGCAGTGAAATTATTAATTATGTTGTAAAAACATACCAACTGTTCAAGAATGGATTTTCAATTCTTGTGTAGCTCATAAACCTACTGTATAAACTCAACAATGTGATTTAAACTTAAAAACATAAGGAAGATATGTTCATTTTGATATAGAAACAGGAGTATTAAAGAGAAGGTAATTTTATAACCCTATCATTTAATGGCTGTGATAGCAATACATTTGTAAAAACATTTTGTCGACATTTCTTGTTGACGTTTATTGCATTCATAGCAGTGTACTGTTTAGATATAATTGTGACTAAATAATCTTTGAATTATCTTTAGTTTAATGCTGAAACTGAAGATCTCCTGATTCCAGGCATTATGTTAAATGTACAAGATGAACATAATATAGGTTCAATTTGGTTTGAAGAAAGTTAAAAAATAAACTACGAAATTATCAAGTTTTTCAGAGATTTATTGCATATATTCTTGGATTTTTTTTCATAGCTTTTAACATATGAGCCGCGTCATGACAAAACCAACATAATGGGTTTGCGACCAGCATGGATCCAGACCAGCCTGCACATCCGCGCAGTCTGATCAGGATCCATGCTGTCCGCTATCAGTTTCTCTACTTGTAATAGGGTTTGTAAGCGAATAGCATGGATCCTGATCAGACTGGGCGGATGCGCAGGCTGGTCTGGATCCATGCTGGTTACAAACCCACTATGTTGGTTTTGTCATGACGCGGCTCATATTATGAGATAAGTCAGACAGAAATGTCATTACGTAGTTTCTAGGATAATGTAAAACCGTAAGCCAATATTTCTTCACAAAACAAGAATTATAAAATTCGAGTTTAACTGATTATCATCATTAAGTGTCTTTCAAATTGAAATAAAATAATTATGAAATGATATTTGTTATTACTTAGTTCATACAGGCGGTTGAATGAAATGACAGGAAGCTGAAGTACATTTTATGCTAACCTAGCACATATAATAGTGGTTATTGTTAGATTAATGTATTGTTTTAAGCACATTGCAAGATTTTGTTTTCATCTGTATTAATTTTCACCAGGGGGTCATTGATTTTTCCTATATGCATATAGTAAAAACTTAAAAATCTTCTTTTAAAGAACACAAAGAGCTAGAGCTAAGATATTTAGCATGAAACATCTTCTAATGGATGTCTACCAAGTTTGTTCAAATAAGAGCCCTGGGGTCAAAATTGGCCCCGCCCCAGGAGGTCATTGTTTTTCCCTATATAAATATGGTAAAAACATAAAAATCTTCTTTGAAAAAACCTGAATAGCTAGAGCTTAGATATTAGGCATGAAACATCTTCTATTAAGTGTTTTCAAAGATTGTTCAAATAAAAGCCCTGGGGTCAAAACTGGCCCTGCCCCAGGGGTGTCATTGTTTTTTAAATATATGTGTAAAAAAAAAAAGAAAAAATCTTCTTTTAAAAAACCCAATGAGCTAGACCTTACATGTTTAGCATGAAACATCTTCTAATGGGTGTCTACCAAGTTTGTTTAAATAAAAGCCCTGGGATTTAAACTGGCCCCACTACGGGGGGGGGGGGGGGGGGGGGGGCTATATACAGGTGAGCGACTTCAGGGCCATCAAGGCCTCTTGTTGGTATCTTATTGCAGTTTCCAAAAACAAAGTACCCATTTGCCATGTAGCTCAACTATTTTTCGCTTTTGCTTTGGCAATTGGGTATAATTATACTGAGGTATTGTTTAATTTTAATAACCTGTCAATTCCATACTGATTATACGGTCAATGCACAGAATATATACATATTCGATAAATGTTCGGTAAATTCCGTGAGAGGTACGCAGTAAGATGTGATTAAATTCATCTTGTTTCTATGAATTAGTCATACTGACCGTTATAGCCCAAAAGGGTAAACTACCGGTATATATTCTAAATGTCCTACGTGTTGTATGATCGAGACCGCGTATGTCCAGGTTTTTTTTTATTCATAACTATTTTCAACAATTTTGAATTGTTGGTTGTTCTCTTTTGTTTTTAATATGTTTTGCACTTTTTTTGTAAACACTATACTTTGGTATATACCATTATTTAAGAAATAATATTGAAAATTCATTCGGATTAAAATCAATAAATGTCATTTCAGTGCCGTCAAGTACAATACAAAACGTGACAATCCATCGTTTCTTAGTTGCTTCATATCCGTGTAGACAATTTTGCAAGCGCTTGAACGTTTTCATTAAAGTATACTTAAAAATACAGAAATAATAAGTCTGAAAAGAATGTCAAAGGAAGGGATCGAACCTAGGACCTCTCCTGCATTAGGTTATCACTTATCCGACTGTGCTATTGCGGATGTTACGAGAACTACGAGTTTTCCAAACGTTAAACTCCATATTAATTCTTGTAAAATAAACGGACAAAACCGAAGTGGGATCGAATATTTAAATGAATCCAATAATGTATTCAAAATTTCCAAACTTCACAGGAATGTTCCTTTGGTGGTCACCTTTAAAAATTGTTCAAAGAATTTAATTTTTCCATGCAGAACTCTGGTTGCCATGGCAACCAAAAAATAAAACTTAAAATATCTTCTTTAAAAAAACCCATAAGATCTAGAGCTTAGATATTTGGCATGAAACATCTTCTAGTGAGTGTCTACCAAGTTTGTGCAAATAAAATCCCTGGGGTTAAAATTGGCCCAGCCCCGTGGGGTCATTGATTTTCCCTATATGCATGTAGTAAAAACTTTAAAAAATCTTCTTAGAGCTATGGCTAAGATATTTAGCATGAAACATGTTCTAATGGGTGTCTACCAAGTTTGTTCAAATAAAAGCCCTGGGTCAAAATTGGCCCCGCCACGGGGGTCATTAATTTTCCCTATATGCATATAGTAAAAACTTTAAAAATCTTCTTTTAAAGAACTCAAAAAGCTATGGCTAAGATATTGAGCATCAAACATGTTCTAATAGGTGTCTACCAAGTTTGTTGAAATAAAAGCCCTGGGGTCAAAATTGGCCCCGCCCCAGGGGGTCATTGATTTTCCCTATATGCATATAGTAAAAACTTAAAGAATCTTCTTTTAAAGAACCAAAAAAGTTAGAGCTAAGATATTTAGCATGAAACATCTTCTAATGAGTGACTACCAAGTGTGTTCAAATAAAACCCCTGGGATCAAAATTGGCCCCGCCCCGGGGGTTCATTGATTTTCCCTATATGCATATAGTAAAAACTTTAAAAAATCTTCTTAGAGCTATGGCTAAGATATTTAGCATGAAACATGTTCTAATAGGTGTCTACCAAGTTTGTTCAAATAAAAGCCCTGGGTCAAAATTGGCATCGCGCCGGGGGTCATTGATTATCCTGATATGTGTATAGCAAAAACTTAAAAAATCTTCTGTGAAAAAACCCAAATAGCTAGAGTTAAGATATAAAGCATGAAACATCTTTCAGTAAGTGTCTACAAAGTTTGTTCAAATAAAAGCCCTGGGGTCAAAACTGGCCCGGCCCCAGGGGTGTCATTGTTTTTAACTATATGTGTATAGTAAAAACTTTAAAAAAATGTTCTTTTAAAAAGCCCAATGAGCTAGAGCTTAGATGTTTAGCATGAAACATATTCTTATGGGTGTCTATCAAGTTTGTGCAAATAAAAGCCCTTGGGTTAGATTGGCCCTGCAACATTGGGGGGGGGGGGGGCTATATACAGGTGAGGGACCTCAGGGCCATCATGGCCCTCTTGTTTCCATAAATTATTTAATTCATATAGATAAACATCACTTCGTATAGAAGCCCCATAACTTTGAGATTTGACAAGTGAATTTAATGGAATTTCACTCAGGGATAAAAGTATTTTCTTATTTTGATTGCCATGTTAACTTCTTCATTAAAAAATTGTCCACGTAGAAATATTCTACTCTCATGGCGAATTCAAACAAATATTTGTATGAAAATGGTAAATGAAGAATCATTTGACAGCAAACTGTTACTTTTAAATAATCGTAAGTGTTCATAATCATTGCATCAGATATTTTATTGTTTGTACTGATTTATATTGAAATGGGGGAGCTAAATAGAAGTAACATGTTATAGCAGTCGATATTCTGTTTCTGTTTTAGTTTTAGTTTTGTGAATATTGAATTATTACTTAAGAAAATAAATGTAATCTGTGACGAAAACGATTGGTGACAAATATCTATATTGTAGTTAGGTGTAGACAGATTTTATTTTCTCAAACTTATTTTTTAACCGTTTTAAACGTCGGCATAAGTGACAAAATGGAAGCCTCACCCATACTTGTACATTTGAAATAGTCATGGACTTCTAAACATAGCTATAATCAATGTCTTAAGACATAAGTTTAGTGCCTATTATCTTTTCCTTTACGGATGATGTTATTCAAGCTCGACCTAGGACAATTTGCCCTTTTGGATATTCGTTTTAATTACAGAATGGTACACAAAACAATAAAACATCAATTGCTTTATGGAAGTGGTCCGTAATTATGTTGATGCTTTTATATCATGCACATTTGGATCTATTCAGCACATATGGAATTCCGATGGAAGTTAGACCGGCAATACCCTCATTTGGAGCCAAATCTCAATTAATGTTTCAAAAAGGTTTTCTTTCAATGTAAAGTTAAGCATTGTTCGGGGTTAAGATTTTGTAAAAACTCTTCATATGCGTTGCATGTTTTGAGACACAAAAAAAACCCACGATGGGAATAATATCTCGACGAAGACTGTATGAATATCCGTAACAAAAATTGGTAAATATAGAGGAAAATTATAGGAGGGTTGAATCACATTTCGATTAAAAAATATCTCGACGAAGACTGTATGAATATCCGTAACAAAAATTGGTAAATATAGAGGAAAATTATAGGAGGGTTGAATCACATTTCGATTAAAAAAAACTTTGAATTTTATGTAAGTTTGAAAAAAGTTGAAAACATACTCTGTGATTGACCTATTTGCTCTTTCACATAAGCACACATCTGGATCAGCGGAAATTCATATATATTTTTTGTCCGGTATATACCGGAATACGGTATTTAGTGTGGTGCTCCAATCCTTTTTTTAGTCACAGCCATTTTTTTTTTGTTCTGTTCAATAAATTTAGGGGCACTCAACCACTAGATTAGGATAATGACCGAGGTGATGAGAAATTAATTCATCATGGCTGGACCAGCTTCGATTGTCGAATATTTTGCTGAACATGAAGCGTATAGATGTGGTTATTGTGGAAAGTCAGACACAAATTATTCACATGGTTAACATCTTCTTTTTTCATGAAATTACATATGTGTGTTTTTTTTAAAAACAACCGACAAAATGAAAGTGTGATCCTTAAAAGTGTGGTTTCCTTTTAATAATTTTCATGATTTTAGATATATAAAATACAAAGGGACCCGCACAGTGTTTGGATAGTGTAAAAAGTAATTCAAGAAGAAAAAAATATATTTTATATATAATATATAGACAAGGGGTTGAACTCGCTAAATCGGCAGAATGCCTCTAGTCCAGTATAAGTCCAAATTGCATTTTTTAAGTAAATCATAACCCCATATTAATTTATATCAATTTGCAGCTAAATGACATCACTATACATTGACAATAGCATTATTGTTCCCACTTAAACCGTTTTTGAACAACAAATCAATATTTCGGATGGAACATCATATTTTTACTAGGTCGACAACAAATCTCGACACTCGATTTTCTACGTGTGAATACGCAATTCTAAACCATGATATTGTATCAACCCATAATAAATCAATGACATGGTACAATGACATGGTTTAGAATTGCGTTTTTACACATAGAAAATCGAGTGTCGACGGTTGCACGGTTGTTGCGGTTGTACCTGGGCATGAAAAATACATTATTTTACAAGTAAGATTAGACCAATATTGTAAAAACAAAACATTATACATTCTATTCTTGTGTGGCATTATCATTACAACATAATGTGCAATATTACAAATATAAACTTTTTGTCTTTAGAGTGGACTTATTTAACCAGAATAAAATTTGATTTGGTGTAAATGTGGAAAAAAAACACACAAAAAAAACAAAACGATTTCCATGAATTGTGTTTATGCATTATAATGAAATAATTTCATAATAAATATTAACAACAAAACAATAATTCAGAGTTTTTTTTGAATAACTATAAACTTTGAAAGTCTCTTGAAGATTCAAAATATCAGCAATGCTATTGTGAGCATTGAATGACTAATCTATAAACATATTAATTGCGACACGCTTTTGGACTCCAACTTTTTCAGGGTTGGGAGTCCATGGACTCCATGTTTTAAAGTCCTAGTGAGAACCCTGCGCGGCCACATCTTTTTCTTTTCTTCCTATGTTGAAAATTCTGGTTGCTATGGCAACAAATAGACTGAAAATATGGCAAATTTTACACATAAACTGGATCCAGTGATAACGCAAAAAGTACTGGAAATATTTTTATGAAACTTGAAATATGGGTAGATGGCAGTCTGGAGATTATGCATGTCTTTTTCTTTTCTTCCTATGTTGAAAATTCTGGTTGCTATGGCAACACATAGACTGAAAATATGGCAAATTTTACACATAAACTGAATCCAGTGATAACTCAAAAAGTACTGGAAATATTTTTATGAAACTTGACTGTACTGTGTAAAATTTTCAGATCTCTAGCTTTAAAATTATAAAATCTGTATGGAAAAATGTTAAAAAAGTGTCCGTGGTTGGTGGTCGCCAACCGGTACGTGTAGTTCATGCTGTTATATTATAATCAAAAACAAAATCTATGCATTATTTTATGTTAGAAAATGAGGCACCATTTCATTGTTTATAGATCTAGCTCTCATAAACTAGTTTGTATGAAGTTCACTAACTTAAAATTTTGGCCATCAGAAACATAATTTAATTCTCTACAAACTTTATATGGACAGTAAAAATTGTAAAAATAGTATTTAAACTATTTTTTATCAGAAGAACATAAGTAACCTTCCTTTCAGAAAATTGTGACAGGAAATACGAAATTCTATTTATGTTATTAGTGTATAACCCCTGTTGGTGTCCGCCTAGTGAATTTTCGTATTCTTTGTTCTATAGTAAATCAGTCACATTTGAGGCTTAATTATGATTCTACTGTTCTTGATGAATTATATACTGTCTTCAACTTTAAACATCAACACTATCTAAGTTAAATGAGGCCCAAAATATAATATGTTAGCCATCTAATTTTTAACAAGAATGTCATGGAATAGCAGGCTTGGCAGAACACTGCAGTTAGGAACTTTTCTTTAAATGGGGGGGGGGGGATAAGAGAAGTTATTGTATATTGGAAATGAGTCCTTATATCGACCCCTGGTATTATATAGGAGACAATGATCTGCATGTAAAGATCATATTTTCTTGAAATTGTCAGTAAATACATGTATCAGTTCTTGTTTTAATTACAGGTATGTGGGCACATGCAATGACTGTCCAAGATTACCAAGATTTGTTGAATAGAGGATGGAGAAGGTGAGGTCTATTGTAGATAAAAGATTCATAAATTAAAATGTGCTTAAAGTAGAATATAACTATCAAAAATAAACTAGAGGAAGTGAAGAAAGAATACATTTGCAAGGACTTTAATAAAATTAATGTCGTAATATCTTATAGATTGAGTACAGAATGGTGAATTACTGCTTAGGTGTCATGTGTTGGGTGATGCCATGATCACGGACACCAGTCATTATATAAAGATATATGTTACAGTGTCTATTCTAGGATTCGAAAAACGGGGGATTTTTATCAAAAAGTAAGAATTTAATACTTTTGTTGATCTTTTTCATTCTTTCTCTATGTAAAATTTTCTCCCTACCACTGAATAAATAGGAAGGCATTCTCAAAAATATGAGTGAATCCCCCCATCCCCCCTCCTAGAGTAGATACTGATTTTATTGTTAACTCATGAAATGACATATATATTTTGAAATAGAGTGCTTATGTAATTATGTTTCATTGGACATAAATTATTATGCCCCCCTTCAAATAGGTGGGGGTAAACTGCTTTGCACTTGTTGGTCTGTCTGTCTGTCAGTTGATCCACACAGCTGCTGACATACTGACAAGGGGGACATACATTTTTACACATATTTCTTTGTTTTTATTTCAATTAACCCATTACACAATTTACACGCCTTTTAACGCCTTTTTAACCTCCCCCTTTTTTTTGTTGTCTCAAATGGTGAAAAAATGCCTTGTTTTTGTTTGAGAAATATTGTTAAAAAAGTGACCACTTTTTCGGCAAAAAAAAGTGCCCCTTAATGCTATGTTTATATAAAGCGCAAATGACCTTATGTCAAAGTGTTATTTCACTAGTGTAACATATTTCTAATAAATGGCTTTATAACACTCCTGTGCAGCAGTTTATGAGATAATAGATAATAACTGGAAATCAGCAAATGTGGGTTTTTATCAAAGCAAATCCATAGGTACAAAGAAACTTACTGTTAATGCTACACTACCTGTCACAATAGATTAGTCAACCTGTTGGGCCTATTTAAATTATTTTGTAAGCTGTAACTGTAAAAGTTTGTTTGTACCTATGGCTTAGCTGGGAACAACCCCAAATATTCTTAATTCCAGACAAGCATGTCTAGGTAGATATTCAGTTAGTTTTTGCTATTAATTTGGAATTTTATGGCCTGTGATAGCTGTCGGACTAGTGTTAACTCCTACCACTGCTGAAATATTATACAATTATTGACTAGTGAGCCATTGAATATGATGATCATATTCAATGGTTCACTAGTCAATAATTGTTTTATTATATGAATAGGCTAAGCAATTAAAAAAAATCACATAAGTACAACCTTATAATTATACATGTACAAATTTTGCCTCGTTGAAGCGCGGGAAAAAAGACGCACGTGCTAGGCGTGCAACGACTACGCGAACGCTGCGCATACAAAAATAATTCAAGTTGATACTCATCATTGCGGTGTAACCTTTAAGTATAATACTAAAGTATTGATATTTTAATCGAGAAATATGCCATAAAGAGCAAAAAGCAACAATTATTTTTTTAATTGACATGCGTAATTAACAGTCTACGGTGTATGATCATTGAATATGAGTCTCAATCTATTTTTAGACTGGGAAAATCCAATTCAGCCAGTGAATATGATACTTCACCCAGTAAATATGATAAAAAGTTCTGTTGACTACTGTTTGGACCAATGAGATTGCAGCTATATTTAGATCATATAATAAATTATATTCATATATATTGATTTGAGTATTTGAGTGAAACTAAAATAATTGTTTGAATGATTTTAACCAAAATGATATAATTTGCTTTTATTCTTTAGCATCATTAATAAAGCTTAGTCCATGCTCTGTATTGTAATTATGTTTTAAAATACGTTCAATGCATTAGGTAGACAAGTTGAAATATAGGCTGCTTGTTTAGGTTTGGATTTTCTATTAATTGTATTTTCATTTTCAGGAGTGGAAAATACTGTTACAAGCCCACCATGAACATACTGTGTTGTCCAATGTATACCATCAGATGTGAGGCATTAAAGTTTAAATTACGTAAATCTCATAAGAAAGTTTTGAAGAAAGTGAATAAATACCTCATAGAGGGAATCAAGCCTTCTGGTGACATAGCTGATGATGAAACAGAGGAAGTTGAGAAGCAGTCTAGTAAAAAACCTGTGAAATCTGAAAACCAGTCTACGAAAATACCCAGTAGTCATTGTAAAGCTAGAGAATGTACTGAAGAAAAAGCTGTTCCGGGATGTTCAAAAGATGTAAAATCTCCAAGAAAAGGTAAGAGCATATCGGTCTTTATTTTACTGCAGATTGCATATATACATCAAGAGTTGAGAATGTAATAATTGTGTATTGTGTTCAATACATTGTCCTTTATCAAGAAACTAGAACAATTTTCATACTAGAACTACAATAAGACTAGTCAATCAAAAAATAGTTTGGGAAATTATATCCGTCCGTATCTTTTACTTTTTTCACCCATAGTAGAAATTACTTTTTTTTAAATGGCATTAATTATATGTTTAAAACACAGGCTATAAACTATAGGCTTTATTTTTGCGTTTAGTTTGACCAGTTAATCAGATTAAGGTGACAACGGAGTCAATTATCACTGAAAATACCTAAAATGAGATTTTTTGCTTAGTATATTTATCAACCTTTCCCTGAAAACACATTCGTGAATTAATTTTGGAAGCAGGTTAGTCCAAAAAATGTGTTTTAAACGTTTTAAAACAGGGAACCCTTTTGACTATTTTTATCTGCTATCGCGTAACCTGTCAATTATCGATAACGCTCCCGGCCCCCCTGTTGAGGCATCAATGAGGAAATCGTAGTTCCATATATGCGTGAAATACCGGGGTCCATTTGGTCCATACTACTCGTAATTCATGTATCGTACAAATACCCGTACATCTTTTATGAAATATCGCTCTACCTTTTATTTAGCCTTTTTTATAAAATAAGAAATTGTCGGCCAATGTACGTAACATAATGTATGAAACATAAATAATTAAGCATAGCGACAAATCGCACGACCACGGGTTGATTAAAAATATAGTTGCTAAAATATCCATAATGTGTGAAAATAATTTGTCTGTCCCGTTAATCTGATAGATATTACATTGAGTTTATGGACTTTTGTACGGATTCAAGGGCTTGCTTTACATTCAACCTCGTTTTCTAACAATGTCAAGTATAACAACAACAAAAAACAGACAAACATTTTTTATGTGAACGCCTATATGACTTGTGTAAGGTCTCCCTGACAAATTTCTAAACCATTTTAGGTTGTCTCAGGATGATTATTTCTCTATGAATCAATAAAAAAAGATAATAAAATAAATATCAGTGAATGCTTTGAATAAATTGTTCGCTAGTAAATCACAGTACTAATAAACCTGGAGAAAGTTTGGAATTTATTTGTATATCCCAGTAGAAACTGGATCTCTATGCCGTGCATAGATGATTTTCATGATAATAGAAGTCAAGAAGGTCAGATCATAATGATCGAGTGATACCTTTTATTTCTATTAAAATATGTGAAGCATTTATATCAATTGGAGGAAAAAATATATAAAATCCCGTTCTTATTTGTACATCTACCATGGACTTTAAAATACTGTCAGAAGCTCAGTTTTTTTGTTATTTTAATTTATATTTTTACGGAATTTCATACACGAGTACACAGATAGAGTGACACTGGTATAATTATAATAATAATGCTGATGATAATAATAATAAACTTCAAATGTGAAACAATTAAATACCCCGCTAGCGGTGCACAAATACGTCCCATTTCCCCCCACGAGTGCCTCAAATTTTACCGAAAGTCACGTGACATGTGCAACCGATACCAGACAAACGGTAAATCACGTTAAGATGTGAAGAAATTTCTGTTATAAACTGATATTAATCAGCAACTTTTTAATTGTCAGATGTCACTGGGTCATAAAATGTTGTTAGTGTATGTTACCGCAACTTGTGACCCTCTCTGGTGCGATACTTGTGTATTATGTAATTATTTAGCGTGAAACGTAGGGGCGAGAGAGAACAGCCAATTTATGACACTTCGTTTGATGCGGATCGGACTAACTTTGAATCGGCATAACTTTTTTAATAATCAAGCAATTAACATGCGGTTTAAAGCACATGAAAGGGAATTCATTTACGGAGGAACCGTGTCAGGGATTTTTGTTTGCTCAATCAGCGACTTAATTATCTTTAATTACGTAATATGTTGGTGAAAAAAGTCGCATAAAAATGTTTGACGTTACGTAATATTTTTTTGAGAAAAAGATAGACAAAAATTTGAGACACGGTTCCCCAGATATTATAAGTATGTTTATTTTCCAAAAGTTTGATGACAAAAAAATAAAAAATGACTTTGATATGACGATTTAAAATTTTAGGATTTTTATAAAAAATCAATCATTTACAAAGACATTTTTTTCAAATATGTTATTTTTTATGATGATCAACGACATTTAATGCACCAAGATTAAATAAATAACAATTATTACTAAAATAAGTTGGTTTAAATGACATTTATGTGATTACCACGGAAAGTGTCTGTTGTCACCTTAATCAATATAAATTATTTCAAGGAATAGCCTAGGTTTTTCATTCACTTTATCTTAAAAAAAATGAGTGTTAGCAATAAACGCACAGCTGAGTTAGTTTAGCTAAATTAGAATATAATTTGAGCTGTGACATGACATATTCAACAAAGTGGTCAAATGACGCAATTGTAAAAACATGATATATGAAAGTTCACGCCATTGTTTTTAATGATACAATGCGCACTTTTCCAATCAGAACTGTGCAGTTTTTAAACAGTGTGAACTTCAGTTGTATGTAAGCAAAAAAAAAAAAATTCATAACTTCACTAAAATGATAAAACTGTTCACCACAATGATGACTGTTTTTTTCTGTATTCAAACAACACTTGAAAATTGTCCTTGCAATTAGAAAACACTTTCAGGGCTTACTCATTTAAAATAATTAAACAATAATAACATTTATTCTTTTGATTGTTATTTTATTTCCAGTGTCAAGATGTTTTCCAAGCATTTTGTCCATTTTAACATATGATAATTATGTATATAAAAATTGGAATAAACACTTTATTGTAAGTAGAACAAGGAAGATATCACATCACATGGATATCATTGTTTTATTTAACGGACGCTTGAATTTGTTGAAATCCAATCCTGCTTTATATAAAAATTAAGGGGCAAACAAAATTTCCTTGAAATTACATAATATGAGTAGCATGCCTCAAGATCCATACTTATTTTCATAAAAAAATTAGGAAAAAGTATTTTAAATTAAATATTGTGAAGTGTACAAAGTAAGTAATTTACAGACTGTATACAATCCACGTAAATTAATGTCCTAAAAATGTACTGTGCATATTTCTTGATTCAAAGACAACACCTGTGCTAAAATAATAAAACCGTACTGATAATTCTAAGCTGTAACCTTTTTTGTTTTTGTGCAGTAGTACACATAGCCGTTGAATGTCTGACACCATTTTCTTTACATGGGTCTGTTTCCCATGCCTTATATTTATCATGCATAAAAAATTGTTGTTGTTAATGTTTTAATGCCAATATGCCATGCATATATATGATCACACAACGACATAGTAGAACGTCATTATGTTAGGGTGTTTTTGTGCACATTCATTTCTTGAGTATGTGATGAAAGCCTGGCAATTTTGCATAATCTTTTTGCAAGGTTTCTTTTATGACTTAATTTTGAGTGATAGCCAGCTGCCATGCGCTGTAAATTCTTTAATGCATTAACCGATGGTGCATTGGCGTGGATGAAAAGCTGTAACATAATCTGAATTCTGTTATAAGTATGATAAGTATGATGCATTATGCTTTTCAAGACATGAGGTTGTAAATCTTTGTACAAAACAAACAACGAACAAACCTTTAATCAATTGAACATAAATAAATAAGATTTGTAGATGCTGGATTTGCAAATTATAAGAGACTATACAAGTATGTTGACTATATCTATACCTTCATTAGAAGAAAATTACAGTACAAATAATCATAATACCGCTGAAAAGAACAAACATGTTTCACATGTGAAACTATCCTAAAATTCATGTCGATCCTTATGTATCACTGTTAGTCTAGACTGGTATGTAGGAGCACATTTGTCTCACGAGGTGTGACCAATTTGCTTGTAAATATTTACTACAAATTTGAAATGAGACAGATGTGTTCGGCACACAATAGAAATAACATTCGAAGCACATGTGTCTCACATTCTTCCAAGGTAATACATGTAATAATATCTGTCAGTATACAGGTTCACCATTCTCACTACATGAACATTAGATAGCTTACAATTGATACCGCAGGGGTGCGGAATTACTATGCCCGACTTGCCCAACTCTGGACTTTTTGCCGACGGACAAGTAGATTTTCAATTAGCAGTTGTCTAAGTGAATTTCAAGCCAAGGAAAAAAGCTTGATGCCAATACTCTAACCGTGTTAAAAAGTACAATGTCAAATTTGACCACTTTGTTGGAAATGTCATGTCACGGCTCTTTTCAGTTTATGATTTTTGTTCTTTACAAACAGGTGAAGGTGCAGACCCAAGCAAACCACCTTGTAAGAAAGCTAAAGACAGGAGAAAAGAAAAGAAACTAGCTAAACTTGCTGCCAAAGGTGAATCAACTGAATCTGTTGCACAGGTAATTTTATATCAAATTTTAATATTTTTGTTTTTGTGCGAGTTTAAGTTTATTGGGGCGTCTGTGGCCGAGTGGTTAAGGTCGTTGACTTCAAACCACTTGCCCCTCACTGCTGTGGGTTCAAATCCCGACAGGGACTTTGGATTCTTTCATATGATTCTTACGGAACGTCCGTGGTTCTACTCGGGTGCCCGTTCGTGTCTGAAATAATGCACAGAAGGGCACCTGAGGTCTACCTCCACGAGTAAAGCTGGAACGTCGCGATATGACCTATACTGTGTCGATGTGACATAAAACCCAATTAAACAAACAAACATTTACACTTAAAGGATATAAAATCTTATATATGGTAAAATTATGTTGTTTCCATAATCTTGTAGTACTTTTTGAAAGAGTTGTAACTTGGAATGTCTCAATTGTTTAACATATATGAATATTGTACGTAAATTGAATATGTTACAGAATAAAAATAAAGGGTTTAGAAATCATTCCATGCATGCACCTGCAGCTCTTAATGAAATATACAAAGATATTTTCTTAATTAAGGTATTATGGAAGTAATTCATAGTGTTCATAATTCAAACAGTAATTTTGTTAGGTACTTTTGTTTTTGTTTGTTTATACTAACACTATACAGGTAATATGGGGATATTCCAGCTATACATACTTATGGAGCATTTTTTCAGGCACAAACCGGCACCTGATTAGAACCAGATATGTTTTATAAGCTAGCTGGATAGCTTCTTAACATAAAGATGAATCCAAAGTCCTTAGTGAGGGGCAGGAGAGAGGGGCAAGTGATTTGAAGTCATTGCTTTAAACCACTTGGTCATGGACGTCCCCAGATATTGTAAAAGGTTATTACATATTTTAAATAGGGGTAAATGTGCATCTCACTATCAGACTTACTGAATTGTTTCATGCACTCACTCAATCAGTAAATATGGACTGATTCATAACTTCTGTTGCAGGATAAGGTTGAACAAGTAGAAAATAAATGTGAAGGGAAAACATTAGAGGAATATTTAGCAGAACCAAGTAAAGCCACATCTAGTGCTCATAAATTAGAGGTAGGTTGGAATATTTTCAACATTTTTTGTAGTGACTGAATTGATGTTAATCATTAAATTATTATAGACCCACAAACAAAGTTAAGATGGGTATACAGGATACAGCCTGTCCATCTATGGGTCGGTTCCTGACGTTAACTAGAGTTAGAATGAGTTATTGTAATCAAAATTGGTGTATAGCAACCTGGTTTGGAATGCCTTTGGACCCCCAGGTGTCAAGGGCACTGTTACTAAAATAGAAAAATAGTTCCCGGACAATAAGTAGAGTTAGAAGGAGATATTGTAATCAAATTTGGTATAAAACAAGCTTATTAGACCCTTGTTAGGACTGTTTTTGAATCCCCTTGGGTCAAGGTCACTGTTACTAAAAATGGTTTACGGACAATAACTGGAGTTAGGAATGAAATATTATAATCAAACTGTGTATGTAGCAAGATTATATGAAGACCTTAGTTGGTATAGCTTTTGGATCCCCTGACTTCACTGATACTAAAAATAGAATCAGAGAATAACTAAAGTTAGGAATGAGATATCGTAATCAAACTGTGTATATAGCAAGATTATTTGAAGACCTCGCTTGGTATTGTTGTTGGACTTCCTAGGTTCAAGGTCAATATCACTGTTAATAAAAACAAATAATGGATTGTAATTTTTTTTTTTTCACATAAATGTTACATTATCATATTCAGGTTTAATTCAAATTTGACTATTTTTTTCTACATGTTTATCTCACTTTTTCTACTTTCTGTTTTACAAAGATAATAGATGATTATACTCTTTAACAAGGCAGTTAATTGTAATTATTTTTGATACAAAGATTAAACATCAAAATAACGTTCAAAGTTTGCTTCAGACAACTTATTTTTCAAAAAGTCAAGGTGGCATATGAATCACCTTTAGTGATAAGTCTAGTTTCTTGTTGAACTGATGGTTCATATGTAATCATTGGAATGTTTGAGTCTTTTTATCAGCATACAAGATAACCATGTATTTTTTAAAAAAAAATTGATTACAGACAGATAAAACAAAAGTTTTTTTCCTTGTATTATACTGTAATTTACTGATAGGTAGTTAAAGCTGGTGAAATTTAAAGCTTCTTTCAGGTGTTGATTCTGTATAGATTGGCTAAGGAAGTAATTAATACACCTATAGGAAACATAGTTTCTACAGTTCTGTAACAATAACAAAATTGTGGAATTTTAAGTTGGAAAAGTATTTTTTCTTATTTCATTTTACTTTCTGATAATATACGTGGGTTGTCCCAATATTATGTGACAAGATTGTTTCAAAGCTAGATAAAACAGGTACGAATTTGATATTTTAATATGTTATAAACCCATATAATGTAAACATTTTCACAAATTTTCAAAGAAAAATATCAACAAACAACAAAAATATGCCATAAACATCATGGCAACTAACTGAATCGCTGCGCACGTCCAACGTCATAAACGGCGTTAAATCTATATAAGGCGCCTTTCTCAAATACTCTTAATGGCTTTCAACGCAATAATGGTACCGATAAATCGTCAATTTCTGACTTAAATCATGTGGTTGTTAATGTCTGTTGAATGTTTGGATGGCATACATTAATTTTTTCGATACGCAAACTTCCGTTCTCGTTACACCTGTTTTTAGCTGTAGGAAATAGTCTTCCTATCCGTGTTTTCCTTATTTCGCTTTTTGTACCGCAAAACACTGGTTCCGTTCATGCCTTTTGTACACAAGTGCTCAGGATATGTTGCTAAACTGTTCTATTAGGTATATTTGTTGAAAATCTTAACATGTGTCATCTAGAAATAGTCATGAAACCCGAGTGACATGTTCACTGCGCCGCAAATTCTTCGAACGTCGCCATTTTAACTTTCCTATTTTCTATGACAAATGTACATTTATCCGTAACTTGTTAGTTTCTTAAGTTATTGAACTAAAATTTTCTGAGTAGATGTAAACATAGCAGCAGAGGAAGTCAATGTGACATTGTGCAGACACATCATCAGATATTTGAAATATACGTAATTAACTTCAGCCTATTCATAACAAAATGTAAATTATTTGACGTGCGCCGGCAACTCAAACCAATGTCGTTAATACTGAAAATTTCTAAGTAACTAGAGTATTTTTTTTGTAAATGATTTGTTGTAATGTTAGATAATAAACTTAACGGTTATATGTGTGAATTATTTTCTATTGGCATTAAAAATGAACCGGCTATAAAAGAGCTAGGTTCACTAACCACCGAAAATGGCCCAACCTCAGAAATAGATGAAAAACATTTTAATTAGAGGTTCAATATATCTAGTTGATGAAAGAAACATTTTTTAACAAAAATTCTTAACGATGACGTCGAAATTTTCTCTTAATCATTAACGCCCGTTAATCCAGTTAATATCAGAATCAAACGATTATTGATCTCGCAAAATAAAATTAACGTCTACTATATTTAATGTTTATTTTCCCTTTAAGAATAATCCTTACCCAACTAATTAGCTTTTATGAAATTAACTGTATTAATTAAATGTTTTCCAAGAATAAAGCATTTTTTAATGAGTTAACCAATTTTCGGATATACAAAATTCGGACAATATTATTTCTTGAAAAATATAAGTTTTGCGCTTTTAAAATTTGAATATGAATTGAATGACCATTAGATTTACAAAATTACTTAAGAAGAATTGATAACGAAATAAATAAAACTAGTTGCAGGAATAGTCAATAAGTATAATATTCATAAATATCACATATTTAACATAATAAATATAAACATAATGAATAAAACAAAATGATTTGGTTATGATGCTTGCAAAGTAAAATACAAACATAGCGTAAATAACAGAATGATTAATGTGAACATTGCTTTTTAAATAAAGGGTAAGAAAATAAAATCGATATTTAAATGAGCCGTGTCACGACAAAACCAACAAAATGGGTTTGTAACCAGCATGGATCCAGACCAGCATGCGCATCCGCGCAGTCTTATCAGGGTCCATGCTGTTCGCTATTAGTTTCTCTACTTGTGATAGGGTTGGTAAGCGAACAGCATGGATCCTGATCAGACTGCGCGGATGCGCAGGCTGGTCTGGATCCATGCTGGTCGCAAAGCCCATTATGTTGGTTTTGTCGTGACACGGCTCAAATATTTGTTCTTGAATCTGAACAATCAACAAGCTACAAAAATATATGACAACTTTTTAAAGAAAATTTATATGATCTCGCTTGAAACTTAACCACAAGCAATTGATTTAGATATATTGAACAAATATGTGAAAAAGTCAACAGTTGTTATTCAGCATCATAACACCATAAAGATAGAATGTCGGTATCAGTTCTTACACCATGTTTTTATCTCTGTGTAAATAAATAATGTAATAATATTGCTTGATATTTACTTTAAAAAAACGAAAAAGTTAATAAAAATGAAAGTTGTATCAGCATTGTTTTATGGTAATGAGGTAAACAACGTCGCACGATATATCAGTCTGTATCACTGCCAGATGATTCGTCAATTGCCACGTCGATTTTAAATTCAGCGGCGTCTGAAAGGTGTACACCCCAATCACGGACACCATAACTTTCTCTCCCGCTATGACGCCCGTTGGACAGATACCACACTATGGCAGCAATATGGGCACACATCCCAACTACTCTTGAGCCGCACCTGCAAGTGCAATACCATCCATCTACTGCCTCGTTTTCAACTTGAATCCAAAGCATATATCTTTTTGATGAAGAGTGTCTGCTTTGCATCTTGACACAAAGTAGTTTTGGATCATCTATGTTGACTGTAGAAATAAATGTTTAAATATCAATTGTTCAGGTTTTGATGGGATTTTACTAGATTCTTTATAACACTGCACGTTTGTAACGTCGCTTTTCATTGACTACTCATGACGTTTAAATAGTTTTATATACGCGGCTGCTGAAGATTTATAAAGACATCTCGCTTTATTCCTCTAAAAATGATGCTTGCTGTATTATAAATTCGATGTTAATATTACTTACAAGGTATACGGCCTATATAATTGGTTGTTTGCAATATAACCATCGCCTAGCGGCTCGGGTTATATTTACACACAACCGTTTATATAGGGCCATATAACCTGTCAAAATCTTTATAACTAATATATATATGAAAAGTGAGTTGAGAAATGAGCACCAAAATAATAATTTTTAAACTAGATAACTAACAAAGCATACTTTTAAGAAGTCATTTGTAAACAGGTATATGAAGTAAAAATAGGATACACAGAAGATAGGACATTACCGTGTATAATACATTTAATTTATAAAAGAAGACTAACCTTCCTACCATTTTGCTGATATGGACATATATATTTAAATGTATACATTATGTGACTTTTTACCTTTAATGTCGAACTCTCCGTCTAAATGTTCTTGAATGTATGATGGTGACAGACTCAATTGATAAACTCCCAGTGTCAGCTCACTCAGTTGTTCACTGTTTAGAACTGGGAAATATATGTCTTCTTCATCGACATTCTTCCACACTTTCTGTTTTCTATCTAAACCTGTCTTCTCTACTTTTTTCTGAAGCTCATTTTCCTTTTCTAACAATCTTACCATTTTTGCTGCCATAGCAACATCACTCTCTGACTGGTCAGTGCTACTGAGTGGGGGAAAGTATTTGTTCGAGATGGAACAAACAATGCGTACAAAGTCACCAATGAATGGTATTTGGCTATTTGGCATCACATTGTCTAAGTACTTGAAACGCTTGATCCGCGCGTTTGCTGACTCAACAACCCACCTTATCTGAAAATAGACAAAACAAATGAAAAAGGTCATACACCTTAATAAATTAAAATTAGATTAATTTATACTTTGCATTTTAACATAATGAAGCCATTGTAAATTATCCTAAATATTGATAGATTAATTCACTGTTTAATTAATTCACGGTTAATATAAAATAACAGTTATTTTATGAATATCGATTGCAATAGAAAAAAAGAAACATATCACATTTTAATACTACTCAGTGTAATTTCGTGGATAAATTGCATTAATATTTACCAGTTTTGAAAACAATATTCAAACTCAAATTTCATTTTCATCCATATACAGTTAAACTTGTGTTAAAAATTAACGTCAAATAAAGACCACCCTGAAAATAAAGGCTTTTACGACCTCTACCGGTTAAAAAAGCTGAGTCGCTCTCTGGATAGTTTTTGTTCACATGTTTGAATGTATACATTTACATTTCGAAATATATTACATATTTCAGGAATATTTTTATAATAGTATGTACATAATTCATTTGTATTTAAAAGTGTTTAATAGTCAATAACTTACATTAGTGACTAAACGACTTTTGATTGCCTCATCAGATTGAAGCTGCTTCTGTCCCTTTGTCATTAATGCTGGCATCTTTGCATGTATGCCTAAGTCTTCCAGTAGCTCTAGAGAGTCCCTGAACCCGCGATCCACTACCAGCATATCTCCTTCTTTAAGGAAATCCTTCATATCATCTATGTTTAACTTGAGGATGTGGTTAAGGATGGTTGCATGAGCAAGGTAGGGACCAATTATATTCACGAAATGTCCAGTGGTTACTGGTTATAACAATGACCATTGGCTTTACGAGAGGTCGATCTTTGTGAAGACTGTATGTTCTTCTTTGAAACTTGTAATTGTTTGATCTATTGATATAAATGTATGTGCCATCAAGAACCAAAACAATGTTATCAGAAGAAGAACAAAATAGGGATTTAGCTAACTGTCTTGTATGGTTGCATAGTATTGATTCCCTTGTCACACTCTCAAATCCATGGTAGAGCGGCACGAAACTTCTCATCAGGGCCTCTCTTACAGTGGCAATGGTTAGTCTAACACTTGACTTTGAAAGGCTGAAGATAGTTGAAAGAAGCCTGTTAGAAAGGCCTGACTCAAACTTAAGGAGAAACAGTCCAGCAGTTGTTCTAGGTGATCGTGACGGTGTTGATTTTATCTTATCATTGATGTGGGAGAAGAGATCATTAAATTGTGGTTTTGAAAGTCCTGTAAGTGAAGAGTAGTCTGCTTCTTGAAGAGTGTCAAAGTTCAGAGAAGAATTCTGTTGAATGCATAAAGATCGCATATTCTGAAGGAGATTAGAAATAGATGACCTGTTCAGATATGAAGATGCGTTGAGGTGATCAATGCCTTCCACAGAATCTATCTTTAGCGTTTTATCTGAAACGTGTAATGGACAACATCTTGCATCTGAATGAACTATGATATTGTGCTGTAGAAATGATTGTGGTCGACACTCTGAACCCAGGCGAACAAGTTTTGGACCAGCTTTTTTACAGACAAAACATCTTGAATGGCTCCTGCTTGTTGATGGGATTTTAAGAACTACCTAAAATAGTAAATTATTTCTATATTTACCTTTAGCCTGCTGTCTGCAACATAATCTACCCATGTGATCAGTGCAGACCAAGATCAACCGGCACATCCATGTCGCCTGATCATGGTCTGCACTGTTCGCTATTCATTCAGAAAATATTTTATTTTTTCCCCAAAAATGATCAATGGTTTTGTCCAGATTTAAAAATGGACAAGTTCATTTGAAATGTTTAGCGTGGTAAGGGTTAATCGCCAATTCAACAAAACCACCAAGATCTATCATAAATGAAAGTTTACATATTTAATGAAGTTACAATTTAAGAACACAAATTGTCCCAAACTTTCTGTCATTTGTTTAAAATTACTTTTACGTACATCATGTTTAATATTTAAATAATGCTTTTTCATTTGTAAAAAAATCATATAGGTTGATTTATTGTTATCTAATGTTTACAAAATTATAATGCAATTTATTACAAAAATAAACTTACCGATGGAGGACTGATAAGCTGACTTGTTGATGGCTGTGGCACACTGACTGTATCTTTAATTTTCTTCTGCCTACTCCGGTAAAGTTTTGTCCGGCATGAAGGGCATATCACGTCATCATCACAGGGAAGAACAGATAGAATCTTTCTTAGTAACTTTTTTGCTTTGTCAGGAATAGGACGTCTTCCAGAGGGTTTTATTCTTTTTTTACACACAACGCATTAATAATGTTTAACCATCCTGAAAAAAAAAAACAATTATTCAAGTCTTGTAGATTTTGAAAAGATTTTTATACTTGAATATATTATACCATATAATTTAAAACATTTCTATAATATATATATCTTATAAAAAAAAAATTTGTTTCAAAAAAAAAAAAAAAAGTAGGTTGTTGGATTCGAACCCCGATCTCCTGCATGTGAATCCACCGCTTCTTCCTCTCTCCCACGGCTGCTTTCACTCTAGAGCGGAACAGTTTTATGTCTATAACATTAATCGAGTAAGAAATTTTTAATGCAGACGACCACAATTTAAAACATTCACATAATTTAATCGATGGACGATGGAATTTTACAATTTACATATGTATACAATTTCTGATTTTTACTATAGCTGTTTCTAAATATACACTCTACTAAAGGACGATTCTAGGCTAAAATTCACCGTCGTTGATGATATTTCCATTCGACTTGTTTTGTCAGTCATCATTCGGCATACGATTTTTTATTATTCAAAGGTAGTCTAGATCTAAATTAAGTAAAATAAAGTAATAATAAATCAGTAGTGTTTTCTTGTAAGAGCATGTGACATAATTCCTTTTACAGGGAAACAAATACCTGAAAAAATCGGTTTATTGCTGTCTCTATGTCATGTTGTTTACATTACCAGCGCTGTGTTTCGTACCCACTGCAATTCGTTCCAAAACATCGCGTTAATAAATTATAATCGTTTGTTGTTTTTTTTGTGATTCCAAAGGTTCGCATTCACTTTGAAATATCTCCTTTAAATTTTTTCTTATACAATTTGCTTATCAATAACGTTATTTGTTACGAAAATCATAGGTAATATTGGTTTTTAAATCGATATGTGGCCTTTGATAAATAACAAAGGGTCTCACACTTTCTCATTTTATAATATGAGCGCACGCGTGTTCCACAAAATAACTATTATTTATTTAAAGATAATTGAATAACAAATCGATTTAAGCTGGAATAAAGGTGGAACAAACGTGCGCTCATACTGGGACACTGAAAAATTCCCTATCATAGCACTTAAATATTGCCATTTTGGCAAGAACAGGGTTCAAACAAAAATCATAAAAATCACTTTATACGATGATTTTTATGGAAGAAAATCAATTTCTGTATTTAATTGATGATGTTGATTAAAAACAAAACACAAAATACAGTTTTTCTGTAGTTTTTATTTTCCGTCAGTTTTGGGCCATTTTCGGTGGTTAGTGAACCTAGCTCTTTGTCATGGACTTTTGGGACAACCCTCGTATTATCTGGTGGAAAAAATGTTGAATTTAATGGTAAATTTTCTTTTAATTTCTATGCATCATTTGGCAAATTTTATACTTTTGTGTTTTTTATTTGTATTTCCTTTAAAGGAACAATGTATATTATATTGATATCTCATTTACACAATGAGATCATATATCAATGAGTCAATACCAAGCTATTTTATATGTTTCATCATACTCAAACCTACAGTCTGAACTTTGAACTTGTAAAATTCTGTATCAATCACATATTTTTGTCAATATACAAGTCAACTGTCTTTCACTTTTCTAAAAATCAACTATGAGTGTGTGAACTTTACTTATATTAGAATAATATCATTTTTAGTTTGGGTTTTTGATATGATTACAGATTTGTTTGGTAAGGTCTTCTCCTAAAAGTCAACAGTTTGAGGACAGTCTGAAAGAGACCCACAAAGTTTATGTTAGATATCAAATGGCAATACACGGAGACCCTGAAGACAAACCTAACATGCGTCAGTTTACAAGATTTCTAATTGATTCACCATTAGAGGTACTTGATTTTAATATTTATATTCCTTACTTCACAGATAAAGTTACTACGCAGTTACCCGAAGTGTGAGGAGTTTAAGACTAGTTATGACGAATCATACAAGGTGTATAAGAAATATCAGATGGCAATACATAAAGACAAAGAAGATGATTGTTCTAAGTCTTCCTATGATGATTTTCTTGTTCACTCACCATTAGAGGTACACAGTCATTTTCTTGCTTCACTCTCTGGCTTAGTTTATACAGATTTATTTTAGTGTGATTGTGATGGAAGTTTTCATAAGCTTATTAAAACACTCTCGAATCATTTCCTGGTCCCAGCCAGGATTGAGCAATGAGTGTAAAGTGCTCATAGAAACAACAGCTCGACCCTGACAGGGTTTGAATCCACACCGCTAGCAATCTTTCAATTATTAGTCTGAAACGTTCACCAACCCCCCACTCCATTTTTTTGAAAAAAACCAAAAATTTCTCTTTTTTTCATTACGGGGGGGAAAGTTTTTCAGAAATTTTTTCTGTTTCCTTGCTGGTTTGAGGTCTTGGCAATTTTCTTGTTTCACTCACTGGTTTGAGGTACCTAGTATTTTTTCAGTTATACTCACTGGTTTGAGGTATTCAGCAATTTTTCTATTTCACTCACTAGTTTGAGGAATTTGCCAATTTTTCTGTTTCACTCACTTGTTTTAGACTGGGAATCAAGGTTGAGTTTATTTTTGATTATTGTGTGTAGGAGCTATTATTGAATTCTTATGTAAACTTGATAATATAATAAGGGTTTTGTATTTTCAGTCTACTCACCCTGGAGGAAGTTTACCAGAGGGTTATGGGGCATTCCCCATTTAATATATACGGGGTGGGAAAAATAATTTGTTTGGGGGTGATAATTTTACTTTCCAGCTGGGATCTCTAAAAACCTTTATATGATCCTTTATTAAACCGTTTTTATTCATTAGGCACATATTCTGCTCTAGTGTAAGTACCATAAAACGATTCACAATGTACATAATCTGCTCTTGTGTATGTAGTGTAAAACTTCTGGCAATGTACATATTCTGCTATAGTGTAAGCACAATAAAACTATTCACAATGTACATATTCTGCTGTTGTAGTGTATGTACCATAGAACTATTCACAATGTACATAATATGCAGTTGTAGTGAAAAACTCAAGGCAATGTACATATTCTGTTGTTGTATGGTAATATCAGAACTTTTCACAATGTACATATTCTGCTCTAGTGTAAGTATTTTAAAACTTAGCTTAAGTGTAAGTATTGTAAAATTTAGTTCATAATGTATATATTTGTCTCTAGTGTAAGTCAAAGTTAAATCTTTTTAAGCTTCAGGAAATCACTAATTATCTCATGTCTAAACCGCCTCATACAGACAGAGCATTTTGGAAAAAAATGTTTCAACACCACAATTAGGTTGTTAATGAATTTTATGATCATAATGATTATTATGATTTCTTGTGTTTGCTAGTATATTACTAAGTTGAAATGGCAGTGTGACACCTGCTTACTTTCTGTATGATATTATGTTAGTAATGACATATATTATGTGAAATATATACCATATGCTGTCCTTTATCATAAAGTATTATTTATAGTTAAATCTATATAAACTGTCATGAATTTTGTGTTATATGTTCCAGAGAATGTTTACAATGATAAAATTACATTTTTATGCCCCCGCCATGTAATGGCCGGGGCATATAGTGTTACCCTGTTCCGTCATTCCGTCCTTCCGTCCTTCTGTCATTCCGTCATCATCAGTTTCCGTTCAATATCTTAAGAACGGTTGCACACATTCAACTCAAATTTGACATATGGATATGTCATGAGAAAATACAGGTCAAGTTCGAATTTGGTCATGGTTCGAAGATTTTTGGCAGAGTTATGCCCCTTTTACTTTGAAAATAATATGAAATTTCAGTTTCCGTTCATTATCTCCCCAAGGGTACAACACATTCAACTCAAACTTGATATATGGATATGTCATGAGAAAATACAGGTCAAGTTCGAATTTGGTCATGGTTCGATGATTTTTGGCAGAGTTATGCCCCTTTTACTTTGAAAATAATATGAAATTTTCAGTTTCCGTTCATTATCTCCCCAACGGTACAACACATTCACCTCAAGTTTGAATTTGGTCATGGTTTGATGATTTCTTGCAAAGTTAAGCCCCTTTTACTTTGAAAATAATATGAAATTGTCAGTTTCCGTTCATTATCTCCCCAAAGGTACAACACATTCAACTCAAACTTGACATATGGATGCGTCAAAGGAATGCGCAGGTCAAGTTCAAATTTGGTCATGGTTCAATGATTTTTGGCAGAGTTATGCCCCTTTCACTTTGAAAGTAATATGAAATTTTCAGTTTCCGTTCATTATCTCCCCAATGGTACACACATTCAGCTCAAATTTGACATATGGATATGTTTTTGGAATGCCCAGGCCAAGTTCGAATTTGGTCAAGGTTCAATGATTTTTGGCAGAGTTATGCCCCTTTCACTTTGAAAATAATATGAAATTTTCAGTTTCTGTTCATTATCTACCCAACAGTGTTACATATTCAACTTAAATTTGACATATGGATATGTCAAAGGAATAGGCAGGTCAAGTTGGAATTTGGTCATGGTTTGATGATTTTTTGGCAGAGTTATGTCCCTTCAACTTTGAAAATAATATAGATACATCTTAGGAATAAGCAGTTTAAGTTTGAATTTGGTCATGGTTCAATGATTTTAGACAAACTTATCTTTCCTGAATGTTGGAAAAATTTTGAACTTTCAATTTCAGCACTCATACTTTTAACCATTATTTTGGCTACAAATATGCAATATGCTATTTTTAAAAGGTTAAGACTGAATAATTTCAGTGCCTTGAACATTGTATGAAAACGGTTTGTGTTAACATGGAAAAGTTTTAAGGGCTTTGAACTTAAAATGAAAAAAATAATTAATGCACCATCTGAAATTTTGGCTGCATGCGGGGGCATCCGTGGCATGATGACACATTTCTAGTTTTGTATCAGCATAAACACTAAATTCCTGTAGTTTATGTGTTATAATTATATGAAACTTTTACAACCATGTATGATAATTAGCTGTTGTGTAGATATATTATACAAGCTTGTTTTTGTTATTTCAGTGAAATGGCATTAGTTAGAGAACTTCATAAACATTCAGCAGAGATGATATATTATTACATGGGTTACTATATACATTCCTGTCCTAAAATGAAATACAAGGTAAATATTTACTATCTTATCAGATAACATTAAAGGAGCTTCATTGAGCTTCTAATGCCTAAATACGTAAAATTTGAAAATCTTGCATAGTCTTTCTTTCAGGGTTGTTATAGCTGCATTTTTTTTCAGCCTTGACTCTCTAATTCAGTCAGTGCGTTTCCAATGACGCAGGAATTTATTCTTCATAAATTCACAGTAAATCTCAAATTATGCCAATTTCAAGTCCTCTGCAAACTATTTTACAAATCCTCGAATTAAAGTTGTAAAAAGGCTGAATTATTTCATACTTGTTAATAGTAAGTCATTTTACACTGCTCAGAATGTTGTTAGATATGATTTTGGTAGTGCATTTAGAGAAAAATTTAATAGGAATTCAGTAACAGAATATCAGTGGTTCTACAAAAAATTGCAATGGCCTTCAGACTGCTTCTCAACTTGTAGGTACTTGAAAAGTTGTTGGAGCACTTGACTGCTATAAATTATTATAATTACAGGGTCAATACCAACCATCTTATTTACTGTGCCCTGAGACATATACCTGGCATCCTGTAGAGAAATGTCAAGCTATGCTGGACCAGAAAACATACTGCAGGTTTGAGGAGGACACTAAAAAAGGTAATTTTCAGCACCAAGAAATACCCCGAAACCATTATTATATCATGAAGCATTAATTTTTGCTGATTGCAGTCGTCATGCCTGCAATAAAAAGAAGAGCAAGACAAGCTGGTTTATCACTGAACTGTTCTTTGTCTTCTTTGTTGCTCTACCATCTTATTGTATCCTTACTCTGCTTCAAACAATAATGAATAAATCCAATATTCAGCATGTTAACAGCTACTAGATTATCTGTGGTTCTGGGCAATTGTGAACCAGTGAGATAATGGCCAAAATTCAATACTTACTTGGTATAATTGTACTGTAAACAGGGAAGACGTAATAACTGCTTAAGAATGTAATAAACATACTCAAAACAAGTGAACTGAGAACCTATTTTGAAGATTTTAAACTTGGTAAAAACATGTTGCAAACTTATACATAAATTTAAATGTTGATTTATTGTATTAAGACAAAATAGCAACATACTAAGAACATAATGCAACCTTGTTTCATCTGTCTGTGAAGTTGACAAACAAGCTTCAAATGGAAAAATCAGTGTAAACTCTTTCTGTCATATGTTTCAGGACCTCATCTTGTGATTGCATGTCCCTTATAATATGCAGCAATTGTATTCTAAATATGTTCATCTTGTTTTAAGTATGTTGGCTCTTGGTCTTAGTGGAGAATGTGATGTCCTCCAAAAGTTTTAGTAGACTCAAAGATCTGCAGCAGCATTCCTCATCAAACTGGTTCGTGTCCGTCCATGAAGTTCTAAAATGGACTGTAAAAGTCAACTGTTTGGCCACATATTATAGATTGTATTTGGAAAACTTACTTGTTGTTGACTGGGGTATAAGCTTTTCTAAATTTCATATAAATAATAGTGACAAGGATCAATATTTCAGTAAAGACTAGTCACTGCTTGAGTTTATAACTGTATTTGAGCCGCGCCATGACAAAACCAACATTGTGTTTGCGACCAGCATGGATCCAGATCAGCCTGCGCATCCGTGCAGTCTGATCAGGATCCATGCTGTTCAACAAGTAGAGAAACTGATAGCGAACAGCATGGATCCTGATCAAACTGAGTGGATGCGCAGGCTGGTCTGGATCCATGCTGGTCGCAAACCCATTATGTCGGTTTTGTCATGACACGGCTCATATGGTTAATTACAGGTGACGAAGATGGGGAACCAGACTTGGAGACATTGTTGGTGTTGTATCAGCGTACAGCAATGCCATACACCATCTACCAGCAGCTGAGTAAAGGGAAGAATGATGACCTAGAGGAGGTTAAGGAGTACGCTGGTTACGTCGGCAGGAAATTAGCATCCAGGCTATTGCTGTTCCGAAAATGAAGGCAACCTTATATTAGTTGTGTTTAATTATCTGTGATAGTTTTGCAATGATCTTTGAAATTCAGAAAGCATGTGATACTGTATAATATATTGACTACTGACACTTAAGTTAGCTAATTAGCTCATTTATTTAATTTAAGATTAATATCAGTTTCTTTGTTTTGATTATTATCATTGACAGTTCAGTTTTGGTTTAAGATATCTGACATGATTTGTCATGATGTTGAGCCAAACAGTATCTGAACAATATGTATTTATTAAACTCTTAACCTGCTGTATGTCTAAAATGGACTTGTTCAGGGTCCATGTTTGGAATGTGTGATTACCAATTTTGGTGATATCAAAATGAAAATTATCAAAAGGAAAATTAGAAGTTGGTCCAGATATAGTATAGAGCCTTGTCAGACTGAATGGATGTGCAGACTGGCCTGATTGTAGGCTACCTCTAGCAGGATTATATATAATATTTATATTATAATCACAATGTCACAGACTTCTCTTAAGGGTAGAAAAGTGTAGTAAGCAAATAAGACATACATGTATACCGGTGCCTCATATTTCCTTGGTACTTCAGTGTTAAACAAACACAACAAAAGTTAGAAGAATAATGTGCTGGAAATAACAATGAATATGATAATAATATTCATTTTTGTTTAACATGGAAATAAGAGGCATTGGTATATATATATATATTTATAAACCAATGTTTGTTTTTCACTGTTTTAATAATGTTGTGTATTTATTAACGCTCAGATTACAGTCAATGGCTGTTTAATACTGAGTAGTGATACACACCTATACTGTTACATGTAATAGTTTAAATTAGATAACTAAGAAATTCTATGTTATATGAATGTTTGATTTTATTGATTTAATTTATTATTCAAGTTATTGTTCTTTCTAAAGTAAATTTTATTAACCAGGTTTTCAATTTTGAATATCCTGGTTATTTGATTGTTTGTTATTTATTTGTGTTCAGTTTAGTGTTTGTTAACATTCATGGTTTGAAATCTGTCTCTGTGGGCCCATTAGATATAATGATATTATCATTGATTTTATAAACACTTATCTTAGTGGTTGAAATTAGGTTTTGAAATGTTAGACAGTGTTAGTATAGAAGTTAGAACACTGATTTAACAGAATATTTAAAGAAGTATATAATAACTTGATGCTGATATAATAGATAAAATGTTCCTAAGAATTTGATATATGTAAAAACCTTATTGATCAAAATTTAATTTCAACCACTTATTTTAAAACATATACTAAGTCTACACATATATTGGTTTTTAAGGTTCAGTGTCCTGATTTTATTGTTCTAGCTAAAAGCAATATTCTTATATTCATAATTACTGTACTTAGTAACTTACAAATTTCATGCTAAAAATGCAGTTTCTATGACCATGTATAAATGGTTGTTTGGTATATAACTCTATAAAGCAGAAGTCTTCTATTAATACTAAGAGCATAAATATTCTACAAGAAGAAATGCATGTGACTTATAATGTTAGGTATCTTTCTGTTTGTCTATAGACAACTGACTTCCAAAAATAACTTAAATTTTCAATACTTTATTTAATAGATTCATGTTTGGTATGCAAAACAAAGGCCATGTTTGAATTTCGTTATGATCCACTGGTTTATGATCGAGTTATGCGTAAATTTATAGGCAAATTTGAATTTCTACACAGTACTTTTAAAGAGATTCTCAGATTTGTTGATTTAAGTGTATTTTAAATAAAAAAACGTTATTTTGGTTTTATGGCTGCTGAAAAGTTGAATGGTGATACATATTGGCTGTATCAGGGCCATCAGTTAAAGGACCAGCATATTGTTCACCAGTACCATTTTTATCCACATCGTCATTGAGCAGTATCTCAATCAATTCAAACTACCTGGTGTTAAACCATTTATAGATTTCCTTAAGTTATAACAAGGTGCTGCAGTGCCACTAGCACCACTCCCTCTACCCCAAGGTGTTCCTGTGTCTTGTTTTGTCAGTGCTCTTGGAAAATTGTCAATGCTCTTGGAAAATTGTCAGTGCTATTTGAAAATTGTCAATGCTCTTGGAAAATTGTCAATGCTCTTGTAAAATTATCAATGCTCTTGGAAAACTGTCAATGCTCTTGGAAAATTGTATTTGTTTAAAATGGATAACACATAAAGAAAATATGGTACCCTAAAGTATGTCCCTTCTTATGGGCAAATTTCTCTTTGCATCAAGAAGCAGAATACCAGTTGAACATTGATGTTTAACATAATGTTTGCTGCTTTAAATTGCTGACACCTTTTTGGTAACAAGAAGCTTCAAGTTTTAAATTGATTCAATATGTTTTACTTGTTGTTGTCATAGCGTCCTTGTTTTTTGTCATAGCATCCTGAAACAATTTCAAGGTTAAGTCATTAATGTCACAATATGCAGTAATGCCAGAACATCAAATTTTTCTGTAAGTATGTTGTACCACTGACGTAATTGTTAGTCTCCAATATATTTTGATTATCTTTTGCGAATTAAATTTGTGTTTTGCCTTGGCATTTACATGTGTATATGAATCGTCATCTCATTCAGTCCATATACTTCATACTTCATCAGGAAAGGATACTTGGATGGTGTAAGATGAATTTGTCCCAACAAGTAACATAGATAAAATAAAATAGCTCTTTTTAAAAATAATATTTTTAAATGGTACATTTGAAAGTTATCCATGACATTATAAAGGGATAATATTTGATAGACAAAATATAAAGTAATAGACTGGTGTTCTTGTTGAACAATAATTTCAGATAAAAAGAAATAGTCATTGTAATACAGGTTATTTCAGCACACTTTTCTTTCATTTTTTTTTTAATTCAAATGTTATTATTACTGGTAATAAAAGAGTCTTTTGTATCAGTTGTTGTGTTTTAAGTAAGGCTCATTATTAGCATAGAATTTGTTGGCATTTGACTATTTTTCAAGTCTATATATTGTAGTCCTTCTGTCCAGGGGTTCAGGTAAGGAGGGAATTACCTGGGACTTTATGTAACAGTGACTTATATCAGTTTATCTGGTGGTATTGAACTGAAAGAACATGCCTCTCCTTATAAAAAAACCAGGGCTTTCAATTGCTTATGGTATTTATTATGACTTTCAGTTGGTTCAAACATTCCAGTAATAGATAATAAGAATTCCATTTCCATGATATCCCAATTCCATTTTCCTAATATCAGATTTTTCCAATTCCATGATATTCCATTTACAAAATATCAAATATTAAAAATACACTACTAAAATTAGTATCTACTAAAGAAACTTTAATATATTTCCGCAATAAGTCCACCTCTTCAAAAGACCTAAAGCATGCATAACTTAGTTTATTATTTAAAACATATTAGTTCTGTAAAATATAAGTTGCACCATCCACTTGTCAGTTGCCTCAATCAATATATTTACATAATAGAAACAATAAATATATGCATGTACATAAGTGAATCACCGGGGCCAAGATTTATTTATATTTTATTTAAAATGTTTATCCCCGTCATCCCTCTTAGTCTTGACCCAAATTTTGTCTTTAATTGCTTGTACTGTTAAGGCGCCCACCTTTGTTGAACCTTTGGTATCATTTTTAACATAGCCTTAATGGCCGGCAATTTTTGCTCTGCAAGTCCAGCCACAACAAAGTGTTTGCACTGTGTCTCCCAAGGTTTTAGGCTTAAACTTCTAAATACTTTAAAAGCATATTTGTCTCATTTAAAAATAAAGCGACAGCTTTTGACACTGCCAAAATAAACATCTCATTACCAATGTCAGACAATTATATCATTGTCAATACCTTGGCAAAAACTATTGCTGAGTTATTTACAAATATTTGTTTTAACTGCATTATTTCCCCCCCCCCCCCACTCCAAATCTGAAAATACCATCTTAGGTGCTTTGCCTTTAAGAACACCTTACTGCATCTTAGAGTGCAATTCTTCCACTTTTAGACCTGTGAGGTCAAGGAATTCTCTTGTAGACATATCATTGACTGGGATGAACACAGTAATTTCAGAAAGCTTAGTCATAAATTAAGTCAAGAACAGTGTAATTCTGAAAGTTGTTAAATTGTCTCCATTTCTCCATGCTTGCTGGGAATAAGTTTGAGCCAGTCTCTCATCTTTTTCAGTATTGTAGTTACAGGTTCACCAAATTTTTGAGTCATTTCTGGAAAAAATATTACAATAGATCATAGCTTTCATTAATAATTACTTTAAAACAGAAGTCATTAGTAACTTAAACAAATTGGCAAAGGGGCAAGATAAAGTTGAGCAAGAGACATGAAAGAATTCTAAAAGACGTTGACCCCTTTTTTGACTTAAAGATTAATTTGCCATGGTAGATGGGCTACTCTGTATGAGCCATGAAAAGGGAAAATGGGTCTGTCAATTTCAAATTGGTCAGCATGTACAGGTTGACTACGACATGCCATATTCCCATCGTTGCCTTGAAACAAATTGGACAGATATGAGGATATCTGTAGTTTTGATACCTACAATTAAGGAAGAGTGTTTCCCATGAAACCCCAAACAGGAAGTAACCTTTATTGTACTAATTGACTCCGCAAACTGTACCCCATTACCTGCAAGTAGGTCCTGGATGAGATGTGCAATGACATTTTGCATGTGTGGCATAAATGTAACTTCATCTTTGTCAAACTCTGATTCAGATGAGGATATGTCCTTCTCATATGGAATTCCTTGCATAGGTATGCAAGTATCTGAAGCCCTTGTTTTGATTCAGATTGTAATAAAGTCTGCTTATTTATTAAACTCTGTTCTAGTGATTGCATCACTACACCTTGATCCATGTCCAAGCTTTCATTTACCAGTTCCATCTGGAGATTATTTTTCCCTGCTGCTGGCCTGCTTTTGTTTCTTTTGTGGATTTTTTGTTCGACATTGCTGCCTAAGCTCATTTTTGTGGCAATTTTTCAGGCCTGCTGGAGCAACAAGAACAAGTAGTCATTGCTTCTATCTTTTTTCATCTGAAAGAGATGTGTTCTGCAACGTGGCTGCCAAGCCACTGTTACAAAGGGATTCGTCTGAACCTGGCTTGAGGCTTTGATACACTTATTTTATAATGGAAGCTTGACAACGGAGGCGATAAACATTTAACACATTTTATTTAACTAGAAACCTTAACAATGAAAATGGTAGCATATGGTAATTAGTAAGAGTAAGTGTATAAGATGGTAATATTACGATAAATCGTCACCTTAGTGCAAGAACTCAATATCTGCTTCTTTATCTATATGCAGTTATTGAGTTTTTGCACTAAGGTGACGAAATGTTCTGCTTAATAACAAGTATTCTTCTGTATATAAAGTTCACGAGTTCCTTCTTACTCTATAAAATACTTCAGTCCATCTTAAGTTAATAGATGTGAAAGAAATAGTCACTTATTTAGTAAATAAGTTATTCCACTGAGTGTTTATGTTCAATTTAATATGATTATGGAAGTGTCGGTTAGTTAAAAGTCAGCTTGATAACATCTTCACGAGTATAAGACAGCAACGTCACTTCATCATGTTATTGTTGTTTAAGAATAAAGGTATCTAAGTGTCTATCTTTTGTTAATCTCGGCGATAACACTCCTTCTTCAAGGTTTTAAACATCAGTGAAAAAGGAGTACTTTATATATGTAAAAGATCCATAGTCTTTAGTGCGTCTCTTTATTTAAGGATCTTCCACAATATTTATATGTATTTATGTATTGTCCAGAACAGGGAAAGAGCAGTCTAGATCGAACTTGTTTGCCATAGGGAAAATATAAACAAACACATGTGTTGAATGAAAAAGGGCATTTATTGAAAATGCCATAACTGACATTAATTAAAACTATTACATATAAAACATGTTATAATAATTTTCCAAATGGTAAAACTGGGAGGTTAGGGCATTTATTGAAAATGCCATAACTGACATTAATTAAAACTATTACATATAAAACATGTTATAATAATTTTCCAAAATGGTAAAACT